TATATATATATACTAATCAAAGAACCTTAACATTTAATTTGACAATAAAATCTGCATCAATTTTAATAAAAATTTTACAAGTCTACATCAGTGTACCTAGTACTATACGCATTATGTGTTTCGAAGCTGCACTAATCAGATTCTTAAGTGAAGCCCTGCAGATTGGGTAATTCGATTGGTGCATTATATATCGAATGGACCAGGATGAACAATAAACAGAATTAATTTTTTATTAAACAGAAATACGTTGTTATTTTTTTTAATGTAGAAAAAGTAACCATTGAAAAGAAGACGTCAGTGATTTGATTCGTCTTTTTTGAAGAAAAATTAGATTGTTGGAGTGGTTAATGAATCAGCTCAAGGCACAGCTTTAAATAAAGATTAAAATTGAAACTTTTCAAACATTAATATGCGAGGAGCTCAATGATTCAGGGGCTTTGGTCAAATGCCACTTCTGCCATGTAATCACCCTCTAATGATATAATAGAAATTAATTTATACCCCAGATTTTTTTTCACATGAAGTTTTAAACATATAGTATAATTGAATGTATAGTTTGAAAAACATAAAATAATGTTAAAATGTGTGTGCACGCTTCTAGATGTGTTGCCTAAAACGGTATGCATCATTTTAGCAAAACAAGCCTTTTTTTAAGAAAATACAAACCATTTTTTCTATTTAATTCGATCGCTAATAATCGTTTTTTAAAAAAATTAATTTCAAAAAATATCATAAGAATTGCAATGAAAACTTACCCACAGTAAATATCAAGGTCACTTTTTATAAGTTCAATCTTACTAGATAAAAAAAACTCATTCATCAATCTTGGCCAGATATTAAGACATTTCTTTAACTTTTCTTCGTTGCAATGTTCGCTACTTGACTGATAAACAGACGCTTACCAATGAAAGAAGAAAAAAAAATTATTTTCCGAAATATTGGGGAAAAAAATATGCTCGCAGACTACATTTCAAAATGCTTAAGTATTTGTATGTATTTGTTGTCGATTACAGAAATTCAACTAAAAAACAGACAATGCTAATGACCAGCAAAAGCAAGAAAAAAAAATTTAGAACAGTGCGACATCGGACATCTTGGATATAGTTTGGACAATTTTTTTTATTTTAACAGCATTAAATGTTATTTATTAGATCTTCACGAAGCCCGAATTCTTGTTCGTTATTGGATTTATCTGAATCATCGATCATACAAACTAGTTATTCAGTTTAATAAAGTTGTTTCGTAAACCGTAAGGTTCGGTTTGTTACAGCAACCATTTTTTTATCCTTCCGTAAGAATTGAAAAAATTCAAACTCTGATCTCTTCTTATCTCTGATCTCTTTCTTGTAAGTCAACAATTTGGTGTTAAATAAAATGGTTTAGTAAATAAACTTATTAAACATTTTCAAATTCTCCGTTCTATAAAGCTATCCAATAGATTTTACTTAAGTTTTTAGTTTCGTCATAAAAAAAATCTTAATTTTTATACCTCAGATCACAAAAAAAAATTTGATCATTATTTACGCTAATAGTAAAAAATAATAATAAATTAGTAAAACATTTATACAGGTTATAGTTTTTTTAAAAGTTGCATCAATGTATGAACAAAAAATTCCTTCTTTTTATCTGTACAAGTAGTTCTGAAGAAAATTCCAAAATGTAAAATTAACATTTTGAAGGACGTTAAAAAATAAACTATTGGGAGCGAAGCTGAGAAATAAACCATTTGCAGATAGAGGTTACCACTAAACTCAAATCTATGGAGATACGTTTATAATGAGAAAGTACGTTTTGGATTCTGATTTCATAACGTAAATTATCTTCACTAATTTCCTCGAACCATTAAAATAATTGAAACATGGAACATGAAAATGTTATCCCAATATTAAAACATATTTTTTCCGGGTGGGGGGGGGTCATATTTTTTATTAATCCGTTAACATAAGAAAAATCCGCCGACTGCAGAGCTCGCAGAAAACGGAGTGAAAGATAGAAAAGCTTTTTTTTTTTTGTAATATTAGTTACATTTATGAAATGGTATTTATGTTTAAACAATTAATTCAAACAAAATATATTCACTTAAAAACAATTACAGTGAGACTCACCTATTCCAAAAGCTAATATCAAATAAAAACTAAAGAGATTCATTATCTAATCTCATAAAAAAAGCGTCATGAAAAATGACGAATCTTTGTGATGCATAATTTTATTAATTTTCGCTAGAAACGTTCCGGATGCATTTCCTTCCCTCTACGACACGGTAGTAGGAACTTCTATTTGACAATATTTGGAACTTCGTCTAATTAACACTGAGGCAAAATTATAGTAACGACATTGTTACTTAATGTTGCAAAATACTTTAATTTATTTTAATTTAAATAATTAAACATTCCCTTTTGAAAGTAAAGGACAATCTACATTTTATCAGAAAAGTAGATGTAAACTAAGTATTTTTACCGTTTGCGAATTTCGAGATCAACCAGGGCTTGAAATTATAACTTTTCTATTAATAACTCATAAGTGTTTTATTTTCATTTTTCAAATATATATATATATATATATATATATATATATATTAGCACATTTCAGAGATAAAAGGCTATCCCTTTTTTATTCCTTTATTTATGTAACTATATTATATGTATAACTATATTATTATGTATGTTATTATGTATCAAGGTTTTTGATAGTAAAGTTCGACAAAAAAAAATAAATAAGAACTTCTGTAATAACTATCTAAGGTCTGGAATCTCTTCAAATAATTTCTACTTTGAAAAATGAAAATAATTGAAATGAGACTAAATGTTAGTTGCGGAAAGTAAATAAAATGACAATAACTATTATTACAATTACAATGGAATGTTTTCCATATTTGGTTAAAAAAAATTGAATTTCAATATTTAAAGAATAAAAACAGAAATGACAAGGAACGAGATCGAAAAAAGAATAAACTGCAAACAATTACTGATATATTCCAGTTAATTACTGTAAAACTTTCCAGCATGCCATTGAAAAATGGAAACTTCTGTGATGAAATGTCTCGGATAGTTCACTTAGTATCCACTACTCACGCAACAACTTTCCTTTTAAATTGGGGAAGTTAAATTTCGAAAGTCGTGTATAAGCATAATAGTTACTTGCATGCATTTTCCAAATCACTGTCTTCGATTTACTTATAGTTTTCACCTTGGCGACATATTTTAAAAAGCGATTCATAATCTCCAAAGCAGGTAGGTTCTTTCAAATACACTGCCATTAGAATAAAATACCGAATTACTTGATTGTGATTTATAAAATCTACAGAGAAATGCCTCTTGATTTGGTTAATTTAATTAGCAATCAGAAAATAGAGAAAATCACTTAAGCGACAGTGAAATTATTTTTGTTCGTGCTATTGTAAATAAATCAATAAACTCTATTTTGTAATTATATTATTCTATTACGTATATAATAGCCATGTTCTTTGCTTATTTGAGAGAAATCAAAACTACATCGATGGAACTGATAGCAAAAAAGTCATGCGAGTTTCATTCGTAAATTAAAACTCTAAGTTAAGAATTGTACTCATTATGCTCAAAATCTTTATAACTTACTGTAAGAGTTAAATAAATAATATTTTGGTACGTAATAACTATAGTTATTTATGAATTATAATTAAAAGATTGAAATATTTGGTATATGTAATAATAATTGGATATAGTCATGATTAAAATTAGTTAAATGATTGAAATGTCATGATAAATAAATTAAAGGCCGAAACATATAAAAGATAATTAAATTAAATTAATTGGGATGTGATCGTTAAGGAAAGTGGTAGTACAATGCTAATGTGGGATAACAATAACCCAATATGTTCAAAGGATCACAAAGTGTGAGATCTGAACAAATTGGATAAATTGGTAACACCAAATTTAGAATAAGGGTGAAAACTAAGAAAATTGAAGATGAATGATAAATACGATAAAGTCATGCTATATCCAAACAATATATAAGATTTAAACAGTAAGCTGATGTTTCCAATAAGAAAAACTAATAAATTCACATTTATGCGTGCCCATAACAATAAAAAAAGTATTCACCACATACAGAAGGAAAAAGGTGATAACTAATAGTTATAAAGGTAAAGCTAAAAAAACAATCACAAAACTTTCTGTTCAACTAAACATTTATTTTTGTAAAACTACTTATCGCAACAAACAAACAATATGATTGCAACACATTCTGTGGCACAGAAAAAATATATCTTTTAAAAGGAAATGGGTGACAAGAGAATTTAAAGAAACCAAAGGCGTCAGGCATGAAGTTAAATATAAAAGAACGATTAATTTAACCGTTAAAGTAAATATGAAAAGAAAACTTAAATTTGAGAGGGCTTTTAATGTTAAAGTAAATTAAAGGTATAACATGTTGATTTTAAATTTTACAGAAATCGATTACAGCTATGGATTTAATTTAAAATAAAGGTTAAGAAAAAATGTAAAAAGATATCCCTCGATACGGACCGAAGTCCGCATCTCGGAAAAAAAGGAACCAGCAAGCAGGAAAAACCAACAGAGCATCCCCTAAAAAAAAGGTGACTTAAAAATTCCTTAACTGGTATAGGACCAGAAAAATTACGGCCAATTAAATTTAAAGAGGCGGAGAGTTTGAAATTTAAAGGAAAGAGATTGGTTAGTTAGCCCCCCTAAAATTAAAAGAAGAAAAAGAAAGGCGTGAAAAGAGGGGTTGGCTGACCTTCCCCACAGGAAGTGCGATAACCGCAATGATCATGAGAAAGGTCAACAAGAAAGTTAAAAAAAATTGCTAAATTGGAAAAAAGGAAAACGTTTAAAGAAAAAATAAAGACTTAGGAAAAATTCGAAATAAAATTGTCACATTACATTAAGTGTAAATGTGACACTTACTAACTATTAGTTTTATCAATTTGTATTTGGTACAGATTGATTCAGCGTAGAAAGGTTCTGCGCACAAAAATAAAAAAGTGAGCACAATGAATAACTTTTCCCCCAATGGTCTGATTTTCACGTATTAGAACTCAATCTTAATGGTTAGTAAGCATAACCTTAAATATGCTGAGAAATAAGTACAGACAATATTTTAAGCAGCGCAATTAAAAACAAAAATGTGTTATATTTAAATAAACTTATCTCTTTTTCGACGTTTTTGGATTTCAGACCCTCAAACTATGTGGTCCCAATACTTTCGGTAGAAGATGATAGAAAATTTCGACCCCTAATCTTAAATGAACTTTTTGCGTATTTTGCTTTAACTCCAGAAACTATGGGGACCATAAGAGATTCTAGTTGCCCCCCAAAATTTTAGGGGTCAGGAATCCGTATAGATCGAGAAAAAAAAAGTATGTTTACTGAGATAAAGTACGTTTTTGTATCTGAGTTCGTACCTTTAAGTGTCGTCTATACGAATTAATTAGCATAATTGTTACCCTCTCGAATCATTGAGTTTGGAGGCCTAGCATGTGAAAATCAGATTAATAGACAAAACGTTATTGTACTATACATTTTAAACAATACTTCACTTATCCAGTTAGAAATAATGTAAATCAAAAATGTTGCTTTCTATGTGATATAGGATAATAATTATACAACTTATAATTAAATAATTGAATTTATTGTTGCTAAATATTCCTTATTATTACAATTAAAATTATTGAATCAAATTTTATTCAATTGAGCGTAAAATATTCATAAGAGATAATATCTCTCGAATCTAAATTGCGAAACATACTTTAGATGCACTAACTCAAGTTTTTATTATTTATTTATTTGTTTATTTAATCATTTAATTCTTATAGACTTTACACATGATAGAACACAATAGGGAAAAATTGATCGACTAAGATGTGGTAAAGAGCATTGTGATAGGGAAAAAAAAACTTATCATTCATTACTTTTTCAAATGTAATATCAATGTTGATAAAAATATTTATTAATTAAATAGTATTATTGTGGTACTCACCAATTGTAAGAATTATTATCAAATAAAGATTACAGACACGCATTGTTATCTATTTTCATAAAAAGTCATCGTAAACCTTATCTGATATTTGATATATATTAAATTACCGCTTTTTCGCTAGAAAAGCTCCGGAAGCATTTCCTATCCTCTAATACAGTAATAAGAGCTCGATTTTGATAAATATCTCAGTCATCTGTATATTTAATTCAAAGTCAAATAAAATTATAAGTACAATTTATGATTAGTTGACTCGCCTTAAGAAAACCATAAAAAAAGGAAAGAGTACTCTTTTAAAAATTTGCTTATAAAATAAAAGATTTATTTAAATCTGGCTTTTTTTTCCGAACTATTAACAACAGGTTTTCTTGCTTCTCAAAATTAGTATTCCAACCAAGACGTGAAATTTTCATATACAACTAAAAATTTTAGTTTATTAAACTAAAGATACGTAATTATTCTCTATTTTTATTCTAATGGAAAGAACTTTTGATGATTATGTAACAAGAGGGGATATATCTTTTGAATTTTATTAATTTTGCCCGCTTAACAATTTTAATTTTAAGCGCTTACTTTATAACTAAATTGGCATTTTTATTCTCTAAGTTCTTCATGGGGTTCTATTTTTGGGTGGGGGGGGGACCTGAAAACAACGTTTATTTGTCAATTAATACACGACACCGTGCTCAATCAGTATCGTCTTTTTAACACCATCCTCTTTAGAAACCTTGTCAAAAATAGACATCTGAAAGTCACAACAAGGGATAGAACGTTTGCATCACAATGATGTGGATGATTGATACGAACTCGGCTCCCGACTCTCAGTGACCACAGTGATAACGTAAAATATCCTCAGTGGTAGACGAAACATGGCTTAGAATTCTTTTGCAGTCGGACTAACCGTGGGAGGTTTTGTGGCACTTTTATCCGTGTGAAGCATAAATGCTGGTTAGTTCCATCAAAAAGTTCTTCTTGAAGGTTAGTTTGTCACATTTCTTGATCGAGGAGTTCCCCTGCCTTCTGGGTTAGTTTCAAAATTACAGGGAACAAGTAATTGAACATTGATAGTCGTAAACTAGGAATTGGGTCGTCTGTTCAAAGCTGGATATAAAATAAAATTAACATTTAAGCAACTACGAAATTTGTCGAATCGCCGGTGAGGAAGGTGCGAGGAAAAATCTCAAAACCAATTTGACGATAACGGAAGCATTTTAAAACTTTTCTTCGCTTAATAGCTTTGCAATTGTTAATGTCTATACATTTTGTATTCATCATCGAGAAAATTTCTAAAATTAAACATTTATGACTAGCAATAAAAAAACGTTCAGTTTAAAAGTTGTTGCTATGCAAAAATCTAATTTAGTTTAAGAAAAGACAATATAGGCACGATGGAGAACTTGTCTTCCATAAACTATTCGTAAATGCAAATAATATCTTATAACATTCTCTGCAAATACAGTGTTCAGATTTTCCATAGTGTTAGAAATCAATACAGAGGCTCTTGCTAATGGAGTACGATGTTTACTTTTCTCAGCATGAACATAAAAATTACCATTACATGTAAAACTTTATTATTTTATTTTTAGTACAACTCTATTATTTTATTATGCTTATTTTATTGTCCAGTTGTTAGACATACAAAAGCTGATCCAACTGCGAAATCAAGAAATTTTTAACTCTAAAAGCATCATGGTATATTAGTTATATAATTCTTCTACCTTGAAAACGCATTTCAAAAAACAATATACAAATAGTAGAAAGAAAAAAACTTTTTACATCCGTAAGTAGTATAAGGTTTTTAAAAATAAAATCCAATTATGACAGAGCACGCAATCAACAATACATTAAAGACAATTGCGTAAGCTCCACTGCATGCAACTTTGTATGTATCTCCGAAACCATCTTCCATGAATTTAGCAAACAATTCTCCATCTTTGCCACAGACTTTTCTGTTAACATCAGCAAAACATAGTACTAATTTCAATTCCCTAGAAATAAAATCAGAAACAAAATCTGTATATGGGTCATTCTCACGAAAACTGTCATTTTTCAGTTCATAAAATCCCGAAAAAGTAAAGTGAATAAAAAGCTCTGAAACTTTTTATATTAATAGAAATATGTAATGGCATTATAAAGAAAGTATATATCCTATAAATTATACTTAATATTTAAATTAATTAATTTTTTAAATAATTAATTTATAATTAATTAATTTATAATAATTAATAATTAATTAATTAATTTAATAAATAAATTAATTAATTTAATAAATTAATTTATTAATTTTTTAATTTATTTTTCAAATTAATTAATAAGTAAATTAATTATTTTCACTATTTAAAAAGTGAGGGAATGACACTAATAGTGAGGGAATGATATTTTATTTTAATACATGTTTTTATCTAAGTTACATCTACCTAAAGTTTGAAAATGATAACATACTAAGTATATCTAATATTTATTATAATTTAGTCTTATATATTTAATAGTTTTTACAGGTTTGGGAAATAAAATTGGCTGGCACGATTGAACAAAAAAAAATTTGATAATATACTCATCTTGAATCATTCCCTCACTTCAGCGTCATTCCCTCACTTTATACACTAGTGAGGGAATGACGAATTCAATAAAATTTAAAAATAACAGTTAGGCCTAATTAATTTCTGAAGTCAATCACATACAATTATATTCATACAAGAAAGCAACATATAATTATCCACTTTCTCGATGAAGTTGTATTTTATTTTACTCTAAAAAATGACATGAGGGAATGACAAATGTAAAAAATTTTACCTGGTTTGATTCATTCAAATTTATTCCACAGCAAAGCTTCTTTAAGTTGAAGATGGAAACATACTGCAATTTTGTTCTATGATGCCAGTTGTTAACTTCTGAAGTTTTTATTAAAATATTTTTATTCTAAGAAGATTGCAGGTGATAAGAACATTGTTGTGAGGGAATGACGCGAAACACTGGGGACAAAGTTTAAAATAGTGCTGTGTTAATATTTTTATCAGAAATTAAATTTAAAATTGATTTTCTGAATTCTATATTTCAGTATTCTGAAATAAAAAACACGAATTTGTAAAAAAAAAATTTTTATTTCAGAAACAATTTTTTTCTTTTTTTAAATCAGCAGTGGGGACAAGTGAGGGAATGACATATTGGTATATTTTAATTACCTAAAATAAATAAAAAATGAAAAATGATAATTTTATTTTTATTCTTTTGTTAGCTTGCATTCTGAAGGACACTTTCCCTGATTTTTTTTTTCTCGCAAGCTGTAAAACAGACATAAAATATACTGGGGACATGAAAATGACTGTTTTTGTGAGAATGACCCATATATATAATAGCCTTACGTAATAACCGAAAAATGAATGAATTTATTTGTTTTAGTGAACTGAATTACTTTACTGAGGTTATTTGTTTTTAATGTAATTTGTACATTTGCCTGTACCCTTAAATTGATCAAACAGTAAAAAATTTAGTCTCAAATTATGATATAAAGTAACAATACTTTGGGTAACAATATTTTTACCGTAAAATATTATATACCGTAATTTTTACAGTAATATTAATTTAATTAGAGTATTTCAGTAATTTTTTGAGAAGTATAACAGTGAAATTTATGGTATGTCAGTTATTCGTTCCGTAACATGTTTCGGTAAAAAAGGATTACACGGAGTGCCCGTACTGATTACCATAAGTTGATCCATATTTTTTTAAGAGCACGAATGGTCACTTTTTAATAACGTGGGCTTTCTAAGACTGAATCATAAGAGACCACAACTTCTATTGAAACTTCATACTGTTGCACTTACTATTGACATTACAATAGCTTTATGAAAAAAATATCGAGCATTTGCGTTATCTTAGAGTTGCTACTTATATCAAATTTGTCCTTAGAAATTTATTTATAGATTAGCATTAACTTCCTTCATTACATTAGCATCACGGGAAATTTTTGGCAGTAGCTGAAAGTGAAGACCATGATGCCTTTCACCTCAATTGCTTTCACCTCAATTGCTTAACTGAATGTCATAATAACTTTCGCAAATTAATAATAAAAAGACAATTAAGATTACGTATGAGTTAGAGTGATGTACACTTAAATTATGATTATTGAGATTTTAAATAAACATTAATTTTGTGCAGATGACAGCTAAATAAAACTTAATCTTCTTCGTTAAATGAAGATTGAGTCATGTGAGTTTCCGGTCCAATGAGAATGCTTGGTCAATTGTACTAAGAGATTGTACTAAGCAATTATACAAGAAAAATTGAACATATTAAAAACAAAACTTTTTAAATTAAATTTTTTAACTGATCAGGCTGTACAATAAAACCATGTCAAGTGCTATACTCGTATTAAATATAAACAAGAACTCTTTATGTGCCTATAATTTATTGAAAAATGGAAAACCTTGAAAAAACTAGTACAAAAATTTATCAATAAATGGCCTTGTAGTATTCGTGAAACATGATTTGAAGAAACTGATCAGAAGCATATACAAATAGTTTTTGTGAGAAACAATATTTTTAGAAAGACAATCTTAATTACGTACACAATTTTTAGTCTTTTAATTTTAATAAATCATTAGCACTTAATTTGAAATGTTTGTTTTCCAAATGACTCCTCATTGCAGTCAACAGACCTTACCCTTTAAATAGGGAAAGTATAATTTAGAAAACCTTGCACCCAAGTAAGACAAAAACGAAAATCTAATGATTGCTACTTACTTGCACATATTTTCTGAATCTCCATCTTCAATGTATTTGTTATCTCTCATCGGTAAACATTTTTTAAACTGTGATAGGTGGTTTCCAACACATGGAAGTATTTTCAAATACACTGTATTTGGAATAAAATGTTTGATTATTTGATTTAAGTATAATCAATCATTTAGTATTTCATAAGGATTTAAAACATTTGTGAAGAGACAGATTTCAATTTGCACAATTTTGTACTTAGAGAACAATTAGAAGAAATATAGAAGGGGAATTCAAAATTCTTTATCTAGAATGCCGCCATTGATAAGTCTTAGAAAAAACAAATTTGAGAACAATTACAGCAGTTGATTCGCTAAAGGTTTATCTTGAACTTTTTATCTTGGACAAAATTCTTTATCTTTAATGCCACTAATGCTAAGTCTATGGAAAAAATACAGAATTTAAGCACATTTAACACAGAACAATTGATAAAGGAACCCAATAGTAATACTGTTAATGCCACTAATACTAAGCCTATGTAGCCAATTTGAACACAATTAACATAGAATATAGTGACTCAAATTTAATGATTAATTTGCATTCTCTTAAGAATAATATAGTTCTGAAAATGCATAGATTTTTCACACACCCACACAAAAATCCATTTTATTAATTTAAAAGTTTGACATTCAAGAATTAATAAATGCTGGAAACAATTAGAGAAGTCCAATTCTAACAATAACAGTTTTCTTTTTTATTTAAAAAAAATCATTTTCTTTTTACTAATTGAATAAAAAGTTTATTAAAATCAATTCACGACTTTCTCAGATAATCCAATCATGATATAATTTTGCTTCTTCCCATAGACGTTTAGTAACGGAAGACAAATTTAAAATGGACTGTGTTAAATCTTCGCTATCAAACTTTTTCGACGTAAGAGTTTGCATCTACGAAAAAGGCTTAAATAATTAAGATATGGACTAGATAATCATTCAGTGTGTTAAATAGACTTTAAATAGCTTTTTTAAAATGTATATGAATAGCTTTTTTTAAAACTTCTTCTGAAATCAAAGAAATCAAAAAAAATTTAGAAACAAAGAGTGAGAGAAACAAAATCTTATTAAAGTGGTAAAAAAGAAAAGAAGAAAGGTCCCAAAATCATAGATAGGAATCCTCCTAAAAAGGCAAACCCCCTTTTAGGAATGACATCAAAAGAAAGCAATTACATTTGAACGATACTTTTTTGCACAGTATTAATCTTTGCTCAACTTTTCTGCAGAATATTATTACTTACTCGAGCGTTGATCTGTCCCTGGTTGGCATTTCACAACATTCAACAAACTAGCAAATGCGGCTGCTACCAGAGGATGTTCTTTCTTACAGTCAGCAACAGCATCCTCTAAGCATTTGCCATCTTCTTCAACTCTCCTAGTTTTGAATAGAAAGTTATGTTTAAATGTGCAACGGGTTCTCTCTCCCGTAAAAAATTTAGACTCANTATATATATATATATGCAGAGAAAGTAACCATTGAAATGAAGCCGTCAGTGATTTGATTCGTCTTTTTTGGATAAAAATTAGATTGTTGCAATGGTTAATGAATCAGCACAAGGCACAGCTTTAAATAAAGAATAAAATTGAAACTTTTCAAATAAGCTCACCGGACAAAAAATTAGTCACCCTAGTGAGCAAGCACCGATGAATCCTTAGACTTCCTTAGATGACGCAGTGGTCAAGTGACATGCTCAACTGCATGCACGCTGCTTCAACCTGATCAAAGACAAGTAGCTATCAGTGATATATTTTTATTTGAAGCGGAAATTGTGTGTAAATATTGGCAAGAGTAAAGATGTGATAGAGTGGCAAAAAGGGGCAATTGTGTTTGGCTGTGCCAATGGTCATGTGGTGAAAAAAAAATGCTGCATTTGTTGGCGTTTTAAAGTTGACTGTTCAATGTGTCTACAAAGAGTGGTGCAATATACGTGGTCACGAAAGACGCCGTCAGAATTGTTTTTGGAAAAGATCATGCATGAAAGTAACGTGTTTTACGACTTTTCAAAAAAAATCACTTCCAAACTGGACAGGAATTACTTTAGTTACTAAATGAAGATCCATCCCAGTCTGTTAGTGAGAAAACATTGCGAATGGAGCTGCATGTAATGAACATATGGAGTCGAACATCTCGTAAGAGGTCATTGCTCACACAGGCACACAAAGCTGTGCGACTTCAGTGGGCTAGAAGTCACCGAACGTGGGCAGTTGTTGTCTGAGTGAATGTAATATGGTCTGACGAATCACTTTTTTGCATTTATTCAATTCCCTCCGCAGAGGATCAAAATTGTGATGGCATGTCTTCGGATCATCCTCCGGGATGTTTCCCAGACCGCCGCCAATAGCCCATTGTGCAGCTCTAGTGCGACGTAAATTAACAACAACAACAACAACAGCATTTATTCAAAAGACGCACGTTTGCGAGTACAACGCTGACCAGATAAAGCATCTCATCCTGACTGTGTGCAAGCATAGGTTCAAGCCGGAGGTGGGTCTGTCATGTCTTGGGGGTGTTTTTCTTATTAGTGATCGGGCTCCCTCTCTGAGGAGGCCGCTAACATGATCCAACATATTTATTTGAAAGTTTTAGACAATTAGGAGTTGCCTTTCAGTCACCCTCTTCATGCAAAGTGTGTTGTCGATACTCCTATTTTTGAACATGACAACAGCAAAGTTCATGGGGCTGGAAGTCTATGGGACTGGTTTTATGAACACTCAGACAATCAATTGCATCTTGGCTGGCCTGCAAAATCACCTGACTTGAACCCAATTGAAAATTTGTGGGACATGTTGGAACAACGGGTAAAGCCCAAAATCAGCATTCTCACAATTTGAAGAATTTGCGCAATAAAATCCTCAATGAGGGGCTTAAACTGGATTCGACGTACTTGCAAAACCTTGTGGGCTCACTTCCTAACCGAATCCAGGCGGTCATCAAATCTAGAGGCGGTGTTACACGTTTTTAAATTATCTTTTTTATGATTTCTCTAAGGGTGACTAATTTTTTTTTCCGGTGTGCTTATTAATATGCGAGGAGCTCTAAAATTTAGGGTCTTCGGTCAAATGCCACTTCTGCCTATGTGATAATCACCCTCTAATGATATAGAAATTAATTTATACCCCAGAGTTTTTTTCGCGTGAAGTTTGAAACCTGTAGTATAATTGAATGTATAGTTTGAAAAACATAAAATAATTTTAAAATGTGTGTGCACGCTTCTAGATGTGTTGCCAGTATAAAGTCTAAAAATATAAGAAAAATAATTGGTTTGCAAAAGCATGAATAAATGTAAAAATATTAAAAACTAACGGGCTGGCAAAAGCATAAATAAAATAGACACATAAAAAGATAAATTTAAATAATAAAAGCAGACGATAAAATTAGAACACCAGAAAGTTGTTGATTTTTCAGAATGAGTTTCGTGTGAAATTTGAGTTTTCCTATATCCCGCTACGGGCACTTTATCTAGTTGTTTTATAATATTTTATCTATCCCGCTACGGGTGAGTTTCCTTATATCCCGTTACGGGTTTTTCTTGCTGTTTTAAGATCTTTTCACTATCCCGCTACGGGTAATTCATATTTGTTACTGTTTGTGTTGTTTGTAAATAAAAGTTTTTATAAAAAAAAATGAACAGTTCTTTAATATAGCTTGATACGCTACACCAGTAACGGTATGTTGATCGCTAATAATCGTTTTCTAAAATGTTTAATTTCAAACAACATCATAAGAATAGCAATAAAAACTTACCCACAGTAAATATTAAGTTCACTTTCTTTAAGTTCACTCTCCATAGATGGACTATACTCATCAATAAATGTCACCCAGGTATTAGAACATTCATCTAACTTGTCATCACTGCAATGTTCGCTTCTTGACAGATAAACAAGCGCTAATCAATGAGAGAGAAAAAAATTTCACGTTCTGAAATATTTAAAAATAAAAATATGCTCGCAGACTACATTTCAAAATGGTTGTGTACTTGTATGAATTTGTTGTTGATTACAGAAATTTAACTAAAAAACAGACAATGCTAATGACCAACAACAGCAAGAAAAAAAAATTTAGAACAGTGCGACATCGGGCATCTTGGATATAGTTTGGACAAGTTTTTTTTCTATTTTAATTATTTTAACAACATTAAATGTTGTTTATTAGATCTTGGTTTTATTATATTTATCGGAATCATCGATCATAGCAAACTAGGTATTCAGTTTAATGAAGTTGCTTCGTAAACCGTAAGGTTCGGTTTTGACACACCCATTTTTTTATCCGTCCGTATGAATTGAAAAAATTGTAACAATTTAAACTACGCAGGGATTTTTTTTTATCTCTGATCTCTTTCTTGTAAGCCAACAATTTGGTGGTAAATAAAATGCATTGGTAAGTAAACTTCTTAATTTTAAACATTTTTAAATTTTCCTTTCTAAAAAACTGTCCAATTGATTTTACTTAAGTTTTAAGTTTTGTCATTAAAAAAAATCTTAATTTTTATACCTTAGATCAGAAAAAAAATTTCATCATTATTTACGCAAATAGTTTTATCTGGAGAAAATTCCAAAACGTAAAATTAACATTATGAAGGACGTTAAAGAATAAACTATTGGGAGTGAAACTGAGAAATAAACCGTTTGCAGATAGCGGTTACCACACCCTCTTCACTCAGAGAGTTATAAACTCAAATCTATGGTGATAAAAGGCATGCTTAATATGGGGAATAATGTTTTGGATTCTGATTTCGTAACTTAAATTATCGTCAACCATCTCCACAAACCATTAAAATGAATGAATCTTAGAACGTGAAACTCTGCCACAATATCAAAAAGTATTTTTTAAGGGGTGGGGGGTAGAATCTTGCTGTTCATTAATCCGTTAACATAAACCGAAAAATCGATTGAATCTTACTGACAGAAACACTTTTATAAAATATTATTTATACTTTTATAAATTATAATGGTATTTATATATAAAAAAATAATTTAAACTAATATATATATACTTAAAAACAATTATAGTGAGACTCACCTATTCCAAAAGCTAATATCAAATAAAAACTAAAGAGATTCATAATCTAGTTTCATAAAAAAAAGTGTCATGAGAAATGACGAATCTTTGAAGTTTATAATTTTACTAATATTCGTTAGAAACGCTCCGGATGCATTTCCTTCCCTTCGAATTTCGAGGTCATCCCGGGCCTGGAATCAGAACTTTTCTATTAATAATTCATAAGTGTTCTATTTTCATTTTTCAAATATATATATATATATATATATATATATATATTATTTTTTTACAGGTAACAGGAACAGTTTTTTACAGGTGAGAAAAGCTGTCAAATTAAAAAGTTTCAAATATCATACCAAGTGTAATTTTGCAATTTCTGAGATATATCCACTTAGTATCCACTACTCACGCAACAACTTTCCTCTTAAAGTGGGGAAGTTAAATATTGGAAGTCATGTATATACTACTCGTACTCGTCATAATACTCGTATATAACTTATAAAGTATGAATTAAATGATTGAATTTATTATTGCTAAATATTCCTAATTATTACAATTAAAATTATTAAATCGAATTTTATTCAATTGAGCTAAAAAAAACTCATAAGAGACAATAGCACTCAAATCTTAATTATCAAATATACTTTAGTTGCACTAACTCAAGTTTCTATTATTTATTTATTTGTCTGCTTATTTAATTATTTTATTCTTACCGACTTTACACAGTATAGAACACAATGGGGAAAAAATTGATCGATTAAGATGTGGCAAACAGCATTGTTATTGGAAGAAAAAAAACTTATCATTATTCATTTATTTTTCAAATGTAATAATGTTAATAAAAAAATTTATTAATTAAATAGCATTATTGTGGTACTCACCAATTGTAAGAATTATCTATATATATAAAAATGAATGTGTGTCCATCTGTTTGTCTGCCTCTATGTCTGTCTGTTTATAGACTCTTAAACCATCCGACAGAAAGCTATGAAACTTGGCATACAGATAGTTCAAAGCAGGAGGAAGGTTTCTGTTGACAGTAGAACATTCTGTAACAAACAGTTCCAGCGGTATCAGCGAAAATCAAAATGGAATTTTCTGATTGGTTAAAAGTCAGCCATTGTTTTAAGTTTTGCTATAAACGAATCAGTTTTCAAATATCTTGAAGATAACAACAGTGATATCTTATAGCTCTATTCTTTTAGAAAAGTAAATTATATATACTTTAATATTTAATTATAATTCGCGCAAGTATCTTTATGTCAGGTGAGCACAAGCACGTAAAATCAACGAGAATAGATTTCGTAATTTGCGATCGCAACGAACTATAGGGGGCGTTGTTGTATGAGACTAATACCTGCGATTTCTATATAAACAGTCATTCATTTACTCTAGAGACGTCTTTAATGTAGCGTGTAGCATTGCAACGTTCCGTTTTTATCGTGGGTAATTAAATTTAAAGAAGAAAAATGTTTAATATCCTTTCTTATGCAAACGAAAACAAAATGGTATCTCTTTTTTTTAGAGAAGGAACATCCAAAACACATCGGAAAACATCAATNACATGAAAGACCTATTTAAACTTTACATTCCATAATTTTAAGAATCATATTAGTTCAAAAATTAAAATGAACAAAAAGTATACATAAGCCTCATAATTTTATGAAATTTAATTTAGTAAAAAAGGTTTTTTGACAACAAATTTTATTAAAAAATTTCAAGTTTCAATAAAAATCATCATTTAGAAACTAAAAAACGTAAAATAAAGAATGCTTACGATACAAAGCAAAAAAGAAAAACCCAATTCTAAAAATTCCCTACATTAAAATAAACAACTTTCAAGTTTTTTCTTTTTTGATTCCTAATCGGTCGCAGAAAACCATTCTATAGAAAACTATCATCAAATCAGAAAAAAATTACTTAAAAGTAAAATTTTTTTATTTTATAAAAATTAACACTTACCTGCTTTATAAATCAGAAGAATTCCAAAATGATTTGTTCTTCGATTTTTGTTACCATTTTTAGTGCTACGAAAATGCGTCTTTGGGATTTGCCAAAAATAGAACAAGATGCAATTTTATTTTTTCAGGAGCGAAAAATTTTGCCCATTGTCCACCGAAATCCGATAAACTACTTTGATTTTAAATAAAGTGTTTTATTTTATGAATTGTCGAAAAAATTTTAAGTGTAGATTGGCGGCACTTAAAAACCGCCAAATCTGTAGTTACGGTGGCGTTGTTACGTAAGTACCGAATTTCTATTCCATACTTTTTTGAATCATATTACTTTAAACATTAGAATATGCATGAAGTATACATTAGCACATAATTTTATACCATTTAAATTTTCAAAACAATTATTTTAACAACAATTTTTATCAAAAAATTATAAACTAAAAAACGTAAAATAAAGAATTCTTAGGATAAAAAAAACGATTTTAAAAATTCCTCATATTGAAATAAAAAACTTCCATATTATTTCTCTTTTTATTCTTATAGTTCTTTGTCAGACGTAAAAAAGCATTCTGTAGAGAACTATCATCAAATAAGAAATAAAAAAATTTTACAAGCTAATTTTTAATTATAAAAATCATGACACTTACCTTCTTTATAAATCCGCAGAATTCCAAATGAAATGTTCGTCGTTTGAAAGTTTTATTTTCTAATAATATGTAGATAGATTATCCCTTTATTATTTTTAGATAACATACCACACATCAGAATTTTATAATTGTAAGATCTCGATATGAATTTGAATATGTAGCTTAAAAACGGAACAGCTGAATTCTAGTTGAAATTATCTATTCTTTCAAAACTAAAAAATACTTACCAAGAAAACGATAAAAAATTTATTAATCATCAGCACAAATGACACTATTTCAAGTAATTTGGATGATTCTTTATTGTTGTTTTCCGAATTATATAGATACAGAAATATATACCGTTCTATAACAAAGAAGAATATTCTATAACTATTACAGTTCTGTACATTCTGAATTTACATTTATTTATTGGAATGACGAAAGCAATGTTGACTTCAGTTTAATTTGTAATGAATTGAAGACAGAAGAAATGCATTTTACCTTAAAACACACATCTGTAAAAGTATGCGATAGCGAAATCGGAAGTTATCAGTTGCAAGTTTGTTGATAATAGAAGTTGAAAATTATTGAAGAATTTTCTTCAAGTGTTTGGCGTGTTCTGTTTCTGAAAGAAAGATGTTCTGGAGAGTTTTTTCAAGTTTTTCGGCTTTTTCCTTAGGGAAATTTTGCTTCTTATTTCATGCAAAGAAAATGGCGACCGACTCTGCCAGTGATTCTGATGGAACTGAATGAAAACGTGATAAATTAATGTCTGATATTTACAGGCTCCCGCTAGAGGGCGTTCTCGAGCGTTGCGATCGCGAATTATTGGTCTAATAAAAATAAAGGGAAAAGCAAATTTTATTCAAATTGCACGCTTTTAATAATTATTTATATTTAGTATGCAATTTTAGGTTTGCACAATTAAATATAGTTTTTGACAAGCGACTAGGGGAAGGACGATTCCATAATGTTAAAAACTTAGAGTTTCGTCGGAAGAGTGAAAATAGGGAAAGAGGGAAATTTCACAGAGAATACTGAGGATTTTTTTGTTCGCTTCCTTGGCGTATTGGCTAAATTTCAAAGGTTTACCGTCACCGTTCGCATTTGTTTTTATGTTTATTTTTTGCGACGTTTGCTGTCATTTTTAAACTCGTATAAAATATGTTATTTGTTGAATTTTTTCGTTATGTCTTTATTTTTATTATTGTTATCTGTTTTTCTTTTGTTTTTAAATTTTTTTTTACTTTAAAGTTAGTTAGATCTTAATATATGTATGTTGCCGGCATTGTATAGATTACTGGATGTTTTTAGGCAAAGTATGAAATGTGAGAATTATACCGGGCAATGGTACTTGACTTTAAAAAAAACATCAGTGTAGGGTATACCGGGCAATGGCACTTGACCTTAAAAAAACATCAGTGTAGGGTATGCCGGGCAAATATATACTGGGCAATGGCACTTGACCTTAAAAAAGCACCAGTGTAGGATATACCGGGCAGTGGCACTTATACTAGGTCTAGTTGACTGGACTTTTGGTAAATGTCTGAAATATATACAAGGTCTAGTTAAGTGCCACTACCCGGTATACATTTGCTCGGTATACCCTACACTGATGTTTCTTTAAGGTCAAGTACCACTGCCCGGTTTATACACTGAATTCTTTTCACGATCTCCCCCCCCCTCACGCTCCTCCAACATGTACAGAATTGCTGGAACAGCGACGGTAATTGTCAACAGTACTGAGGTACGTATCTCTCTGCATCAAAAACGTTCTTTGAAGATAAAAAAAAAATAAATCTGACTGTCTTCTCTGTAGAGCCTAATAATCAATTCTTTCTTTTTTGATGACCCTAGTTAAGTTTTTTTTTTTTTTTCGTTTCAGAAAATCTCGCCAAAATTTGACTTCCAATGTTTGCGCTAAAATAAGGCGATATTTTGCTAAGCTAAAGCTCTCACCAGCAAAGTTTTCCCGATATCGAGCTCATTTTCCCCTTTCTAAATTTTCTAAGTCCGTTTGTATTATGGAATCGTCCTGTCCCTAGTCGCTTGTTAGTTTTTGAAGGTTTCACTGCTGACAGTTGTCATTTGAAAACTATTATATCGTTTATTATAGCAAAGTTTACGAATTCACATTCATTTTATTTCTTTCATTTAAAAAATAGATTTTTGTTTTAAAGTTTATCATTATTATAGTTCATATTTAATTTATTTAATCTTTATTGCTTTTTCTATTATTTAAAATAAATATGTAAATTTCCGATTTAGCAAATTTGCGACCACTGTCAACTTTTACATTTCTTTTTGTTTGAAAGAGAATATTTGCAAAAATATAAGGCCTAAACGAATTGCTCTTTGTCGATCAACATCTCAAGCACGCAAAAAGAGAACTACCCGAGTTTCAGAAACGTCTGAGCAACAGGAAAGAAGACTGTTAACAAATCAACTACGCACTACTCAAGCCCGCTCGTCGGAAACATCAGAGCAACGGGAAGCAAGAATGAAATCTGATCGAGAACGCACTACTCAATCCCGTTCGTCGGAAACATCAGAGCAACGGGATGCAAGAATAAAAAGCAATCAAGAGCGCATTTCACTATTCAGACGCTGCCAATACTCTGATTTGAAACTCAGTGCATTTCACTATGATCCGACAACCAACTATAGTCTTTCACCCAAGCGTCATCATCGGAAAAATGGATCAATTATGTACGTTTTGTAATGCTCTAAAATTTAAGAATGAAACAGTTGGAATTTGCTGTTCTGGAGGCAAAGTGAAACCACCAGATTTAACGTCTCCTGCCGAGCCATTATCAACGTTGTTATCGAGTCAAGTAAATCAAGAGAAACTTTTCTTGGCGAATATATGTCAGTACATTCGTGTTTCCAAATGACTTCATTCGGTGCTACAAGTATCGGTGCGCATATGGGCAACCAGATTTATTTATTACATTCACATGCACTCCTGCTTGAGCTAAAATTAAAGAGCTTTAGTAACTTAAGCAAACATCATCGGATCTTCATGATGCATTACCGCACGTGAGTTAAAACAAATATTAAGCTCTGTACTTGGTTTTATTGCGAAAAGTCATGTTTTTGGAGAGACACGGTGTTTGATATATTCTATTGAATGGCAGAAAAAGAGAATTGCCACACGATTTGGCTTATTGAAAAAATCACTCCATGACAAAATGGTCAGCTCATATCAGCAGAAATATTCATGTCGCCATTGATCCAGACATTTTTCAGATCATCATCCAAAATATGTTTCATGGTCGGTGTGCATCACCATACATGCCTCTTTGAAAATGCACTAACGATATCCTAGAGAATTAACTGTTGAGACTATCACTGGTTTTTTCACCCTAAAATAAAATTCTCACTTCAAATCATAATCACAAATCTCATTTACACACTTAAATACAAAATTTAAACTCAAACTTAAAGCGTTGCAACGCACGCAGGGTACAGATAGTTATCAAATAAAGATTACAGAAATGCATTGTTATCTATTTTCATAAAAAGGAATCGTAAATATTATCTGATATTTGATATGTGTTAAGTTACCGCTTTTTCGCTAGAAAAACTCCGTACGTATCCTCTCATACGGTACTAAGAGCTTGTATTTGGCAATATCTCAGTCATCTGTATATTTAATTCAAAGTCAAATAAAATGATAAGTACAATTTATGATGCTGAATTAGTTGATTCGCCTTAAAAAAACCGTAAAAAAAGGAAACAGTACCCTTTTAAAAATATGTTTATAAAATACAAGATTTATTTAGATCTGGCTTTTTTCCGAACTTTCATGGCAGGTTTTCTTGCTTCTTAAAATTAGTATTCCTACCAAAACTTGAAATTTTCATAGACAACTTAAAATTAAAGTTTATTAAACTAAAGATACGTAATTATTCTACATTTTTATTTTGTAATTTTATTCCAATGGCAAGCAGTATGGATGATTATGTAACAAGAGGGGATATATCTTTGAATTTTATTAATTTTGCCCGCTTAACAATTTTAATTTTAAGCGCTTACTTTATAACTAAATTATCATATTAATTCTTTAAGTTCTTCATGGTTTTCTATTTTGGGGAGGGGAGACCTGAAAACAACGCTTGTTTGTCAATTAATACACGTTAGTTAATTAATACACGCCGACATCGAGCTCAATCAGTATCGTCTTTTTAACACCATCCATTTTAGAAACCTTGTCAAAAATTGACATTTGAAAGTCACAACAAGGGATCGAACGTTTGCATCACAATGATGTGGATGACTGATACGAACTCGGCTCTAGGCTCACACTGACCAAAGTGATAACGTAAAATATCCTCAGTAGTAGACGAAACATGGCTTAGAATTCTTTTGCAGTCGGACTAACCGTGGGAGTTTTTGTGGTATTTTTATCCATGTTAAACAAATGCTGGTTAGTTCCGTCAAAAAACTCTCCATGAAGGTTAATTTGTCCCATTGTTTGATCCAGGAGTTTCCTTGCCTTCTGAGTTGGTTTCAAAATTAAAAGCAGCAAGGAGTTGAAAGTTGATAGTTGTAAACTCTGAATTGAGTCGTCTGTTTAAAGCTGCATATAAAACAAAATTAACCATTAAGCAACTACGAAAGAAAAATGCTATCGAAATTTGTCGAATCGCAAATGAGGAAGGTGTGATGAAAAATCTCAAAACCAATTTGACTATAGCGAAAGCGTTTTAAAACTTTTTTTCGTTTAATAGTTTTGCAACTGTTAAATGTCCATACATTTTTTATTTATCATCGAGAAAATTTCTAAAATTAAACATTTATGACTCGCATTAAAAAAAACCGATCGGTTTAAAAGTTGTTGCTATGCAAAAGTCTAATTTAGTTAAGGAAAGACAATATAGGGACGATAGAGGACTTGTCTTCCATAAACAATTAGTAAATCCAAAAAATATCTTATAACTGGCTCTGCAAATATAGTGTTCAGATTTTCCATAGTGTTGTAGATCAAAACAGAGGTACTTGCTAATGGGATACGAAGTTTACTGTTCTCAGCATAAACATAAAAATTACCATTACATGTAAAACTTTATTATTTTATTTTTTGGTACAACTCTATTATTTTATTATGTTTATATTATACTTAAAGTCACATTAAAAGCTGATCAAAGTGCGAAATCGAGAAATTTTTAACTCTTAAAGCATCATGGTATATTAGTTACAGAATTTTTCTATCTTGAAAACAAATTTCAAAAAGCAGTATACAAATAGTAAAAAAAAAAATTTTTTTTTACATCCGTAAATCGCATAAGGTTTTTAAAAACAAAATCCAAATATGACAGAGCACGCAATCAACAATACATTAAAGGCAATCGCATAAGCTCCACTGCATACATCTTTGTATGTATCTTTTAAACCATCTTCCAAGGATTTAGCAAACAATTCTCCATCTTCGCCACAGACTTTTCTGCTAACATCAGCAAAACATAGCGCACCTTTCATGTCCCTAGAAATAAAAATCAGAAACAAAATCTTTACATACATACATAATGGCCTTACGTAATCCCAGAAAAATGACCCAATTTATTGGTTTAGTGGACTGAATTACTTTACTGAGGTTATTTGTTTTTAATGTAATTTGTATACTTGCCTGTACCATTAAATTGATCACACTGTAAAAAATTGAGAATCAAATTACGATATAAAGTGACAGTACTTTGGGTGCTTCATCTATAAAATTCATTTTTACCGTAAAATATTATCTACCGTAATTTTTACAGTAATATTTATTTAATTAGAGGGCTTCAGTAATCTTACGATAATTAATGCTGTGATTTTTTTTGTTCCGTAACATGTTCCGGTAAAAAAGGATTATACGGAGTGCCTGTACTGATTACCATAATTTGATCCGCATGTTTTTAAGAGCACGAATGGTCATTTTCACTTAATTGCTAAACTGAATGTCATAATAACTTTCGCAAGTTAATAATAAAAAGACAATTAAGATTACGTATGAGTATGAATGATATACAATTAAATAGTGATTATTGAGATTTTAAAAAAATACCTTTTATTAATTTTGCTCAGATGACAGCTAAATATAACTTAATCTGCTTTGTTAAATGAAGATCGAGCCATATGAGTTTCCTTTCCAATGAGAATGCTTGATCAATTGTACTAAGCAATTATGCAAAGAAAATTAAACTTTTTAAAAACAAACTTTCAAAATTAAATTTTTTATCTCATAAGGCTGTACAGTAAAAGGGTGTCAAGTATTATAATCGTATTAAATATAAACAGGAACTTTTTATATACCTGTAATTTATTGAAAAATGAAAAATCTTGAAAAAACTAGTACAAATAGTCGTCAATAAATGTCGCTGTAGCATTCGTGAAACATGATTTGAAGAAACAGAGCAAGAGCATATACAAATAATTTTTGTGAAAGACAATAATTATAGAAAGATAATGTTAAACACGTACAAATTTTTTATTTAATCGCTTAATTTTAATAAATCATTAGCACTTGATCTGAAATGTCTGTTTTCCAAATGACTCCTCATTGCAGCCAGCAAACCTTACCCTTTGAATAGGGAAAGTATAATTTCGAAAATCCTGCATCTAAATAAGATAAAAACGAAAATCTAATGATTGCTACTAACTTGCATAAATTTTCTAAATCACCATCTTCAATGTGTTTGTGATCTTCCAGCGATGCACATTTTTTAAACTGTGATACGTGGTTTCCAAAACATGGAAGTATTTTCAAATACACTGTAATTGGAAAAATTGTTTGATTATTTTATTTAAGTATAATCAATCATTTAGTATTTCATACGGATTTAAAAAATTTGTGAAGAGACAGATTTCAATTTGCACAATTTGGTACTCAGAGAACAATTAAAAGAAATATAGAAGAGAAATCCAAAATTCTTTATCTTGAATACCCATAAAGTCCTTGAAGAAAAAGCGAAATTTGAGAGAAATTGACGAAGTACATTCACTAGGGGAACTCAAAACTGTTTATATTGAAGGTCACTAATGCTGAATCTACGGAGGAAAAGCAAAATTTGAGAGCAATTAAACGCAGTAGATTCGCTAAAAGTTTATCTTGAACAAAATTCTTTATCTTGAATGTCACTAATACGTTTGAAAAGGGAATCCAATACTAATACTGTTAATGCCACTAATACTAAGCCTATGGAGTCAATCTGAGCGCAATTAACATGGAACATTGTGACACAAATTTAATGGTTAGCTTGCATTCGCCGAAGAATAATAAAGTTTTGATAATGCATAACTTCTTTACACACAAAAAAAAATCCATATTATTAATTTGAAAGTTTGACATTCAAAAATTAATAAATGATGGAAAAAATTAGAGAAGTCCAATCCTAACAATAATAGTTTTTTTTTAAAAAAAAATTCTCTTTTTTACTAATTGAATAAAAAAATCATTAATGCATCAATTCACGATTTTCTGAGATAATCCAATCAATATATGTATAATTTTGCTTTTTCCCATAGACATTTAGTAACAGTAGTCAAATTTAAAATGAACTGTGTAAAATCTGCGTTATCAAACTTTTTCGACATAAGAGTTTTCATCTACGAATAAAGCTTAAATAATTAAGATATTAACTAGTTAATCGTGAAGTGTGTTAATTAGACTTTAAACAGCTTTTTTAAAATGTATATATATATCAAAGGCGCCGGCAACGGGGTGCAAGGGGGTGCACTTACACCCCCCTGGCCTTTTTTTAATCATTCAAAGAGATACAGAAAAACAATTTTGTTATAAAAAAATTTTAATTAAANTTTTTTTAATCAATTAAAGAGATACAGAAAAACAATTTTGTTATAAAAAAAATTTTATTAAAAAACAAATAATTAAGTAATTAATAATATAAAACAATTAAAAAATTGTTTAATCAAACAAGAATTGTAATAGTCCTGTTGGCTGTCCAAATCTGTTTATAACTTTTTCAATGAATTCTGAGTAAACTTTGATTCTTTTCTTATGCACACTGAGCATGCATGCACAAACTTGGCAGATATCTAAGCTATATTTTTAAGTTTCATTTAATAAAAGATAAATAATATTGTATTTTCCATTAGTTATTTAGTTTAACAAAGGTGTATAACACAAACTGACTTCTCGCAACTGTAAAGCTTCATCAACACAATAAATACCAATGTTAAGCGTACACAAACACGTTAGCATACGAAACTGTTTTTAGTTATTTGTGTTTCAAAGTCAGTAGCTATGCCAGCGCCATCAATACAGTTTCTCGTGGCAAAATTTACAATTACAAGAAATTCGTACTTTTTTATAATATCTTGTTAACAATGAAGAAATGCATCTTGAAAAAAATTAACAGATGAAAGTATATGTAACAACAAAACAAAATGTAATAACAGAATATTGAAAAAAAAAGTTTTTTTTGGGGGGGGGAGGTTGTTTGTTAGAGGGATGCACCCCCTTTTATATTATTCTGACGGCGCCCTTGATATATATATATATAGCATTTTTCAAACTTCTTCTATAATCAAAGAAATCAAAAATCGTTAGAAACAAAGTCTGAGAGAAATATTAAAGTGAAAAAAATAAGAAAGAAGAAAAGTAGCAAAATCATAGATAAAAATTCTCCTAAAAAGACAAACCCCCTTATAGAAGTCACGTCTAAAGAAACCAATTACATTTGAACGATATTTTTTTGTACAGTATTAATCTTTGTTCAACTTTTCTGTAGAAATTTATTACTTACTCGAGCGTTGATCTGTCCCTGGCTGGCATATCATGTTAAGAAAATTCAACAAACTAGCAGTTGATGCGGATATCAGAGGATGTTCCTTCTTACAGTCAGCAGCAGCATCCTCTAAGCATCTGCCATCTTCTTCAACTCTCCTAGTTTTGAATAGATTGTTATGTTTAAATGTGCAACGGATTTCAGTTGTTCTTTTATATATATATATATACGCATATATGTGTGTGCATATTGACGGTATGCTAATTTCTTAAAAATTCTGACTTGCAATGGAACTAAATTAATAACAAACGGATTACTTCCTTTTAAAGATGACAGACCTCACAGTATCAAGAATATACTTTACGTCATCGACAATGATATTCAGGGCCCGATTGTGAGAAGTTGGGGCCCTGGGCAGATACTAATCAAGGGGACTCAACATTTAATTTAACAATAAAATTTGCATTAATTTTAATAAGATTTTTACAAATTTACACCAGTGTACCTAGTACTATACGCATGCATAATGTGTTTCGATGCTGCACTAATCGGATTCTAAATTTATCTTAAGTGAAGCCCCAACGATTGATAATCTCATTGGTGCATTGTCTATTGAATGGACCAGGATGAGCATTAAATAGAATTAATTATTTATTAAACAGAAATACATTGTTAGTTTTTGAATGTAGAGAAAGTAACCATTGACAAGAAGACGTCAGTGACTTTGTTCTCGTCTTTTTGAGTGAAAATTAGATTGTTGCAGTGTTTAATAAATCGGCGCAAGGCACAACTTTAAATAAAGAAAAAATTGAAACTTTTGAAACATTAATATGCGAGGAGCTCTATGATTTAGGCGCTTTGGTCAAATGCCACTTCTGAGGCCGGGATAGCCTGGTCGGTAGGGCCAAGAGGTCGTGCCAAGAGGATATCCAAAAGGTCGTGGGTTCGATCCTCGCCGTCCGAAGACTCCCCGTGTAGTAAATGGTGACTGATGCACGTTAAATCTGTCGAGTCTCAAAGTCCTCCATGTTCCCACAACAAATCAAAACCTCTGTGGGTACTCTGGGAGAACCAATCCAGTTCTTCTGGATTGGTTCAAAATTACAAGGCTACGGAGTTGAACGTAAGTAGTCGTAAACCCATGAAATTGGGTCGGCTGTTCAACGACGGTTATAAAATAAAATAAAATGCCACTTCTGCCTAGGTGATAATCACCCTGTAATGATATTATAGAAATTAATTGATACCCCAGATTTTTTTTCACATGAAGTTTGAAACATATAGAATAATTGAATGTATAGTTTGAAAAACATAAAATAATGTTAAAATGTGTGTGCACGATCCAAGATGTGTTGCCAATAACGGTATGCATCATTTTGGCAAAACAAGCCTTTTATAAGAAAATGCAATCTGTTTTTCCTAATTAATTCGATCGTTAATAATTTTTTTCTAAAAAGTTTAATTTGCAAAACATTATAAGAATAGCAATCAAAACTTACCCACAGTAAATATTAAGTTCACTTTCATTTCTCTTCATAGATGAAAAATGTTCATCTACTAATGTCTTCATGGTATTAAGACATTTCTTTAAATTGTCTTCGTTGCAGTGTTCGCTACTTGACTGATAAACAAACGCTAATCAATGAAAGAAAAATAGAAGTTTTACATTCCGAAATATTATAAAAAGAAAACAAAAATAAGGTAGCAGACTACCTTTTAAACTGGTTGTGTACTTGTATGGATTCTTCGACGATTACAGAAAATAAACTAAAAATCAGACAGTGCTAATGACCATCAAAAGTAGGAAAGAAAATTTTTTAGAACAGTGCTATATCGGACATCTTGGAGATGGATATAGTTTAAACTAGTTTTTCTATTTTAATTATTTTAAAAACATTAAATATTGTTTATTAGATCTTCACGATGAATAAATTCATTTTATTGGATTTATCTGTATCATCAATCTTAGCAAACTAGATATTTAGTTTAATAAATTTGCTTCCTAAACCATAAGGTCAGGCTTTGACAGCAACCATTTTTTTATCCGTAAGTAAGAGTTGAAAAAATTCAAACAATTTAAACTCCACAGGGATTTTCTATCACTGCTCTCTTTCTTGTAAGCCAACAATTAGGTGTTAAATAAAATGTTTTAGTAAATAAACTTTTCAATTTTAAACATTTTTAAATTTTCCTTTCTCAAAAACTATCCAATTGATTTTACTTAATTTTCAAGTATTGCCATAAGAAGTCAAAATTTTTAGACCTTAGATCAGAAAATAATTTTCATCATTATTAATGTAAATGGTATAAAATAATAATAAATAGCTAAAAATCTTATATAGGTAATAGTTCCTTCAGAAGTTTTATCAATGTAGGCACAAAAAAAAATTGTTTTTTTCTTTTAATCTGTACAAGTAGTTACGAAGAAAATCACAAAACGTAAAAATAATGTTATGAAGGGTGTTAAACAATAAACTACTGGGAGCGAAACTAAGAAATAAACCATTTGCAGATAGCGGTTACCACACCCTCTTAACTTAGAGAGTTATAAACTCAAATCTATGGAGATAAAAGGTATGTTTATAATGCGAAAGTATGTTTCGAATTCGTAACTTAAATTATAGTAAACCATTTCCTCAAACCATTAAAATGAATGAATCTTAGAACGTAAAACACTATCACAATATCAAAAAATATTTTTTTCCGGGAGGGGGTATCATACTGCTCATTAATCCGCTAACATAAAAGGAAAAATCCGTCGACTCAGAACTCGCAGAAAGCGGAGTTACTGATAGAGACAATTTTTTAAAATATTATTTATACTTTTACAATGGCATTTATATTTAAAAAATTAATTCAAACAAAAATAAATTTACATAAAAACAATTACAGTGAGACTCACCTATTTCATAAGCTAATATCAAATAAAAACTAAAGAGATTCATTATCTAGTCTCATAAAAAAAGTGTCATGAAAACTGACGAATCTTTGAGATGCGTAATTTTATTGATATTCGTTAGAAACGCTCCGGATGCATTTCCTTTCCTCTACGACACGGTAGTAAGAATTTCTATTTGACAATATTTGAGACATCGGTCTAATTAACACAGATGCAAAATGATAGTGACGACATTGTTACTCTATGTTCTGAAATACTTTGAAAAATTTATATAATTAAACATTCCCTTTTGAAAATAAAAGTCAATCTACATTTTATCGAAAAAGTAGATGAAAACTAAGGATTTTTAACGTTAGCGAATTTTTAGGTTAACCCGGACTTGAAACTAGAACTTTTCTATTAATAACTCATAAGTGTTCTATTTTTATTTTTCAAATATATATATATATATATATATATATATATATCATAATAAATAAATAGGAGGAGCTTTTTCATATGATGCTGGTGGTGAANTGTGCTGCTGCTCGTCCATGGAATCCTTGTGCAATCAGCTCCCGACGAATGGTACGTGCACTGGCAACACTGCCAGATGCAGCCCGGAAGTTGGTAGCGACAGTGTCCAACGACATTTGTCGGTTTGCCTTCACTACACGTCGAAGAGATCGTCGATCCCTGTCGGACATTATTTTGGGCTTGCCGGGTCGGGACTGCGGTTTTTCCCTCCCTCTCGTTCCCATTTCAACAAGACGTCACCAACTGTTGACTGTGGTATCTGAAACTTGCCGGAGATGGCACGTATGGAATAACTAGATCGGTGGGTGCCTATGATCCTGCCCCTTTCCACCTCATTCAGCTCTCGTCGTCCACTCATTTTCACTGTTAACGCTCGTATGGCCGTCGCCTGCTTGCGAGTGGACTTTCCCCCACCACAGGTTCCGTATTTATTCCACCAGGACGAGTCCACCTGCCGTTCAAGGGGTGTCCGGTCATTAATGGCTAGATAGTGTATATATATATAATTTTTTTTACAGGTGAGAAAAGCTATCAAATTAAAAAAGTTTCAAAAATCCAAATATACCAAATATCCAAATATTTCAAATATACCAAGTGAAATTTTGCAATTTCTGGGATTTGTAACAAAAACTGAGTACTAAAACAAGCACTGTTAACGAATACTTTTAGAAAAATTAATTTTCATTTAAAATGCCAGAAAATAATTTTCAAAAATTTATGGCTAAGGGACTGTTCCAAGACCATTATTCTATAAGCTAAAAATGACTTTCAAGCTCGTAAGTTTTAATCATGAAAAACTTGTTGAACTTAAAATTATCGACCAGAAACAATACAGTTTTAGTCACTAATTTTTACTATGTATATAGACAACACGTGATTTTATTTTTTGAGACGTAGAAAAAGTTAACTGATAAATCGACGTAATAGAACAGGTTGAAACTTTTTCCTCGCTAGGAAATTGAGGCAAATGTTTACATTGAAATCGAAACAGTTAAGAAACTCCTCCAATTGTTTTAAACTGTCTGTCTAATATAAAAATTGCTCCCGCCAATGTCTGGGGCTGTATGTTGCTATGAAAATAAGTATTATCACATTTCAAAAAGAGAAGCTATTGAAAACTTTCTCGTCAATTTTAGTCAAAACTGATCCTAAATATTTACTTCACTCCTCTACTTGAATTTTATTTAACCTCGTAACCATGGTCACCGACAGTGTTCCATAAAACTGGCATGGGGAGTTCCTTTGTCCGATACACAGTATATTCAATACTAGTCACCAATAAGATAGGGTGAAGCAAATAGAACTCAGAATTCTAGCAGTATCGCTTTTTCTCATGGATGGAACATTCTAATCAAAGATTATTTCGTGATTAGGAACATTTTTCGTGAGTTTTATACATTCCAAAACAAAAATTAAGAGAAAAATGGAGTCCAAGACAAATTTCTACAAAACACGAAATTCTGTTTTGACACCCCTATAAAGATAAGATAATGGGAGTTGTTTAAAAATTAAAGCGCGATTTCCAACTTAAAGTAGTGTTAGGAAAATTTCAGTTTATTTAGTTTCGGAAAATTTTAAATTTAAGTAATTTATGAAAAGGTTTTGTTGTTTTATTTAAAAATCCAATTAAATATTCATATATTTAAGGCTTTTAAAAATATAGCGATTTGTCAAACACAAAATTATAACTCCAATAAAATGCATGGTACAATCAAAGTAATTAAGCAAAAAATAACGTTTTTTCTTCCCATTAACATTTTTGAAAGAGTTTGATACTTATGAATGCAGATTTTATGTAAATTAGAAGGACTCCCAAGTTGAGTATAAAAATTAAATAAAAAAATAATAATAAAATCAGGAAGAGCTGGAAATTCTCGTCTGATAACTGGCCTGCAGATTATGGTTAGAATTTTTTTTTTTTTCATTCTATGTATATGGTGATTCTATTAAAATTGTGAAATATAAATATAAATTCACAATAAAAAAAATTTCTAAAAATTCCAAGACTCTATTTGTTACAATATTTTTAACAGAATTCAAGAGACGTTTTCCAACACCAATTTTTACTGACCACTGTCATTAAACCTCTTAATCAAAAATAAAAAATTAATATAGAAATGATTTAAAAAATGCCAATTACCTAAACTTTTCAATTGGCTTCTTTATTATTAACTTGTTTAAATGATTCAATTTTTTTCTTCAATACATTTTAAAAATACAATACACATGTAAAAAAAAAGCTTTTATTAAGGACATAAATAAATATAAATACATAAATGCTTTTAAATAATCACATTGAAGTTACAGACAAAAAACTAACAAATAATTATATAACAAATTACACAACTTGTATGACTCACAAATACTAAGATAAATGCTTGAAAATAATATACTTTCTAAAGGGATTGATTATATAAATTATGAAAGAAAATAAACAAGCCCTAACTGACATACAAAAAGTGCAAATCTTTTCATGAGTAAAATCTTGAAGCATCCGATTATATATGACAATGGTGATGAATATAATATTTTCAGTAGAATATATGTGCTTAAAAGGCGTTTGGAACATCAGATCAAATCCTCAAGCGATTAATAATGGCTTGTTTTTAAAACTAACAATAATGAAAACACTAGTCTCTATTTTACAATAGTAGTTTTGCAAAACAAAAAACCTCCTGGTTTTCACATTTTAAAAATTGAGATTTCGCTAGATCACAATCACCTCAGCAATGCTTATGAATTTACTATTGAATTTCTATGAAAGTTATTTTTTGAAAATGAAATATTATAACTACAAACATTACATATAAAATGAAAACTACTGCAAACACAAATTGTTAACTCAAAAAAATTCAGATCTTTCAAAGTAATTTTCATTAAAATCATTAAAACTTCCTTAAAACATGTGAGCAAAATCAACCAATGATATGAATAGTTAAATGATGAACTAAAATCAATACCTCACTAAACCTAACTCACTAAAATCCATTTTTCTTTGCATTTCAGAGTATTTTCTTAGAAATTTTTTGTTAAAATTTTTTTATTGCTAGATCTTATATTATTATAAAATTTTCTAAACGACAAAATTACACTAATTTGGTAGAATAATAAGCAACATTTTCAAATGTAACTGCCTAACTCAAACCATGAAATTTAAAATGAAAACTATTTTAAACATAAATTGTTAACTTAAAAGTCAGATCTTTTAAAATCATTATCATTAAAAGAAAAAAAAAACTAAAATTTTTATAACCATGTAAGAAAAACCAACCAACACCACCAACAGTTTAATGCCTGAATTGACAAGCTTAAGTCACTGAAATTAATTTAGCATACATTTCAAAGATTTTCTTTCATAAACTGATTAAAATTTTGTTATGACAAGATTTTATATGTATTTATATTTTTTTAAAGGAAAAAATTAATTTAGTTAGGTAAAATAATACACAAAATGATTATTCTCTTCTCTGAGAATGATAAAGTAAAAATAAATAAGAACATACACAGTGCCTGATTTATCATAAGGCTTGAGAAGCTTAGGCTAAGGATCCCCATCGTGGGGGGAGGGGCCTTCATGTTATAAATAATTTATTTTTGTGTTTTTCCTTAAAAATTGTTTATTAGAATTTCAGTTATCAAAGATTGAAATAAATATGAGCACAAATGTACTAATATATAGTAGTTCACTTATGCTATAAATAATTTAAAAACACTTCACAATTAACGACCAGGGGCCCCTGACAGATCAGGGCCTGTACATACTGGGTGACAAACATTGAACTATATAAATAAAATTTTCAAAAACTACAAGAGTTCAGAAATTAAATGCAAATTTTAAAAGTAACTAGACTTAGTTCGTTCTAGTTTTATGACAAGTCCGATATGCTTCATATTAATGTCTATCGTGAGAGGTTTACAAACAGCAAAGTTCTAGAAACTTTCTGAAGTGTTATGCAATCCATGCTTTTGATCAGGTCCTGAATGACAGTTTTGAGTTCAGTGACAGTTAGGAGGTTACGTATAAACTTAGTCCTTAATATTGTCCCAAAATAATGAATCACTAATTTTAAGATCAGGAAGAACATAGAGAGGTCTTGGATGATCAAGGTATACTCAGAAAGTCTGTATTTTGAAGAAGAAAAACAATTCTAACATTTAATACTAACAATTTCTTAAGAAATACTTAGAGAAATATTTCGTACAAGTATTTTTTAACATCCTAGGCCAGAAAATCAAGCAATAAGCTTGTAACTTTTATCAATTATTTTGGTTGCTATTTTCAATAACTGCATATAATTTCGTAAATCTAGGTTAAATATTTATGGAGATCTGAATATTTTTATAAAGAACTAATTTTTTTGTCTCATGTTTTTCTACTATAACTTATATAAAATATTCAATAAAATTAGACATAATTTTTGGAGCAATTTAAAATTAATTACAAAATTGTTTTATAATTTGAAAAAAAAAAAAATTTGAAAATTTGCAAAATATTAGTATTTAAAGTAGTTCTTTGATATTGTGCTTCAGATTCTTTTTTTTCCCATTAGTTGCAAAATACAATTCACTACAAAATTATGAAAAAATAATTTTAATTTTTTTTTTGTGCAAGTGCAGTACAAGAGAACTACTTTAAATACTCATATCTTGCGCATTTTTTAACAAATCCTCTTACAATTTTAAAACAATGATTTTGTAACTAATTTGATACTGTTCTAAAAACTTTTACTTTTACTGACTATTTTTAAAGTTATAGCAAAAAAACATCAGACAAAAAAATTTGTTTTTAATAAAAATGTCCATATCTCCATAAATATTTAAGCTAGATTTACAAAATTTTATGCAGTAATTGCAAATAACAACCAAAGTAATTGATATAAGTTACCAAGCTTATTGCTTGATTTTCAGGCATAGAGTGTTCAGAAATACTTGATTTTTCCGTAATTTATTGTGGGTTCCTTAAAACCTATAAAAGTTTTAAACTTTATTGTAAAGTATGAAAAATCCCATGAACTAAATACTTCTAAATTTACAAAATATTCCTCTAAGTATTTTTTGAGAAATTTTAAAAAATATCAAAAACTTTAAAGTGTCTCTTACATTATTGTAGGGCAGTGTATATGTTGCCTAACACAATAAAAGAATTTATTTCTTTTACACAAATGTACTCTGTTAGTCGGTACAAATGCAGATTATAGGATAAGCATCTACTATTTTCTATCAGTATATTTTTATCACATATCTTCGAATTGAATATCAAAAGAGTTCAATAGAATTAAATAGCAATTATATCTTTGAACTGAATAGCAGTCAATATCTAAATTAAAAGAACTAGTATGTTTCAATCACTTTTTTACACAAATGCAATCTCTTAATTGATACTAATGCAGGTTATAGGAAAAGCCTCTACTATTTTCTATCAATATATTTTTATTGCATATCTTTGAATTGAATAAAGCAAGAGAGTTAATTTGAATTGAATAGCAGATGTACGATAGTATGAAATTACAAATTGAAGACAAAGAAATCAAACTCAGTCTGATATAAAAATAATAAATGAGGTTCATTAGAGTCATAGAGGTTGTCTCAAGGTGGAAAATTAATTAGAGTACACAGATCTTTAAATTGCTTTAAAAAAAATTGTAGTATATATATGCAAGTTATTTAGATTATTTTCAATGTTTTTATGTTCATTGTTAAATTTAAAATGCTTTTTTCCCCTTTAGAAGTTAATACTTTATTTAAAACACTTAAAACTTTAATCACATATTTTTCTCTTTTCTACTCCAAGGATTTTTAAAAGAAAAAAAAAACATGTGATCAACTTGATTTCAATCATTGACATTTAAATGTAAAATAATAACAATTATTACAAATAAAATTAATATATTGTTTCTCTCAGACTAATAAATAGTAAATTAAATATTCAATACTAGAAAAAAAGGAGGAAAATTACAGAGAGTTAAAAAGAATATAATATTTAACCAAATGGATTCTTAGCAAAAGATACATAAAAATTTAATAAAATATCTGTTGCTTCCCTTGATTACACATTTAACATATTTAAATAAAAATTATGCAATTGTTATTGATCTATAAGTATATAATAGCATTGAGTTTACAAATAAATTCACTTAGATTTTTTATATATCTCAGGAAAACCATATTTTTCTAAAACTTAATTCCCAAACATTTGAAGGTGTGATATATTTAAATAACCTATAATAAAACCAATGAATTAGATTAACCAATTGATGGCCAAGTCACAATTTCTCAATAACCTATTAGAGAATTATAAGTTGTAGTGAAATGAACTGGAAAATTTTAGACAAAAAAATTCATTACATTTCAAATTGTATTGTACAATGCGTGAAAAAAATTTAAAATTATAAGAGACACCAAAAAAAAAAAAGCATTCTTATAATTGTATATATACTAAACAATTATATGGAAAAAAATTAATTAAAAAATGAACAAATTCAACACTTTACTTCCTGACATTGTGACAAACTGCTAAGTCAAAAACGTGCGAATAAAAAATTAGATTACATTATTCAATATTTTGTGCTGCAATTGATAACATCTCAAAGAAATGAATATATAAAGAAAAATATTAATTTTTGTGAGCTTATAGCAAACTTAATACGAAGGTTCTTTTTTTTACAACCATCTTTAAAATAAATAAAAACTTGTTTCTGTTGAATTAAAAAAGATGTTTTCAATTAACTGCAAAAGGAAAGTATCAACAAATTGTTCATTTTGACAATAAATAAATAAATATAAATAAATTTTAAACACATTAACAAACATTTTCTTTTAAAGCTTTTCCCTCAATTTCCCATACTAGATATTTACTCTTTTATAATTAATACAGTACAGAACCCGTTATCCGGAAATCAGAAAACCGGAAAACCAAAAAACCGGAACGAAATTCGATAAATTTTCCCGCAGTTTTTTAAATAAAAATTTTTTTTCCTCATAAGATTTTAGGAATTTTCTTTCTTTTTTGAAAGATATTTACCTTACCATCATTTTGGAAATAATCATTAGTGTATTACTCCATCGTTTTTTCTTCTTTTTAAGATTATTTCCCCAAAAAAAATTTTTTTAGTTGGGTTTAACAATAAAAAAAACGGCTTTTTGTAGAGATTCAGAAAACCGGAAAAATCAGTTATCCGGAATAGCGATGGTCCCGATCATTCCGGATAATCGGTTCCCTAGTGTATAACGAAATTAGTTATAAAAGATAAAAATTTTATTTTTAAAGCAAATTGTAAACACTTGTACTTACATTATATTATAACATAATACTGACATGTAAAGAATAAATACTACATACATAAAAGTTAAGCATTTTTTTTTTTATAATATTAATACACATGTAGTACACAATAGTCTACACACGCCTTTACATATTAAAATTTTAAATTTAAAAAATGTTTAATCAAATCAAATAGTTTTAAAAAATTAATAAAATCTAATTAATTTAAAATTTATACAACATTGCATTTTAAACAATGATTTGAACCATTTAAAATTAAAAAAAAATTTCATTTAGCTTGAAAATATGTTAAACATAGCTGCCAACGCAGTTAGGGAAATGACTTGATAACAAATTTAATGATCAAGAACCTGTAATATGCATGATTATACAATTTGCAATACAATTTTCATAACTCCATTAAAACTAGAACATACAGCAATTTCAATTTGCTTCATCATTAGTATGAAGTAAAGAAGTGCATATCAAATTTATGATTCAATTAAACATATAGTTGTAGTTACTACCTAATAGATAGGTCTGACCATTTATTTCTGATTTTTATGATAATACATCATGACAATATTTCCTGACAATAGAAATACATCAATTACAATTTGTTTCATTATTAGCATGAAATAAATTGTGTAACAATTTAAGATTCAGTTATAAAGGAGAATATCCAAGAGTCATGACATGTCCAATTGGTCTAAAAAAAATTATTTTTTGACCTCATTATTTCCGATTTTTATGAAATTTGGCGTAAAGGACAAAACAATACAATGTTATTACAGTAAATGTTTCTTAGAATTAAGTTTTATTTTTACAGCCTTTAACAAAAATTGACTTTACAGTCGGAGCTACGACAAAAATGATAAAAGCATTAATACAACATCACATTATGGGCCAAGGGGTTAAGAAAGTTAAACCTAAAGAATTTTGTGATAAATGGCATGATGGCGGCAATGTCTTCAGGATTTTTGCAGCTATCACTTTTTACTTACCAGACAAGCTGGTATCATTAATCTGAAGCTGGATGGGTTTCAATTCAAGCCATAAGTGGACATCAAACTCAGTCGATCACGATGTCTTAACTAATAAGACATCATAGCTAATATTATGACTAAAAATGCAAGATTTTAGTCTTTTGACAGTTTCAGACCCATGTTTTATATGACAGCTTAAACTAGGGATGCACAACCTTCTTGGGTGAAGGGCCACTTGCACAGCAGGTTGACTAACGAAGGGCCACACACAAGTTCAGTCATATTGGCGGCAAATATGATCATTTTTTATCTTAAAATTGGTGTTATAAACACTAATTATTTTTATCAATGAAGTTAGTAACATAGTTTTAGAATTATATATTTTTTTTAAATTTTTTACACCTCTTTATCAATAATTGATTTATCTATGTATATATATATTTAGGGAAAAGAAGCACTATACTACAGCTCTAACAAAAAAAAAACTATAATGCTCACAGAAAAAAAGTGTAAAAAAAACTGCATACCTATTTTAATAAGTAATATAAATTTGAACTAAATATTTTAATTAAAGAAAACTTATAGGATTTATGCAAAAACTAGAAATTATATGTTTAATGAATTTTAAATAGAAAAAGCTTCTTTTTTTTTCCTGTAGAAAGTCGTATAAACTACAAGAAAATTACAAACATCGAGCAGTTTAAAAATTCACGTACAATAAAATTTGTGTAAATTGAATGCATCAAAAAGTCATAACTCAAATTTGCTATTTAAAATTTTTACACATTCATATATATAACACATTCAGAAGCTCTCACCAGCTGCACATCAACGGCCACAGGATGTGCACCCCTAGCTTAAACTGTGGCTTAACTTATCATACATCAAAAACTTGCCAATTTATATTCCTATACCTGTTTAAAAAAACTTTGATATTGTGTCTATCTTGAAAAAAAAATTTTAAAAAATTAATTGCCAGAATTACTTTATTTGTGTGTGCCTTTTACACCAAATTTCAAAAAATAAGGTATGCTTCAATGATTCCTTTAAATATTCCCCTAAATTTAAGAATTTTTCTCAATTTACGTAAGAATCCAGTCTAAAAATTGTCGAAAGGTCACATTACTTAAAAGTTTCATTGTATTTGAATAAAATTTCGGTTTTTAAAAAATTACATAATATAAAATGTAACTAACAATAAGAAAATGGAAATTTAGTGGAACTAACATAATAAAATATTGTTTTAAATCTTTTTACAATCTCACATTACTGTTGTTTATCAGCAAAGATATAATAATAAATTGCTAAATATTAAAATATATGCTTGCCTTTAAGTATCGATTCAGCAAGATGAATTGGGGTGTTTAAAAATACATATTAAAATACCAACCAATTCTTGCCCTTTTTTTTCCTTATATATTTCATTCTATTGTAAATACTGATGTAATTCAGAAAAAACACTACCCTTCAGTTTTATTTATGGTAAACTATTTTAATTTTCGTCCCATTATTATTATTTTTTTACAAACATTGATTATAATCTTTTGTATATATTACAGGGTCATACATTATTTTGCTAAAAAAAATATTAAAAATGAAGATTTTTGGTGCTCAAGTATCCGGAATTTCTACACTTTCCAAATAGTCAAGCTTTTAATGTACTTCTATAAAAAAGAACATTAGTTAATAGCATTAAACATTATTAATATGTATCAGCAATACTAATGAAAGTAGTGTAGTTAAACATTTATTAACTATGTAAATGCTTAACAGTCAAAAGGATGATTATTTTATAGTTACGAGACAGTTACAATTTATCATTTATACCATAGGTGTGATATATGTATTCATAGTGAAGCTTTCTGATTGGAACTGTTAAAATGAATTTAAAATATCATTGTTTGCATTTTTAATAAAACATTAACTATCTAAATATTAAAAAAAAGATTAAATTTCTCCCATTAAGTTTCCAAACCAATATCAGCAGAAGCGAAGTGAGGTAAAAGTATATTTTGTGCTAAGTATGAATAATGTTAAATGTGAATAAAGTACAAATAATTTCACACAGTTTTACTATAAGACTATAGTTTTGATTAATACAATAAATTGGTTCTGTTAACTAAGAATTTCCTTGGTGTCAAAATATAAAATGAATAAAGAAAACATGAGACAAACAAGTAACAAAAAAAGAAAAAAAAGTTATATCAATAGGAAAAAGAGGGATAAGCTTAAACCTAATTATCAAATAAAATCAGGAAAACACGAACCATGTTGTGTTAGAAAACATGGCGAGAACTCCATGCGTGTGCAAGATGTAGTATTTAAATTAAAATTAATTTCTAAACATAAAAAAATAGGATACTAAAAAGATCATTTACTAAAATATAAAAAATATGGACAAATTCCTAAAAGTCAAGGTCAATAGTAACAGAACGTAATTTTAGATAGCTATATTATGTTCTCGCTGATAGCCAAATTAAAGGATTTTAGCAGAGAGACACTCAAACATATGGTTAGAATTCCAGTCGTGTAAGACAAAAAATTATCAAACATCCTGATTTTGGACATATCTTTCATGTTTTTTAAGTGTAAGTTCAAACACAGGTATGTTTAATTTGACCTATATAAACAATACTACCCTGAGAACAAATTTGGTAATTATTCCAGCTATTAATATTCATAGCTGAAGAATTTATCAAATTTCCTCCCACTGTGGTCTTGTGTACATTATATAAACGAAATGTATCCTTAAACTTTGATTTAAAGTATTAAAGTGATCATGAGAGATAAATTAAAATTAAATTATCTCTCATTGTCTAACATATTTAGAATTCTAATCATGTGTTTCAGTTTTCTCATTGTTTAGCTTTACTCATTAGTGGTAGCATTAACATCATAAATCAATGCATCATCATACGTATTTAAACTAGCACAGAAATTATTCTCATGATTTTCAAAGCTATTTGAAAAACTATTTAACGACTCAGGTAAGTCTGAAACACTTTCAAGATTTTCAGAACCGTTTGGATTATCATTTAAGGAACCAGTTTCATGGGAAGAATTAGCACTATTAATTTCATCATTGCTTTTATGTTCATCACAATCATTATTACTTTTATCATCATCACAATCTATGTTACATATATCTTCATCACAATCATTTGAATGTTGGTATTTAAAATGGCGCTTCATGTTTTCCTTGCACTTGAAAAAAACATTGCAAGTTGCACACTGAAATGGATTTTCATCAGTATGTATCAAACTATGTTCACGAAGTTGACTTCGAAAATAAAAACTTTGATCGCAAACTTCACATTTGTAAGTCTTCTCAGAATGTCTTATCAAATGCTCTCTCAAATTTTTCCGCCTTTTAAATGTCTTATCGCACTTATCACATGAAAATGCTCGCACATCAGAATGTGTCAACATGTGCAAGCTAAGAAGATACTTTTGAGAAAATTTTTTATCACATAGCGTGCAAGGAAATGGTTTAACATTATTATGAGTAGTGTAATGGTCATCAAGAGCAGTTTTTCTCCTAAATGTTTTACTACAAACATCACATACAAAAGGTTTGATGTCAGTGTGATTCATTATGTGTCGCTGTAAGCTACTTTTGGTAGTTAGTTTCATATCGCACCATTCACAGGCAAAATCCTTTTGACCAGTGTGGGTGACGCTATGTTCACGTAAATGAACTTTTTCAGTGAAGCCTTTGCCACAAACTTCACAAGTATGTGGTCTCTCCCCAGTGTGAATACGGTAATGTTTACGGCGTGAGCTTTTATCTGCAAATGGCTTTCCACACAATTGACATGGAAATGGCTTTTCTCCAGTGTGAGTCAATATATGCTGTTTGAGATACGCTTTTTTACGAAACCCTCGACTACAGATAAGACATATATGAGGTTTAATCCCGGAATGAACAGACATATGTTTTGTCAATGAGCTCGCCCATTTAAATTCTTTTCTGCAGATGGGGCAGATTGAAGGAGCTGGTAATTTTGCCTGATTTTCGGAATGAGATAACAAATGCCGCTCGAGACTTTGTTTTCTAGCGAATCCACGACCACATTCAGCACAATTGTAAGGTTTAACAGAAGAATGGGTAACGATGTGCCGATTTAAAACGCTAACAGATGAAAATGTTTTGTTGCAAACGGGGCAGAAAGCGGAAGGAAAATGGGTTGCTTTATGTCGGTTTAATTGAAGTAAGCTATAAAACGCTTTGCTACATACATCGCAAACAAACAACTCTTTCATGCCATTTGCAGAAGTAGGTAGTTTTAAGTGTTGAGGTACGCCATGAATAATTTCTTTAGTAAAAGCGTTAACTACAATGTCTTCGCCATCTGAAGTCATTTCGATCTGCATCAGGAATGTGTTAGAATAATGATTGGATTGAATGAAGAGTTTTAGAGTTATTGAAAGAGTTTCAAAATGCGTTAATTAAAAATGAATAATACTTTGAAAAACTACGCATTTCTCTGACATCTTGATCGATATTTAACATCTCCATAGCCAAATGACATGTAAACAAAAGTTTGGTCTATTTAACTAAAATCGATTCAATATGGAATCAAAACGATGGAAAGAAATATCGATTAAATTATTTTAACAAAACTCAATGGCCATTCTTGCTTTATGCAAAGAAATTGCATATGCGAATTCAATGTTGCCTATGTGAGCTGGAGCTGGATTAAGGAAAAACTATTCACTAATCAGGTTCTCATTTGCTTCTCCAAATTCTAATGATTGATTTTTTTTTTTTTTGCATTGTGAATGGTCAATTAATTCTAATTGCAACCCAATCACTTATGTTTATGGCACCATTCTCACTGTATGCGGAAAATACACTGAAGCCAGAGGTTGAAGCAATTCCAAAAATGTGAAAGAGAACCTGTTTGCTCGGGTAACGAGATATTTCACTAATGATCTCGCATGCATTGCCAAATTCCAAGAGAACCTGATACTTCATATACAGTGAGAACCTGATATATTTCACTAATCATGATCTCACTCACAACGCCAAATTCATATCAACATATTTTTACATACAGTGAGAATACTGCCTTTTTCTCTGCAGTGCATATGAAATTTGCCTTTTAGAGACCGACCGGCCTGTGTACTAAAAAAATTGAATTGGCTTTGCATCGGAAAGGTTCTAGGTTCGAATCCCGGGAAAGGCAAGAATGTTCTTTCATTCTCTTAACTATCACTCCTTACTGTAGAAGCAATGTTGGCCCACCTAATATGGTGCCCTGAAAGAGTGGTCAATAAATCTGCCCTTCAGATTCCTGTATGACGAAAGGTCATTGTCTAGGTGGGCATTAGAAAAAAAAAAGAAATAATAATTTACATTGATAAAATACAAAACATGAGATTGAGTAAAAAGAAATTCAAATGATCTCGATAGTTCGGTCCGGAGTGCGGCCGAAAATTTGTAGACCCCTTAATGTTAATTTTACTTTTTGCGTATTTCATCATATCTCGAGAATTTTTTAAGCGAATCGAAAAAAGAGTGCTTACAAGCATAAAATTAAAAGTCAAACCAGAATTTTTTCTTCATTTCATCGTACTCCCTACACTTTTTTTCTACACACATTCGTAATTTCAAGTTTTAATTTTGAGCAGCAAATTAAAATTTTGCATGAAGAATTAAAAAAAGGGTAAAAAAATAAATTTCAAACAAATTGAAATTTCAGAAAATATCTGTGTTAAGTTCATAAATAAATGTGATATGACCCTTTCATCAGCATGCCACATTTTAATTCGGTAGTTACATTCCAGAAGCCCGTATACGGGACTCTCTATAGAGAGTCCCGTTATTTTTTCCCCAACAAGTTCAACTAATTCTTAAACAAACTATTGAATAATATTCTTTTCATTTCATCATAATCTGTACACTTTTCTACATATCTTAGTAATTAAAAGTTTCTAAGTTCGAAGCAAAATAATATGTTAAATCAACGTTTTTGATCTTTTTTTGTCTTTCGGTTTTGGGTAGACCCCCCGCTTACCCGATATTGATTTTTTGAAAATTCATCAACTTCAAATGTATTTTTGACAGCTGGTATACTGCTACTCACTGGCAAAGATTTAAATTTCTAACTGTAGTGACGCGTAGTGTGAAAAACTTAAGAAAAAACTCATTTTATACATTTATTAATTAAATTCAAATTAATTTAATTACTAATCTAATTTAATTGATATGTAAATGGAATAAAATAGTGCAATATAAAACTCGTACTCCGCTCTACTAATATTATAATTGCGGAAGCAAGTTTGTATGCAAAACCGTAGTAGTGTTGTAGCGGTTTACTATATTTAAAGTAATATTATTGTGGCATAACTAACTACCACTACAAATATTAAATACCAAATCGCTAGTATATAAGACATGTTAACTCGATTAGGTACCTTTTGATAGATAGTAAATAAAGTCTCCCGGTCATTAAACAAAAAATAAGAATAATAACAATAAAAAAAATTACTGTTATCACAAAAATGAAGGAAAAAATAATGAGCGAAATGCTATGAAGTAAAAATATAATGAGCAAAATATGACATAAATAAAAAATAATAACATGAATCAACTACTGGTATCCGTTCATCGAATTCTATCACAGATAAAATTCTGGAAGGGGAGTAATGTGGCATAACTAACTACCACTAAAAATATTAAATACCAAATCGCTCGTGTTAACTCGATTCTATCTTGAAGTACCTTTTGATAGATGAAGGTTGACACAGTCAGAAACTAAATCTTCGCAGTGTATTGTCGATCTGTTTATTACGTTTTCACGTAAAAACAAAGCAACAAATCTTCGTGATCTTGTGCGCTGATAAAATTGGAGATATAGCTAGCTAAAGATTTGATACTGGCTAAGCTACAATTTACTGCGGAATAATACTTTTTTGTTACAAAATAAAACCTTATACGCAGAGAAAATAAAAACGTACGCGGGAGGAGCTGCAGGCAACTGTTAGTTTATAATAATTCAGTTTCATATAAAAAAATAATCCTAATAACTTAAATTTTAATAAAACTTTTACCTCATAGCTAAATTATGTGGAATGTAGATGGATATATGCCTTTATATTATAAGTAGAGCCCGGAAGTTCAGGCAAAATGCCATAAATGCCCTTTTCTGCCTTTTTTAAACGTTTTCTTCTGAAAATGCCTTTTTCGTTCCTTTTGTTCATAAATGCCTATTTCTGTCTAATTTAAAATTTTTCTGCAAAGCTTTTTGTGCTTTTTAACCGAGCATAAACGCAAAATGAAGAAATTTTGAAGTACAGAAATGGTTGACTGTCATCCGACGCATTGTAATGCATTTATAGAGATTAGGACTTTATTCCTTTTGTCTTATTAATATTTTCTCTCCGTCTCTTCGTGGCGTCACCTTCGTCGTGGCGTCAGAAAACGTGCTTGCAAGGAGAGAGAGAAAGGGAGTGAAAAGATTGGAGTTATTTTTACTTACAGTCAATAGAATTTATTCTTACTTACGGCCCATATAGCCTACACCATCGAATAACTCGTATGCTCTCTTATCTACAAAACGAATTCACCAAGCTGGTTGAGCACATTGTAGCAGGAGCACGAAAAAGTTTTCTAGTATACTAGTTATTTCTAAAATGCCTAAAGTAAAAGCCTGCACAAGCAAAAAACTGGACAGTTTTGTGAAAGAATTTGGGTCGGATGTGTTTTCTACTGATGGGAGCATTCTGTTTTGTAAGGCATGCGAGAAGTCAGTAAATTTTGAGAAGAAGTATTTTATATCTCAGCACTTGGAGACATCTAAGCATAAAACAGCAAAAGATAAAAAAGATGGGAAAACATCGACTCTGATTTCCACCTGTTTTCAATTATCTTCTCGCAAATCGGAATTTGCAATGGATTTATGCNAAACGAATCCAAAAAATAGTGCACACAAATATAAAAATAAAAGTCAAACCAGAATTTTTTCATCATTTCGTCGTACTCCCTACACTTTTTTTTACACACATTTTGAGCAATAAATTAAAATTTTACATGAAGCATTAAAAAAGGGTAAAAAAATAAATTTCAAACAAATTGAAATTTCAGAAAATATCTGTGTTAAGTTCATAAATAAATGTGATATGACCCTTTCATCAGCATGCCACATTTTAATTCTGTAGTTACATTCCAGAAGCCCGTAGAGAGTCCCGTTATTTTTTCCGAAACAAGTTTAACTATCAATAATTCTCTAACTATTGAATAATATTCTTTTCATTTCATCATAATCTGTACGCTTTTCGACATATCTTAGTAATTAAAAGTTTCTAAGTTCGCAGCAAAATAATATGTTAAATCAGTGTTTCTAATCTTTTTTTGTCTCGTATACCCCCTTGCCATGTTTTTCGGTTTTGGGTAGATCCCCTGCTTACCCGATATTGATTTTTTGAAAATTCATCAACTTCAAATGTATTTTTGACAGCTGGTATACTGCTATTCACTGTGAAAGATTTTAATTTTTAACTGTAGTGATGCGTAGTGTGAAAAACTTAAGAAAAAATTCATTTCATACATTTATTAATTAAATTTAAATTAATTTAATTACTAATCTAATTTAATTGATGTGTAAATGGAATAAAATAGTGCACTATAAAACTCGTACTCCGCTCTACTAATATTATAATTGCGGAAATAAGTTTGTTGTTGTTGTTGTTAATTTACGTCGCACTAGAACTGCACAATGGGCTATTGGCGACGGTCTGGGAAACACCCCGGAGGATGATCCGAAGACATGCCATCACAATTTTGATCCTCTGCGGAGGGGATGGCACCCCCGCTTCGGTAGCCCGACGACCTGCGCGCGAAGTCGAGCACTTTACGGTAGCACAGTTTAACGAGGACCAATACCGCACACCCTCGGTCCCTACGCAGACTGATCCAAGTGGTCACCCACCCGCACACTGACCGCAGCCAGTGATGCTTGACTTCGGTGATCTGCTGGGAACCGTGTCTTATCGATCAGTCCACTGCGGGACCTTAAATATAGAAACTTGGTCGAATAGTCATCGCCAACTCTTCCAGACGAATTGAGAGGACAGCTCTTTCCATACACAGACTATAGTTTAACATGATTATATGCAGCCCGCATAAAAAAAAATTTAGTTGCCTTGACTGCATTTGCATGCACATCCTTCCAACACAATAAAAGGGGCCTCCCTGGCCGAGCGGTATCGCCGGTCCAAACGCTCTGTTAAGCGTGGAGGTAGCGGGTTCGAATCCCGCCGTAACCCTGGATGTATTCTTTGTGATGTCTTTCTCTGAATTGTTCTATTTGTATTTTCTACTTGACAATGACTTATAAGCCTATATTGAGCACACAAGTCAGCAAATGTATGTAATTTCAATAAAAAAAAACACAATAAAGCAAAGTTAAAATAGTTTCTTTTTATTTATAATAATTTTTTTGTCCTCTGCCGGTAGCTTTACGTTATTAGATTAAGCAAAACAAGTTTCTAGTAGTTCATCGCATCAAAATAAAGATTAACTATATTCTGTATCATTTGGGATGATCTGTTGCACATGTTTTGGGTATTCCATCTAACACAGTGACTCCCAAAGTGGTTTATGTCGACAACAACCTGCAAGGGGTCCATGAAATAAAAATGGGGGTCAATGATAGTGGATCTCATATAACCAGGTCGTGGTTTTAATTTTGGCATTTCCTAAATGGAATAATCAATATACACTGATAGTACCTATTTACTTATATAATACTACCTTATCAGTCTCCGATTGACAATTCTGCTACTTTATTTGAAATTTTTCTTATTTTTTATAAGATATGGATATCATTTATTTAAAAAATTGTACTAAAGGTTGTACATTACAGTTAGAGATTTAATTCATTAAATTTGCAAAAAAGACTACAGAAATTTATTTATATTACACAAATTTTGCACAGGATATCTTGATAAACAGTTACACGCACAGCTTCTATCTGAATAACGGAAAATTAAGTGATTTTCATCGTTGTCAGACAATAGGCATTCTACAAACTAGTAAGCATAGATTTCATATTGTTTTCAAACAATGCCTTAAAATAAAATATCAGTCAGTTTTTATGAAAAATTTTAAAATAAATTCTTTGGCTGAAATCTATAAGGCGAGATAGCGTTAGACAAATGAATGTGACAATGCAAGTGCATACTAATTAAGGCAGACATCAGTTTATGCTTTTGCAAATCAAATAAAAAAATTACGATAAAGGCTTACTTTTAAGTTAAACCCTACATTAAACAAATCTGAAATTAAATTTCACAAGCTTCATGAATGGTTTTGAAATTTATCTGCTAAGATTTGAAATGTGATAGATGTATTGGAAATGGTTATACTTGCCCTTTCAGAGCATTGCAGAAAAAATGGACAACCAATGCAATGCACGTCAAAATTATTCTCAGCTTTACTATGATTCATAAAATCAAAATCAAAGACTTTAAAGCTTGCTTTAAAATAATCACATTTACACCATCATAGTAAATTATGTTTTTTCACTTGAGTATAATGTAGAGTTTAATGGCACAAGATCCAAAAGAAGACATGCTGTGCTGAACACTGTTGATATTTAGACATATGATATCCGTCACTAAATATTAGATATTTAAAATATCGCACAAAAAACTCTAAAATTAGTTTAGTGTTGTGGTAAGTACAAATAATGTTGGACAAATAATAATGGAATAAAGTAATAACAAATAAGTAATGTTGTGTTGTTAGTAGAAAGGTGTACTTCTGATAGGTATTTACTTTGTAATACAGAAATTGTGAATATAGAGTAATGAAACAAAAANTGCTTGACTTCGGTGATCAGCTGGGAAGCGTGTCTTAACGATCAGTCCACTGCGGTAATGCAGAATACAGAAATTACTTTGTAATACAGAAATTGTGAATATAGAGTAATGAAACAAAAAATAGCTTTGAATCATTTTATTTGATATACAATTATTGAATTTAGAACATATTGACACATTCTTCGGTCTCCAAGTCTAAGGAATTGGTGACTTCTATAATTTTCGGTCTTCCGTCCCAATCAACTGCTTGGGCCAGAGCCTTTCCAAATTTTTCGGCTATCACCTGCCTATTCTCTTCAAAGCGTCTTTGAACTGTTGCTGGAAAGAAAACATTAAGTACATATCAATATTTAAAAAATAAAACACTGTAAGACAATCTAACAGATCACAATTAAATAGTGAGCCTCTAGTGAAACCTTAAAAATTAAATTGAATGAAGGATTTAATGGCACAAGGTTCAAAAAGGGACATAATGCATCAAAAGCAAGATTCTGTACTGATAATTTAAGTTACAATGAATTATCTTTGATTAAATAATAAATTCTTCAGAAACCAAAGTATGCACTGCTATAGAAGACGTTAAGCTTTAATTGTATTTTTTAATTTTACTTCTAAGTATTAAAGACCATTCTCTAAAAACTAAAATTTAGATTAGATATTGGTTACTTAAAAAGCCCTTACTCTGCCAACCAAACTCAACAGTCGAAGGGGTAGAGATGGGAAGTGAGAATTCTAAATATAGTACTTTTAATCCTTTACATTTAATTTTCACAAATAAACTGATGACGGATTTTTATTGTATTTAGCAATAAAACTGTTACATATAAAATGCAAAGCCATCACCTAACTGCAATTTGAGACATAAAGAGTGCAGCATTTTAGATTCTCTATTTAATTTTTTGTGTCAAAATTATGCCGATGAAATCCTGCAATCCAAAATTTTTAAAACGTGGTTAAATAGCAAAGAGTTGCTTGTTTTTAGATTTTTGATAAGTATCTTCGTTTTCATGCAATTAATGTTAAAAGATTTTTTTAGCATCGTCCAAATTGGTTTCCACCAGTTTAAACTGTAATAAAATTACATTAAAAAAATCCCCCAAAACTGTAAAATGTGTAGCTTTAAATAACTTACTCAAAACCAGAATTCACATCATTGTATTGCTTTAAAGTTTTGAGGAAATATTCATAGATTCATAAAAATTATCACGTGTTATTTCTCCTAATCTAATAATATTAAAATCAAAAATTTGTTAAGTAAAAAAAAAAAATTTAAAATATTATAGTAAAGGCCTTTTCAGAAAATTACATAGACTTTGTCGGAAAATTACACAAAAGCTCAAATTTATTAAAAGCACATTGCATTTACAAATGCATTTAATTCCTAGATACAACAATTCTTTCAGCCAAATTATATTTTCTTTTTGATCAGATTCAGAGTCAAAAATTGTTGAAATACATCTGCGTTAGACTTTTAAGATTAAATTTTTTCTTCAAGCCTTTTTTTTGTTGTTAGAGTTGCTGCAACTTTTGAGCAAACTTAAGTTTTCTCTTCACACACAAATTTTTTCTTCTGCAAATTCAAATATAGAGAAACTCATTCTTGCGTAATTATTTTTAAACTAAAACTTCTCTTATTTAACAACGCATGCCAAAGTAAGATAAATGTGGACTGAGGTGATATATGATGCATACAGGAAACTTGTAAATCCTGAATAGACTTAGAAATTCAAGGGATTATCTACAAATTACTATTTGTAAGGTTAAATAAAAGGAAGGAGGAACAGAAACATTTAGATTTATTGTTTGCAAATGGAATTGTTGTTTGAGACTAAAAAATGTTTCAAGGATTTTTCGAGAATACGTAATTTTCATTGCATCAATAAATAAATAAATAAATAAATAAAATCAGAACAAATTTACCCAAAATGACATTAGTGATGACGGAGTGGTTCTCAAAGCATTTCTTCCCTTTCCTCCCCAGCCTGCTATACTGCATGGCAAGATCCTTAGTAAGAAATTTCCTGCATATGCTCAATAGGAATCCAGATACAGTCTTACCGCTGCATATGCAGTCAAAATAACGAATCTGAAAACAAAAATGTAGACTTGTTATTTTTTTTAAAAAAAGCTACAAGACAATATAAATAATTTAAACATTTATTCTTTGAGGGGGTATTTATCTACAAGGCGCGCGCACGCACGCACACACACACACTAAGGACATAGTTAATTCACTTAACATACTTTTTTTATAATAAGAAAAACTGCTTATATTCAATAATTTAATAACTAATTCTATTAAGTCTTTAACAAAATTTGTTTGCTAATCTACAAATATATAAGCAAAAGAAAAGTGTTGACTTCTGAAAATTCCAAATAATGTTCTGTAACAAAGCAATTATTAATTTTACTGTGCATCAGGTTTAAAAAAATAATTAAAATAAAAATGCTTTTCTTTAATGTTATATATATTTATACGTTATGTATAGGGCCCTATAAATTATGCGAAGATGCGGAGGATGCGGAAACCCGCATAATTTACAATTTTCCGCGTAATTGCAGCNTATTTTGGTCATATAGTTATTAAGAACAGAACAAAAGAAATACCCAAAATCCTATTTCAAATTGAAGCATTATAAAAAAACTATTTCGTCCATTTTGAAATGCACATATAAACAATAGAATGGGAGAAATATTACCCTGGTGCTTAAAACAAGTGATTTATATTTAAAAATTCTGTTTAATTTTGCTTTAGAATAAAGATTCAACTTTTATTCACAATTAACTGATCTATTTCTTTGACTCTGTAATTTTACTAATAATTAATTTGAATTATTTAACTATACATTTAAAATAATATTAAAAAAAATATATATAGAAAAAGAGGAATTAGTTTCCGTATTTTTGCAATAGATCTGGGGCTTGAAAATTGATTGCAAATTTTAAGGCTAATTGAGCTGTACCAGCAATTCTCAAAGGTGCACCATTAGTGAGCATTAAGCTGATGGTGAGGAACAATGAATGTAAGAGCCATTTAACCAAGCTGATGCCATGTGTTATTATAATCTTATTTTCTAACTATCGTTTAACAGCAAACCTAATTTTTTGAATTTGTGACAGCTAAAGTTGAACTCCATTGCATTGTAATTTTGTACCCAATCCAGAAGACAAGGGAACTCCTGGATTAATTGTTGAGAAAAATTTGCGTTAGTGGAGGACTTTTCGATATGACTAATCCACATTTGCATTACATGGTGAAGAAAACCATGAACCCCCCCAATTATCAAGGCAGCAAGGGGACTCTAATCCATGATTTGTCTACCCCTGAGGATATTTTACACCAGCACTGTGATTGGTGTAAGCCGGGTGTGAAATTTGCACCATTGCTGGAATTCAAAATTGTGTTATTTAATTGGAAGACAAGCACCCTAACGACAACACGACTCTGCCATGTATTATAGTATAGTTCATTAAAACCCTCTCCACAAGTCCAAAATTATAAAACAAATGGGACAATGAAAATGGAATATTCGTTCCTTATAGAAGAATTAATTTTGAAAAGGTTAAGGATCCATGGTCTGTTCTTAAGAACAAGGGTTCCCATCCATAGCCAGGGGTGATTGTGAGTTCAAGTCAAAATTCCGGAAAATTTCTTGAGTTAAAAAAAAAAAAAAATAAATAAAAAAACGGTTTAAATTGAAAAATTAGAAGAAAAAAATTTTACAAGGTTTTTTTCTTCCTTTTTCTCAATATTTCTTAGTTTACCTAAAATATATTTAAAATTTTACACATACCTATGATGACCTGNCCATGATCTGTCTACCCCTGAGGATATTTTACACCAGCACTGTGATTGGTGTAAGCCGGGTGTGAAATTCGCAGCATTGCTGGAATTCAAAATTGTGTTATTTAATTGGAAGACAAGCACCCTAAAGACAACACGACTCTGCCATGTATTACAGTATAGTTCATTAAAACCCTCTCCACAAGTCCTAAATTACAAAACAAATGGGACAATGAAAATGGAATTTTCGTTCCTAATAGAAGAATTAATTTTGAAAAGGTTAAGGATCCATGGTCTGTTCTTAAGAGCAAGGGTTCCCATCCATAGCGCTAAGGGGCACCTGTAATTGTGAGATCACAATAAAAAATACACCAGTTTTCAATTAAATGCCACCTATGAAATCATATACCAGAATCAGTGAACGATTATAATAACATTGTATGATTCAGTTATAAAAAAATAAATTATAATAAGGTTACTTACAAGAGCAGACTGTAAGTTTTTATCTTCTTTTAACTTTTCCTCTAATTGAATAAGATCAGCATCTGAAGAAAGCGGAAACACAATACCCCTCGGTAATTCTAAAAGACCATATGTTGAATCATGTGTCTCTTTATTCAAGAACTGAATCTGTTGATCCTTTATTTCTTTAACTTCATTTCTTAAATGTTTCAATTCATCTTTAGTATCTTTGGCATGATTTAACATCTTAGTCACTAAAATAACAAATACAAGATATTAAGTGTGCACAGTTTTATTAATGTGCTTTTAATTCTATGATAAAGAATTCTACACATGCGAAGCTAACAAATTAAAGCAATTGTGAAAACAAATTAAACAACAAACAAATTAAAGCAATTGTGAAAACTAATAAAAGCTGAGCATAGGAATTTACAACTATCTTGATAGTTTACAATAAAAAAATAATTGTTAGTTAAACTATTTTATGTAATTTTATCAATAGGTCAATAAGAATTTCAAAGCCACCAGTGTTAATTGGAAAAAAAAAATCTTGTATGTGCACAGAGATTAAAGATAGCAATTAGTTACATTAAAAAAAAATTAAATGCAAAATAAACTATGAAGGAAGAGTTAAAAAAAGTAACATGATTTACAAGATAAGCTTCAAATTAGCATGATATTTTTTGAAAAATTCCCTCAAAATGAGGTAAAAGTAACTTAACTTCTAACCTTAAACATAAGTCTCTTAGATTTAGCTCAACATAACTAAACTAGTATTTTAAATGCATCTTATTTAGAAATAAACTAAAAAAGTTTAATAAACTTGTCACTTACTCATTGTTAACATTTTAGCACTATCATTCATTTCACTCATCTGGTTTACGTTTAATATTGAAGACACTAAAAGAAAATAAACAGAGCAAAATAAAAATTATTAATTTGAAGATGTAATCATTCATTGTAATACAAATAATTCAACCAAGATTACTGTAAATATAATCATCACTATCTTGAGTAAAATATAGTTTGCTTGAATCACTCACTAGCTTTTTTTAAAAAAAGTCCTTTTGTTCTAAATCAATAATTTTCCGAAAACAATTTTAAAAATCATTTACTTAGTCAAACATGTCAAATTTGGAGCATAATTTTTATACATTTGTCACCGGTAAAATTCTCTTCCCCCCTTAAACTGAATCACAAAATGTATGTGACACTGCTTTAAAATTGCTAGTACTAGCTAACTTTGCTAATGCAGGGTTCATGCTCTACTTTAAAAATAAAATTCAAGTACTTTTCAAGGACTTTTTAAGACTCATTAAAAATTTTCAAGGCCTTAAATTTTAGCAAAAGATTAAGACTAAAATTTAACATTTTAAACTGAAATGTTTTGACAATAATAGTTAGTTGACAATAAATGTTAGATAACGGCAGTATTGAAAAATAAGACTTCCATTGTTCTCTCTTGATTTTGGAAAGTGATCTAAGTATAAAAAAAGCAAGGGGGATTGACATCAAGACAAGAATAAAATTCGTGATGCATAAAAACGTCGGATTTGAATTTTACATTAGGCCTTTTTCAAGTTAGGTATACAACCTCTGAATAAGCAAAGATTCGGACAAGTAATGAAGAAAAGAGGAACATTTCAAAAAATCTATACAAAAATAAAAAACAAAGTACACTTAAACTTATTTGTAATAACAAATTTACAATTAGAGTGAAGAAAATAGAAAACATACTAATTAAAACTATAAAAAGATATTTATTTGTAAAAAACTCAAGCGTCTTATATGATATGTAAAGAACAAAACTAACATTAACAAATATACTAAATAACTTTTGAATGCATGTGGTAAAAAATAATTGAAAAAAAAGAGCCAAATAAAGCAGACAAAAATTGAAACAAAACTGAACTTCTCCAACGTAGTCACGGGGAGGAGTCACTATATAATACTGTGATATCAATTAGATCTTTAAAAATAACTCTGCCGGGAGATTTTTATATAATATTTAAAGTGGCAGAAGCATTTAGACAGTGAAATTTAAATTGCTCTTAAATATAATTTTAAAATTTCGACCACTTCTCTATTAAAGAAAATTAATCAATTATAGGATGTTGCGGCTTAGTTATCATTTTAAATTTATTACCGGTCAACCATTTTAAATTGAAACAGTTGCTAACTTTCACCTCAATATCTTCTGATAGATTTTTACTAACAATTTCGGTCATTTTGACTGTTTTAATTAACCAATCATACTTGAATTTACTTTTTTTTTTCAGTAGCATCGATCATACGCACTTGATATGATCACATGAACACGAATTACAACGAGTAGTTTTCAAATCAAGTCTAAATACGAAAATCAATAATTGATATTACAACCACATGATAACAAATCGCAATATTGGATTTTAAAAATATGTAAATACGAATAGCGACATTGGATTTGAAACTCATGCAGAAAAACTAATTGCGATATTGGGGTTTAAAAACGCTTAAGTACAAATCCCAATATTAGATTTTTAAATTGCGCGAATGGGAATGCGAGTACGATTTTTGAATCACATGAAAACAAATTGCATCACTTAACTTTTAAATCAAGTTAAATACGAAGATCGATGATTGAAATTAAAATCGCCTGAATAAGAATTGAGATTTTGTCCGAATCCGAAGCAGTTCCCAAAATTTAAAACTTCTAAAATCAGCCAAATGCACGTTAAATCCTAAAATCAAACAGTATGCGCCATCATCGGAAAGGCAGGAAAGTCATTCTCTCACACTTATGTGCTTAAGTTAAATACAGAAATGTGGGAAATAGGGCGGTTTTCGCAACTTTCTGATACTTTTCAAGGTCATTTTGAATTTTTCAAGGATTTAACATCATTTTCAAGTACTTCTAGGGGCCCTTGAAAATCAAAATGAAATTCAAGTACTTTTCAAGGCCGCAGGAGCCCTGTAACGGTTAAAAAATGAAAGCTTGCACTATGTTTGTTACTATTTATTTACAAATCAAGCAGATTAATTCTACTACATTCAGCAATGAACTTAATAGTTCATTTTGATCATGCCCAAAAAGTATATATTACCTAACATAACAGAAATTATGACATTTTACTTTTTTAAATTCAGCCATTTTAGTACTCATTCGGAGAAAAACTTAATCAACAGTTTAAAAGTGTATAGTCTAACACATGTAAATAAAATTTAGTTTCTAACATTTAGAGACTGGAATGTGAGGAGGATAAAACTGCTTTCGGACCTAGTTTTCATTGGGAATCAAGTTTTCATAAGCTAATTTATGCTGAATGGAATCTGTTAAAAATTACAATTTTGTCAGACCCTGTTTCTAATGAACACGGGATGTAATGAATCATGATTATGTCGAATACTAGGTGACAAAATAGCAACCATTTTTTAAAATTCATTGATAAACAAATATTCTTTTAATATATAAAATTATCATGCTTAAAATACTAACTAAATTCAGACTTTGATTAGATTATTAGCATGATTATAAAATCTTTACATTCCTCAATCTTGCTGTATTTTTTATAATAGTTTAAAATTTGGAGCATGCAAATACAACATTTTATTCTCACAAAGTGAATTAATTACTAATAGCATAATCTTAATTTATTTGAGCAAATTATGATTATTCATGATTCAGCTTGCAAAATATTCATGACATTTCTAATTACAATGTATAGAAGAAACTAGATTAACTGACATATTTTTGGTTTAGTGGATGTTGGGTAATAGAGGTTCTACTGCATTTTCCTACTTAGTATAACATCAAATCAATGTCATTTTCAGCTATGGTTTTGATTATAAAAAATCTAAGGACAAAAAAAAAATTTTAATATAAACCTTCAGTGCATTTATTTTTTGTAATGTCTTCTTCTTCTTCACTTGAATCGTCACGAAATCTAATAGGCTTGATTCTTATTCTTTTGCGGGAATTGGCTCTTTCCTTAGAAGAAGATGTCTCGATAATTGATGCATCAAATGCCGCTTGTGCAAGTTTATTTGCACATTTGAGAGTTTCTGAAAATTTAAAAAAACATACAAATATATTAAAAGGAATTTCACACTTATATTTCTTTAAAGATTAGATAAAAAGATAATTTTGTAACCTGATAAGCAGTACACTTTCAAATCCAATGTTTGCCAATCATTTTCAGGTTCCGCAGATTCTCTAATGCACCTTCTAAGATACACAGTAGACTTCTTAGCGGGAGGCCATTTGCCCTTCTCGTTGTTGATTAGCCATGAAATAGGGATAACTTCTACATGTTCTGATTGTGAAAACTTGACAACAGCAAATTTCTTTTTTTCTGTAAAATACATATAATTTCTCATTTTTTAAATTTATACTTATACAGGGTATCTGCTACATCTTAGATTTTCAAATTCATGACTAATTCCAAGAATTTTTCATGACTTAAAGAAATTACTATTTTCTCCGACAAAAACGTAGCAATAAATTTAAAAAAGCATTATAATAACTGAAATGATAATTATAACCAAAACTGTTATACTCTGCATCTTCATATTTATAGATTTCAAATTTAAAAAACAGAGTAACAGAGTTGAAGCAATAAAATAGCTGGCGGAAAAAATTACAAAAGCAAATTTTTTTTTCTTTTTTTGTGAAGAATTATATTTAAAAGATACTTTTCTTGTTCATCAGAAAAAGAAAGAAATACTCCTTATTTGTCTGTTCTCATTTCGAAATGAAAAAAATTTGCAAATGATTCGCTTGCTTTGGCTTGAAATTTAAATTGATAAAAATAAAAAATAAAAATTCTTAAATCACAGAAGTTTAAAAGATAATTTGTTCCAGAAATGTTTTTTCTCTCATTTTTTGAAAGAACACCATAACTTTTAAAGAACATGATGAAGACATTTTATATTCTAATAAAATATGACTGTGAGTAGTGATTTTGTTAGGAATTCAGGTACTTGGAACACGATGAAATTGAGGGGGGGAGGATTCCATTTTAAAAATTAAGATTTTTCAGCGACCTAAATCCATGACTTTCCATGATTTTTTTTTTTAAAAAAAGTAAAAATTATGACAAATTTTGTTTAATACTGAAATTTATGACTTTCCAGGTGCTAGGGTACCATGCTTATAATATATAAGCCACACTTTACATGTGCTTCCAGAGCTACACCTAACTTCAGGGGTAATTGTGAGCCCAAGTCAAAATTCCGAAAAATTCATTGAGTTAAAAAGTTAAAAAAAAAAAAAAAAAAAAAAGNACATGATAAAGACATTTTATATTCTAATAAAATATGACTGTGAGTAGTGATTTTGTTAGGAATTCAGGTACTTGGAACACAATGAAATTGAGGGGGGGGGGATTCCATTTTAAAAATTAAGATTTTTCAGCGACCTATATCCATGACTTTTTTTAAAAAATAGTAAAAATCATGAAAAATTTTGTTCAATACTGAAATTCATGACTTTCCAGGTGCGCGGGTACCATGCTTATATTATATAAGTCACACTTTACATGCGCTTCCAGAGCTACACCTTACTTTATTCACGATCATCGTTCATAGTCACGGGACATGTATTCACCAAATTAATATGAAAACATTGATAGATTTCATATGAACATTTTTATTACAATATCGAGTTCACCCTAACTTTAAATATCCTTTTCATGGAGTTCTCACAGTATTCATATTCTACCACATTCAAAATATTGGTAAGAGTCACAATATAGATTAATGTTTTAGTGCTACTTGGGCTATACTTTAAAGAGAAAACCAGTCATTACTGGGGAGGAGGGACTTAAAATATTTAAGTCAGTTTCATTGCCGAAGAAAGCAGTTGAACAGTGATTATTAATAACCCCTTTAAGTTTTTTAATAAAACTAAACTGCTTGATTTTTCTTCCCAGGTAATGATTTTTCAGATGTTGATAACATTCTTGCTTTAATATTTATTGTGTATAAACTGTTGTTACTTTATTCTCAACCATGACTCAATTAGTTTTGGAAGTACACCCCAACTAGCAGAAAAGCACAGAAACATTGTACTGTTGTGTTCTGGCCACATTAAAAACCATGAAAGGCAATTTGTTTTTGAGACATCTAAAGTGCATAGTGTTTTGTTTCTTTTTTAACAAAGATTTATAATGGTAAATATTAAAGATTCAATAAATTTTCTGATAATTATTGTACAATATTTGTAACAAACAGGCATTTTGATTTATGCAAAACAACAATCACTAAGCTGATTCACTAAAATAAGGAATGTTAGTTAAAAAAAAAAGAAAATTCACATTAGTTTTAAGACCTATTATTAAGTTTAAATTTTATCCCAATAAAACTGAAAATAAAATATGTGCAACCAAATCTGTGATGATATATTAAATAAATTTGAGAACTTTTAATTTTATGATTTTGATGTAACAAACTGTTTACTGTCAAGAAATGAAAATGTTTGCAAGCAAATTGTAGAGGTTGGTGAACTGCAAATTGTAGAGGTTGGTGAACTAAGTAAGCAAGGGACAGTGCCTTTGGTATAATTATAATGAAATGAAACATATTCCTAACAAAAAAGGTATAATTTAGCTAATTAAAAAACCAAATTAAAGACTTAATCTTCTTTTAATGCAACAAAAGATCCAAACAGAAAATCTGATAATTAATCTTGGGTTACAAGGTAATAACAAAAATAGGTGAAATATCAACTCCATGTACTTTCAAAAAGCAACAGCATTAATAATTATAATGAAGTAGAATATATATTCTAAATATTATTATTAAATAAATTAAAAGACAAAATTAAAGAAAACTTGATTTTAAAATGCAACAAAAGGTTTGAATAAGAAATCTGATATTTATTCTTGAGCCAAAATAAAGATGGTGAAACATAATAACAATGTATTTAACAGTCACATTTATTTCAGAAAGCTATTTATTAATGAAATGGAATAGATATTCCAAAAATAAATGGTATTGTTTAACTAACTAAAAGGCAAAATTAAAGAAAATTTGATGGAATTTTAATAAATAGTTTATTTCAATAAGAGTCCATCAAGCATTTTTAACTTCAATTATTTATAATAAGAAATGATATCTGGATGTTTCAAAATAATATGAGTTTTTAAAGTTTCATTTCGAGCAAAATGTCTGCCACAAAGAGCACATTTATAAGGCCGTTCCCCAGTATGAATACGCTCATGTCTTCTGAGACTACCAGGATAATTAGTTGAAAAACTGCAACTTGTACAACAAAACAGTGGGATAGATGGATGACATACAGTTGTAACATCCACACATTTATCTGCAATACAATTTGAAAGTAAAGCAAAAAATTACGTAATATGTAAGAAATTGTATTCTTATACATTGATAGAACATAAATTGTAACAAATTACATCTTGAAAATCAGTCATCAAGATTTTATATCTACAGGAAAATGAAAACATGAAGTTATATAGCAAAAAAAAAATATTTAGAATGAATCTAAAATAAAAATGTTAAGATTGAATGCTTAGAAAAAATGTGAGACTTTGTTTTTGAGAAAATAATATGTAATAAGACTTATTATCACAGTCGTAACAAAATATAATATGGAATAAAATTATATATTAATAGAATAAATTGTATATTAATAGAATATAAATAGCTGAACATAACATTTTGAAAATCAGTCATCAGAATTTTACATTTACATAAAAATGAAAACATAAGATGTTTTAGTCTAAAAAAATGATTAGATTGAATGTTTTGCAAAAATGTGAGATTTAAGATGTTCTTTCTGAGAAAAATACTTATTGCAATATCTGCACTTATATGGACGTTCTCCAGTATGTTTTCGAAGATGCCTTTTGAGATTATATTGCAAAGGAGTTGAATAACGACAATATGTACATTGAAAGATTTCAATTTCTTTTAATATTTGATTGGACTCATCAGTGAGAACAAGATAATCTGAAACAAAAGATTTTAAATAATTAATATAAAAATAGTGAAAAATTGTAACTCCAAATTCCTTACATAAATATAAATACTTAAAAAACCAACAGGTTTTAATTTATCGGTATGTTTAAATGTACCTTAAGTAAAATTCAAGTATTTTGACAAACTTAATTTTAATAGATGCAAATGGTATCTATTTTATGAAAAGTTTCTAGAAACAAGTAATTGAGAAAATTAAACGAGAATAAATTCATGAAAAAAAAATGGAACAAAAAGAATAATGTATGATATTAAGTTTATTTTAGCATGAAATGTACTCTCTTAAAAATTAAATCAACAAAAATTTTTGCACATGTGTTAAAAAAAAGAAAAAAAACATATATAAGAACATTAAAATAATTTTGAGGTACATTATTTCATTTATTAATAATCACAAATAGTAATGGGTTGGCAAATACATTCTTACATTGATCTAATTTTGTCGATTTCTAATAATTTTAAGGATAAGACTGCTGTCAAATTTCAAATTATGAGAAAAAATAAAAAAGATAAAAGCATCTAGCTTAAATTTTTTCCCCCAAATTAATGATTTATTAAATAATAAAAACAGAAGTGAAGGTTTCGAATATCGTACACTTGAAAATTTTCTGAATCATAGCAATGATCAAAATTTTTATGAATCAAATTATTTTCATTATGAGAGCTTGAGTTTTGGTTATATCTTTAAAGAACAATTTTTCATTTAAGTTAACTTGACATCATGTTACAAATTCTTTTCCTTATTGCATTCAATCCAAAACAATCACCTCTGAGAAGACTTAGACACAGCCTTCAGAAGGAGAAAGCACTGCTTTTCCCCTCAGTCTAAGGCAGGTCACACACTGAGGGAGTGAGTAATAAGAGGCAGATTCCCTACGCTTTTGCATTAGTATACACACATCACCTTTATGCATCATAAGGCAAAAATATAAGAAATCACCATCTGCATGCCTCTTTCTTACCACATGCTTCTTCAGTGTGTGTTCAGCCTTGTGTGCTTCTTCTGAATGATTTAAAGGGGTTTTATAAATTTTGAATTACTACAACTGTAATTGAAGTCTTATTATACTCTTACTAAAGTATAGTCAAAAGCTAAAAAGCCAAATTTCTTAAGGTTAGCTGAAAAGGTAGTTTTGATTGACTAAGTGAGAAAAGGCTATGAAAGAAATCTTGAATTGACAATGAATTCAGAATTTTATCCACCAGATTATAATAAAATTTCAGTTTGTCAATGTATTAATTAACAATTGATGTTATGGAAAAAGAATGAGAGAACCCGACAGTTCAGGTTGAAGAATATATGCAATTCAAAATTTTGAATACTTGAAACTTTTTCTCTGGTTATTTAAATATAAAATCAGCCACTTTTAACTACCTTTATTAATAAATTATACCTAAGAATTTGTGCAATAAATATGTATAGTTAGATATCATAAAAGAAAATAAGTAAGGCATAGGCAATACAACAAAATTTTAAAAAGCAGATAGTTATACTCATTTTAGAACTAACCCAAATATTTCAAAAGAACAACAAATAATATTAAAAAATAATGTTGAAAGAAAGCTTTGTATATGAACACATGAATAATACAATAATTTTATGAGGTAATATCACAATTGATTACATCATTTACAAAATGCTGTTATTTATCTACAGATTAAATTTTAGCATGCTTTGTAAAAGCATGAATGGTCATATGTTCTTTCTGCGTAAAAGTTCTATTACAATCAGCACATTTGTAAGGACGTTCTCCTGTATGTGTTTGCACGTGTCTCGTCAGATTACCCCGCAAGTAAGTGGTATAATCACACAATGCACATTGAAAGGTGGATGTTTTTCTTATCACATTTGTAGATTTATAAGACAATCTTGAAAATTCAGCAAAGTAATCTAGAAATATGTTTAAAAATTTAATTAACATAATGCTTGAATTCAGCACAATATTTCAAATAATGCAAAAATGTTTTAAATTACACAGTGATTTTTTCTCCACACTAGAAGCATAAGATGGATGACTACAATGAGATGAATATTATTAATGAATCAGAAATGATTTTGCCAAACTGACATGAACCTAAATAACTAAATAATAATCGTAGCACACTGTAATTTTTTAGAACTTTGACTAAATATTAGCCAAGAGTGACTAAGATCGAATTTTTAATGACTTTTATAATTAATTAAAAAAAGTAGCAATTAATATCCCTTGAAAGTTCGAATACAATAAAATAGGTGAATTGGTAAAAGCAACTTTGCCATTGATTCTAATAGTCTAAAGAAATAAAAATTCTAAAATGATTTAATTTTGATCATTAATTTAAAGTAATTTCAATCCACCTATTACATTTTCTCAGTCATATATGGTTACATAAAAAAAAAAAAAATTGATTGAATGCAATATTTAGTACAATAAAGTAGGTGAATAGAGTTTGTGAGAAAAGACATCTCTGCAGTTGTTATTATATTATATAAGTAAAAATAAAAACTTAATATTTAATGAATACATTAATGGTCAATTTAACCTAGGAATAAAACATAAAAATTTTAATGGAACATAAAGACAAATTGTCCAAATTAGAAAGTTTAAAGAAAGTGTTGCGAAAGGCCCGTGATATAATGCTAGGAGTATTCTTAATTTTCCTGTGTGTTTTAGCAATACTCACTGCTAAAAATACATAGAAGATTCAGTACTCACGTATAGTGAGTATTATTCAAAAAATATGACCCAAATATTACTTACATAATAATTTAAATACCTCTTAAAACACACCATGACAAACAAAGAAATATATCATAAGGGTCTAATAAAGAGATTTTTTTATTTAAACAACTTATTATTTTGCACAGAATAATTTAACAAGCATTAAAAAATATTGTATAATTATGTACAAGCATAAAATGGCCTTTGTAATAAAAAAAAGATTTGAAAACTTTTGTTTAACTACTAAGTCTATAACAAAACTTGCATATTTAAGTTAAAATTATTCAACAATTGAACAGATTAAAATGAAGTAAAAACTAATTTTGAACTTAAGCAATAAAAAATTCATTTAAATTTTAATTTAGTCAATAATTGAACATTATTTGTATTGTACCTGAATTTCTGAAAATTCTATTGAAACTCAAAATTAGTTCTAAGGGGAGAAAAAAAAAAGAAGAGAGCAAGGAAAGCAACTTTTATGTATTTAATTTTAATTAGATAAAAAAAAAGCAGATGTTTTAGAGATTCAACTATAAAAAAATATGTTTTTTTATAATTTTATTTATGGCCAACAGATAATACATTCACAATGAAAAGTCAAAATTTTCATCAACAAAACTGGTTATAAGGCAGATTAGATAAGTTTAAAAAAAGAGGTGATTTCAGTATGATTTAAGTTTCATTATTCAAACAATTATTTCATTAATTAACTATACATAAATACATATACTTGCAAAATCAATCTTATTAAGTATTTAATAGCAAAGTCTAAATATCTAGTCAAGTCTAAGTTTGTCTTTCTTTCTAATAAAAAGCAAAATCCTTCAGAAAAAAATGTTATATTTTAAAAAGACAATGAAGATTAACCATGAATTTTTTAAACAGTTGACAAACATAATTATAAAAATAGTTCAGAAAGTACAGTTTTATAACAATTAAAAAAAATAAATTATGTTATCTATACAAAAAATAAATGAATTTAGTTATTTAAGTATATTGTTTAATTTAATAAAACAATAAATCAGAAATGCTTTGATTCAAATGCCTGCATATTTTCTGATTAAACAATGCTTAAATACCTCCTTTCTGTCTCATTTTATAAACTTTTGATCTATTATATTTTTTTAAAAAATTCAAGTAGTTTTTTGTTCAATCTGAATAACCATATCTTACAGAATACTCCACCTACATTATTAAAGTTGAGAAAGCTTAGTTTATTATTGCCTTTTTTTAAAAAAAAAATATATATAACTAGGAAACAATTAAAATGTTTTCAGAAAGTGTTCACACAGAAAATGTAGTGCAGAAAACAAAAAAACTAAATAGCAGCAAATATTTTATTGATGAATTGATAAGTTTTAGTTGACAATTTTTCTTTATTTCAGATTGATCATATCATGATCATGGAATATAATATAATTAGAAACAAATAATATAATAAAAAACTATACATACATTTATCAATTATGAAGTTTATTCAAACATACACTATAAAATGATTAAAAATAAAAAATATTATTCTTTTTGTCAAAAATAATATGCTTTATTAAAAAGAACATTTTGGGTGCAGAAATTAACTTATTACAAAAAACTTATTGTTAAAAAAAGATAAAGAAAAAACAAATTAAGGAAAAGAAAATCACTGGAGTAAAACTTTTTAATATAGGAAGGTAAATAAGATTAGGAAAATGTTTCACCACTTACATAATAAATATTTCTCGACTAAAAATTTGTAAATTCTTATTCTACACTGAATATTATAAATACATTAAATATTTTTCAAGTAAACGCTTTTTTACTCAACATATTTGAATACATATTAGAAATAAGAAAATCTTGACATATTAGAAATAAGAAACTTTCCAAGAGTGGTTCAAAAGCATAAAATTAATACAAGGAAATTAAATTTTATTCTATAACAGAAGTAAATTTTTTAATAAGTAGGAAGTTTCATAAATATATTAAAACACAAAAACATGAGTATGGAAATCTTAACAAATAGATTCAACACATGAACACAAAAATTTTAAATAATTTGGCAAAGATGCCAACATTTATTTCCTTCACGGAACAGTATGACTAGTCTAAAATGAATAAAAATCATTAAAAAAAAATTAAAAAAAACTAAGCATGATGTTGTATAAAATATATAGTGGCTATTTTTTGTTTATTAAATTAGGAATAAATGTTACCATATACAGACTATGGCAACTTTCTAGACCTATTTCTTTATGACGCGGATGAAATTGTCAATACTCAAATTTCAATATAACATAAAAATTTTTTCTTCGAATTTGAACTATTGAAAGACTAGAATTCTTGCACAAATCTAAAAAAATTAACCTCAACTTGTCATGCATTATTATTCACTGTTTATAGATTCATGATTATTTTAACAGAGTATATTTCATTATTTTACAAGCAAGTAAGGAATGAACAAAAAGTTTACTTTTACTATATATCACCCTTAGTCTGAATGACAGAAAGTGGTAAGAAAATCTTCTAAGCAGAATTAATTATTAAATAAGAGGTGACATAAGACATTATTTTCAAAATACTAACTGAATAATGAGTAGTATTGTGTGTTAAACATAATTTTGTTATGAAAATTTTTTATATTAAAGCTATTGCCTCCTATTGCACACTATAGTTTGACATTTTCCAAGAGAAACATTTCCTGAACATGTGCATTATACATACAAGGAACAATGAGTATATGTTTCCCTCAATAACTAAAAATTTCAAAAAGTCTATAAATATTTAAATAGTAAAACTTTATGATGTGAATGAAACTGTCAATTCTCAACTTTCAATACAACATAATATGAATAACCTTTTTTCTTAATTTTAGAATTTTACTATTGAAAAACTAGAATGCTTGCACAATTCCAAAAAAATTAAAACACAACTTGTAGTGTATTACTATTTATTGACACTGTATTTTGGCCTTTCTCATAAGAAACATTTGCTGAACATGTGTATTATATACACAGGGAACAATGGTTATTTGTTTCCCTCAATAATTAAAAATTTCAAAAAGTATCTAAATATTTCTAATAAGGCAATAAATGTGGTAACAAAATCTTCTAAGCAGACCTAATGATGAAATGACAGGTGACATAAGACATTAATTTGAATTGTGCAAGCATTCTAGTCTTTCAATAGCGAAAATTCTAAAATAGCAAGAGAAAAAAAGGTACTTTTATTATGTTGTCAATAATTCTTTAAATTAATGCCATTGCTTCATGCTATCTATGAATACTTTATTTTGACATATTACATGAGAAATAAATGTTGAATATGTGCGTCATTGGCACAAGGGTCAACAGGTACATCTTTCCTTCAATAGTTAAAAATTTTAAAAAGTCAATCAATATTTCTAATATTTCACTATCATTTCAAACAGATAAAAAAGTTTCAGAAATAATCATCAATAATATCAAATTATTATCTAAACAAGCTGAGGAATTTAAATAACTTAATCATTTTGCAAATATTCAGCAGATGAAAGACTTTTTTTTTTTTTTTGATGCGAGAAATTTTGAGAACTATAGCATTTGTATATTTTGATTTAATCTACCATAAAAATTGGATATCTGAGATACCCATGATTTTAAAGTTGACTTTAAAAACTATGGAATTTTCTAAATATTGCTCTTCATAAATTTAAAGCCCAAACAGAACTTACATTTATTCAAAAACATAATTTTAAAAATGAATGTTTGAAAAATATACCATTAAAAAGATACTTAACTTAAAAATTGCATTTGGTGTTTTTTTACACTTAAAAATAATATTTTTCGATAATAGTTTTTATAAACTTAATAAAAAAAATATGTTTTTACTTCATGAGGCACATAAAGACATTTTTAAGATAAATTTTTTTCAAATAGAAATGCTTAGAATGATGCCAAAATTAAAACATATTTGACAAAAAATGTGAATATGATCTTACACCCCATTTACTTCAGTAAAACACTAGCCTGAAAAAGTAATACTAGTCAAATTGACATTAAACCTAAATTTAGAGTTTAAATTTCTAGGAAAGGGAAATTATAGCTACATGACATAAAGAGTCAATTATGATGCGACCTGAATTCCGTTTTATTAGTTACCTTACCAGTATAGGATATCTTCCCCTAAGAGTAGTAAGTACATAACTTTCTCCTTTAGTTATAAATCTTATTAATTTAAAACGAGAGTTTATAATCATTGATAGTAGCACATAAAGTTTAGAAAAAATATATGCATGCTAAAGTCACATACCACATTCAATCAAATATCAGGGTGGTTGATTTTAAAATAAGACTATGATTTCGACCCATGAAATTGCATGCATACAATTATCTATCTGTAATAACATACTTAATTTAATTATCGCTTTTAAAAAATTTAAATTTTGCTCCCTCACAGGCATGTACATAAATTGAAGATATTACTCACTTTCAAGTCAATAAGTTGAGTCATAAATGTCATAATATTTCTTCAACTAAGCTGCCACTATTAAAATCAAACTGTTCTTGGTTTAAGTATTATTGTTTCACAATAACTCAGACAACACTTTATGTAAAAAATAATAATTTAGATTAAAAACATAATAATCTATAGGAAGAATTCTTCAAGAAATCATAGATCTATTAATGGATTTTCAGAAAAAGTTAAATCATATGGATGACAGGATCTTTGATGTCTTCTCATTGAATTTCTATGACGAAACATTTTGGAGCAATATTCACATGGGTAAGGACGTTCGCCTGTGTGAATAAGCATATGAATTCTTAGATTACCTTTATTAGAGAACATTTTCCCGCATGCATCACATGCATGTTTTCCATCGATTACATAATGCATAGTCTGCTTGTGAACAAAATGACCGTCTGGATCTTCAAACACAGAATTGAAATCTACATTAAAAATAAAAAAACACTGTATTTACCTTAACAAAAAACATATCAGGATTATTAGAACAATTAAAACTACAGAAAAAACTTTAATATTTTGAAATATTTAAGATGTTTCATAAATTAACTAACTTATTTTTTAAAGTTATTTACTATGCATCAAACTAATAATAAATTCTTTATTTTATACTTCTTTTTAATAATATTTTACAAAACTAGAATGTATATAAGAAAGAAATAATTTGAAAGAGAATGTATCAACTACCTGAAAAACATAATATGATGTACACAAACAGTAAAAACTTAATGAGTGGAGTGATTTTTAATAACAGGACTATTAAAAATTTATAAACACACAATTTAAGTAGAATATTAGTAAGTGTCTGATAGAATAAAAATTCAAAATTTAGCTCAATGCCTGATAGTTTAATTAATAAAAGGTTCTTCATTTTGTTTCCACACAAGTTTAAGCATAAAATCCTGTATAAGAAAGATAAAAATACTAAAAACTTACATGACTTTATTTAATTCGCTTTTCATGATTCTCTTTTATATACCTCACAATTACTTAAAGGTTAGAGAATAACCAATTTGGAAACAATGTTTTAAAGATTTGATGCAAGTTGCCACTAATAAAATTAAAAAAAAAAATGCTTACAAATATTTCAAATTAACAAATTACTTTTAACAGCTTATCTTTAGAATTGGCATTTAATATGGACTGTGGGTGTTAATGAATAAAGAATTTTTATGCCAATCTATTGAGGAGTAATATTGTGCATTTCTTTTTTTTCTTTCTAATCAAAACAAAAAAATTATTTCTTATGACATGCAAGTAGATATAGTCTAAAATCTATTTTGTAGGACTCATTGTAAACAATAGATAAGCAACAATACAAAAATAAAATATATGTTATTTCTGATCTATTTTAACCTATTAAATAATAGCTTCTTAATAAAAGAGTTATAAGCTAAATCTAAAGGTTTAAAACTGGACTTACCAAATGAAAATGAAAGTTTCAAAAAAATTTACATACATAATTTGTATTGAGAACAGTATTGGGGATCATGTATTAAAGTATAATAAACAATAGCAACAAAACAGACATAGATAGAATAAGTTTAGTCAACATTTGAAACTAATATATTTTCTAAAATAAATAAATAATAATAATTCAAATAAATAATAAACTTAATATAATAGTCTTGTACCCTCAAATGTTTATAGAGACAAGGTTCAGGTATCGTTCATAATGACAATATTTTAATAAACAAAATTGATATTTCTGAGTTCGAAACAGACATTTGAAATCTTTTTAAAAACTAGACTTTTTTTTTGTGTTTTAGGAATCTTTCTTCAATTATTCTAATCAAGAAAGAAAGGAATAAGACTAATGTCTTAAAATAACATTACCTAATTTTAAACTTAATTTAAATAATCACAAAATAATTTTTGTTCATCAAACTGTAACATATTTAGAAAACAATATATTAATACATGAAGCATTAAGTAAACACCTTTATATTCACAATGTCATTAGATTGTACAATAAATAGTTCTAAAGTATAAAATACAATGGGAAAAATTTATAGTCATGACAATGGATTTAAAACAATAAAGTAAATTTAGCTGGTTACAACGAACATTGAAACTAGATTTCATAAGTTCATATTTTTTTTGCAGATATACAAAAATAAATTAATAAACATACTAAATAATTAAAAATTAGATATATTTCAAAAAATATTATATTTCTGGTTTTATAATTAATCTAAATGTAGTTTTAAGCACCTTTAATTTTCCTTTAAAATTTTTTTATCTGCATAGTTTATGTTATAATAGTATTACTTTAAAATTATAATAGAGTATATTATTTTAAATACACATATGCACAGGAATAATCAGCTGCATCAAATATAGTAAAGTAGGAATTCACACTTAGTGAAAATACATAGAAGAACATAAGAACTTATAATAAACAAATAATTCCAAGAAACTAAAGCGCCAAGATTAAAAACTTCATCTGCTTCAAAAATATAAGGATTGGAAATAACAGTCAGCATATTTCAAGCACTCCAAAACAGGCTAAACAATATTCTTTAAAATTTAGACTTAAGGAACATGATAGACTGGTCATTATCAATATTTTGAAAAATAATCAATTGCTGCACATTGTTGGAATTTTGGGCATAAATTCAAATTTTGACAATGCCAAAATTATTTCCCCTTTAGCTCATCTTGATACCATGGAATCTTATTTTATTCACATGAATGCTGATTCCCTTGTTTACGATATTAGTTCGTTACCACCTCTCTTTAGTGTATGGAAATGTATTTTACCGTGACTTGCCCCTTTTTCTTGTTCTGTTTCACATTTTTTCTCTTCCGGCTATTGTAGATTTTCTAGATTTGTTTCTCACTTTTATTTTTCCATATTTCGTTGGCAAATTTACATTTAATATTTCAAATCACTTTTGTTTCCTCTCATTCTCATCTGGCAAGATTTGAAAATGGGTGCCTGTTTTTCAGCTGTTGAAACGCGTCGACTGCTATTTTCAATTTGTATATTTTTAAAGTGAATAATCAAGTGATAAGAACTTACAGTTGCAGTGAAATAAAAAAAAAAGAATTTCCGACATCAAACATTCAGAATATCAAATATTGTAATTTTGAGAAAGTTTCGTCAAGGAAATGAATGTGTAGACATTTTAAATATAATGAAGTATAGATTTATTCTAAACGCTAAAAAATAATATCAAAGTAATTATTATGAAACAATTATTAAACAAGTAATTTAACAATACAATTTACAGCATGTTTTCCCTTTTCAAATAACAAAGCTTTAAATGATTCATTGTTAAAATCAGCCCCAAATTGAATAACTCCAATACAGTATTTATAAACATTGACATTTATACATTTGATTAAAATTTTGCATTCTCTTTCTAGTTGCGGTGGTAAGAAATGTTTAATAAAATTTAAAAGTCCATAAGAATAAAATTTCATCAAAATATTTAGATTATAAGTTTTAAATATACCTTTAATAGTAATTTAAAGTAAGATACAAAAATGATAAAAAAAATGATAATATATTATTGATTAATTGTTTTTGATAGTTTGGCATATTGCAAACACTTTTACACATTTTATGCAATTATAAAACTTTGTGTCAACATAACAAGCCAGTGTCGTAGAAACTTAAATATATAATGTCACCACAAGGTACTAAAGTTCTTTGATTACATTGCAGATACAAATTAGAGAAAGCTATAAATTAGAGTTTTTAAAAAACTATATAACTTCAACAAGTAATTTATAATTTTTAAACAATATTCAACTTCAATTAAAATATTATATCATGTTCAATAATAAGTTTTAATAGCTGTTTAAATTTTAGCAACCTAAAAAAATCTCGAAGAAAAAGAAAGTTTAAATAGTTTTTTTTTAATAACCATTTAACAATAATTATTTGATTTTTTTGTTTGCTTGTTTTTGAATTAGGGCTACAAGTTTTTGCATGATGAACAAATATTTTGCACAAAAATGTGTCATATGTAATGAATTAAAACGAATTGGATAAATTTCTTGTTAAATGCATATATATATACATATATATATATTAATATTATTTTAACATATCTTTAAAGTTTTAATCAATCTAAGGCAGACTGACTAGTTAAGGCTATTTTTATATTCTAAAACTCTGTCATCAGGAGAAATAATTAATTTTAGGGAATAATTTATGCCATTTTTATAATGTTATCAGTTTGTGTGTAACAGCTATTCATAACTCTTAGGTTATATTTTCCCCCTCACTAAGTAGCACATTCAATGACCAACATATAGCACATGGGTGCTAAATAAAGAATAGTCACAGTTTCTGAAAATTAAAAAAGGGTTTGAGAACAACAATTTTAATATTTGAAAAGTTACTATAATTCTGCCTTGATTAGGCTTAAAAAATGTGCAAAAGTTGAGAAATATTCATTGATTTTAATGTTGTTTCTTATGAGGAAAAATATTTCAAAATCAGAGTTTTTTTTAAAAAAAACAACTTTTTACACTTAAAATATTTGTCCATTTTATAGTTCAGTCAATTTTTGCAGCATAATACTGAACATAGCTAAAAATTAGTTTTGATTCAAATTTAAAGCACTCAAATTGTGGCCTTTTCATTTTACTTTCGGAAAAAGTTAAAAAAAATATCTTTAAATTATAAAGTGATAAATTTCTTTTCTAAAGAAGCAAATTACAATGGCTATTTATACATTCTTTTTTTGCTTTTCAGATCATTTTAATTTCAACGAATCAGAATATCATTGATATGTCTTTAATCAACATATGTGTTACATGGTATTAAAATGATAGAAAACATTTAATGCTGATTAAATGACCAAACCAAGCATAGAATAACTCAATAGTCTCTAAATTAGAACGATCAAACTTTGAGATTGCTACTAGTAACATTAACTAAAATAAAAAGATATTGTATCAAAAATCAAATCCATTTGATTTTTTAAATAAATTTTTAAAATCTGCATTTGGTAGCAGCATTTTCTGAACACACACAAAAATTAGAAATATCAGAACAAAAAATTTTTTTATTAAAAAAAATCAGGACAACTAGGAACCTAGCATTATCTAGTGTTTAAAAGTAAAAATATGTTTTATTAAATTCAGTATTCCATTTCAATTAATCAAAAAAAGTACTTAATATGGTAACTAATGCAAGATTATCAATTTATCATCAAGAACAACTTTTAGTAGGTAATAGCCCACAATGTTTTGCTTTAATTTTTTGATGTTTTTATATCTGAATTGAAGAGACTATAAATTGAAATCTTTCCTAAGATTATTTAATATATATTCAAGCTAAGAGAAAAGGAATATTAGCAGCTACATCAGGTTTGTCATTTATGTGACAGGCTCTTTTAAGATGATTTAAAGAATTTCTGTGTCTAAAGACTTTACCACACATGTCACAAGACTATATGGGCGTTCACCAGTGTGAATAAGCATATGAACACTTAGATTACCTTTCATTGAAAATAACTTTCCACAAATCATACATACATTCTTCCCATTTAAAACATAAGGGGAAGTCTTTCTCATCATCAGACTATTGTGACTATCCTTATATCTGAAATCCTTATTCATATCACAATTATCTATAAATGAAAAATAGCATTAAAAACACAGAATTGTAGAAACCTTCAGAAAGAAAAGAAATAAACCAAAGGACACATTATATAAGAAATGACTGAAAAGCTTTCGAATTACAAACCTAACATTATTTTTAACCAAATATTATCTTTACCACCTGAAAAGGTCTTATTTATCTTCAAATATTGAAAATTGAAGTGACATGAGTTTACCTTTACCTTTTTTAAAATTCTCAGTTATTTGATAAATAATAATATTCAGAATGAGGCTGTGCAAATGACATGCATTTTGAATAGTCAAAATAGTAATAGAATATTTGAATAGTAATAGTATTATTGTGCTCAAAGGTATAAGCATGTTGAAAAATTTCCTGTCATATTTTATAGATAATTTTACTTCTTTTCAAAATAAGTTTTATAAGTTTTTAAAATTTAGACAAATTCATATTTACAAACATTGTTAAAATTTCCATAAGCAAACAGTATTTAGTTAATTTTTTTATTCATTCATAATCTAGAGGTATTCATACCCACTATTAAAAAATTATTTACATTAGAATCTTAGCTAAGAGAGCTAGATACTAAGTACATGCTGATTAATTGAATATCTGAAAAAGGAGAATTAATTTGAATGTATATAACAACTTTAAAATATAGGGAAAGACTGAGAGAAAGAAACTAGATTAACTTTATTTGATAACTGGAACAAAACATGAATTATATATTTTTCTCTCTACAAATTATGCATTACTAGTCGGATAGTAGAATATACAGTTATACAATTAAATGGAAAAGTAATTAAAAGATAAAATACAGCAGACGTATATAACTATTTCCTAAACTTAATGTCAATAAATTATTAACTTTATAGAAATTAATTACTATTATAATTAATTTAACTATTATTAGTTTAATATTATTAATTTTCTGATGCACACCTAATTAAATGATCTTAATGACTGATAGAATTAAGCAGAAAATTTAACAGCTAAAGGCTATAACCTACATTATCTTAGATCTAGAAAGCTGATGGTTTCTATTATTTATTGATAATATATAATCATCCTTTATTTGTTTTTATAAAGTATAATAGAGCAAATTGTCACTGAATTATAAAGTAAAACCACAAACAAAACTCTAACAGTGTTAGAGTTTTGTTAGAACTTTATCTAAAAATTTAAATATTTTACAACATTTTTAGAATAAAGCATTTTAAAATAGCTCCTAGATACGATTTTAGTTATTCATTTACTTTAACTTAAAATATTTAAAAATATTTTTTTACGTTTAAAAATCTTTTCAAATATGAAGATTTTTTTTCAATGAAAAGTTTTTAAGTTGGAGAATTAGAATATTATTTTATAGACACAAAATTTTTACTATCATAGTTTAATTAATTTTGCTGAAGGAAAAACATAGCAAAATTATAATCACTATGAGAAAAATTTCTTCCTTTTTAACTTAGCAATAAAAGTTGGGTACATACAGCCTATATCCTAGACTTCAAATGAGAAAAGAAGGTTGCAAAGAAGTATTAAAACCAAAGAATTGAAGTAATATAATAGTGAGGTTTTGTAATAAATTGTTCCAAAACAATGATTAATAACTTTATATTCCTTTATAATACATATTCTTTATATCATGTAACCATATTTGTAATAACTTTATATTCTGTATGACTTTATTAATAATTTTTTTTAGTTTATTAGTGAAAGGTGATTAAAATAACAGCAGAAAGACTGAACATTGCTATATACCTAGAAAGTCTGAAGGAGCCAGTGTAACCCTTTCCAGATAGTTCGTGTGTAGATCAATGAGACAACCAAAATCTTAATCATAACTAATTTAATAAAAGATATATTAAAAAATCAATCATCAAAATTCTATGCTATTTTATTTGATTTGGCTAATGGAAACAGAACACTGACTTTTCAAATATACTTATACCCTAGTTTTTTTTTTTAGAAAATTGATCTTATTCTCCATAAAAAATAATTATAGCTATGCTAAATACTCATGTTTTTCTCCTTTTTTTTGATGAAACTGGGGTGCTTAATATAAAACAAAGGGTATCTTATATTCAAACATACCTGGTTTATTGGGAATTCAGCAAAATACTTAAGGGGCTACTCTGGGCAATCCTATCATTCTAGATATAAAATTCAATATATGTGGCCAACACAAGAATAAGTAAGAAAGCACTTAAATTAGATAAAATAATGAAAAGTCAAAAATACTCGGTACTTTCAGTAAAATATTTTTGGATTACAGGGCGACAAAAATAAAAGGGACCAAAGGCCCTAATCTGTCTTTCTACTGTTAAAGGTTAGAATAGATATTACCAACATGTTAGATATTACCAACAGAGCTTAAAAGTTTGAATTTTATTTCATTTATTTTCTTAACAAGCATGTGAATTAAAAAAAAAGTAGTTATGTTAATGACATTTAAGAACATGTGAGTTTAAAGACAAAATCTACATCTATAATCACTCTCACTTTATCAAATTTCATATATAAGTATATTTGATTAACTTTTCTAGCAAAATATTATAGACTCGAAAGATTTCATACAGTGTTGCCAAATCTTTTAAAAAAAATAAGCACCTTTTAAGCTCTTAAAAATATTTGTAAGCACTATATACATTAACAAAAGGTAAAATAATTTTCACAGACTTTACGCAACCATGATAAAATAATTAGTTTCTGACAAATAACTCTTTTCTTGATTATATTAGCAATTTTAAAATGATCAACAGATTTTTCGGTTCGATATCAGAGGGTGGAAAAGAACAATGTGAAAAGCACGCTTCTGCACAAAACATGACGAAAATTGACATAGTAAAGAAAAAAAATCTTATTTTCGAAAAGGGAAAATTAAGCACTTTTTAAAATCACCCAATGGAATGGCACCTTTAGGGGCTTTTAAAAAACGAAAACAAGCACCTTTAAGCACTTTTTAAAACCGCTATGCACCATGTTTATAGATATGAGGATAACAGAAAAGTCATGGGACACAATGTTATTGCACATTTGAAATATAATTATTACATAGATTGAATTTTACTTTTTTTGTAGTAATGTTCTCCACACATTCATATTAGTTGCCAGAGAAAATTTATTTAGTTCTCTTTATTAACAGAAGGACTATAAAATATAGGTAAAGAACAAAGTATGTGGATGACATTTCAGTGAATTTTTTTAGAATGATTATAGTATGGTTGGAAAATTATAAATACAACGATAAAGTGATAAAACATGTGATGTGATAAAACAATTTTTAACTTGTTCAAAATATAACAAGAATATCAATTAAGAATGAAATATTTTCTAATTTGTAGAATCACTCATATACAAAACAGTTTAAAATTAGTTTGCCATCAATAAGGTATATCACCAACAGTGTAATAACATATAACAACTAATTTATTTCAATTTTAATATTTTAAATCATATCAAAACTTTCATATATTTTATAAACAAGATAAATAATCTTTAATTATTCAAACATTAATAATTGCCAATAGAATGATTTAATTACATTTAAAACAAAATAGAAAAATTGTGTTAAAATTTCTGAATTTCTATTTTATAAATAAATCCACTAATGGCAAATGGAGGTGATTAAAATCATTGGACACACTAGTTCGAGAATTGTTTCATAAGCAACCATAATTAAATTTAATGAAATAAAAATGTAATATTAATATACAAACCTTTAATTGCATTACAGAACATACAAATATCTTATAGTCTAATAAATTCTTTCAAGAACAGAAATTTATGAATTATATATAAAATATTTTAATAAGGAATTATATATAAAATATTTTAATAAGGAATTACATATAAAATATTTCATCCGAAATTTTAAAGACATGGTAGTTTGGCACACAAGTTTTATCTATCCTTGCTTTCATATACCAATACTGATTCACCTCCTAAAAGAGATTTATTGCATTTAATTTATAAATAAACTAAGTCAAAGATGGAATAATTAAGAAAAAACAATGTTCTTAACTCATTACTAATAATTAAATAAAACTATCTTAATCAACTATTAAAACCTCATTTAATAACTACTATCGCTGTTAACAGAGTTTGTAAACAAAATGGGAAATATTAATACATCAATCAATATTTTTTTTTTAAAAAATAGATGTTCTTAACTCATTACTAATAATTAAATAAAACTATCTTAATCAATTATTAAAACCTTATTTAATAACTACTATCGCTGTTAACAGAGTTTGTAAACAAAATGGGAAATATTAATAAATCAATCAATATTTTTTTTTTTAAAAAATAGATACACGTTTTATGTAATATACAGAGAAATTTTTTTTGTCTACATAATGGTATTTAAGAATGATCTGCCATGAAAGATTTATTTAGAAGATGGCCTCAGGAAAAGATAATTGAGTTTCAGGCAGGAGGGAACAATTACAAAATAGATTTTCCTGTCAACTAAAATTTGAATTCTAACTCAGGTATACTAAGTGTAATAAAAGCTCATATTGTCTTAAAAATAAAAAGTCAAATTACATTAGAATCAATATATTTCAAATTAATTGACCCAATAAAATGAGCCAGATGCCTATAAACAATTTATATTCTTGCTGTTTTAAATCCCTTGCTCCTATCCGTTATCTAATAATAAAATCCATTTTACGAAATAGCAGGGATTGATACAGCTTTTGTTTTTTGGAGCCATTTATTGAAGCAAAAGTATTTTTCTGAAAAACTAATGAAAAATATTTAGTTTTGGCAATTACTATATATTTTTTTAATATAAAAAAAATGTCAAAATAAGCATAGGAAAAAATACTAAAACAACCTCTTTTATATATTTTACAATGCTTTGTTAAAAAAAAATAGCACTTACATTTTATTCCTTGCTTGATCATATTGTCAAATAAAGATTTGCAGATAATTAGATGCTATTACGATAACACATAAGTACACCAAAAAATTTCATAACTAAAGTCAAGAAGTGGTTTACTTATTTACTGTTAAAAATATGTTAAAATATTGGCACTTTTCATGATTGAATGCAGCATTAATTGTCTCAAATGCATCTTTACTTGTAAATAAAATCAAATGGCTTTAGTAATGGATGCTTCAAAGTTGGCAAAATTATAGTTTTTAACATTAGCAAGTTATTTAACACTAAGCCACAATAAAGATTAAAATTTTAATTACATACTTCATTTTAATTAGATTTTTGAGATAAGAGATTATGAAACTGATAATTTTAATAAAGTTAAACTTTGTAAAGGGAAATTCTTAAAAATACATTTTAAGAATTTGCATTTCAAAAAGAGACCACAAAATATCCAATTTCTGCCTGTTTAGGCCCCTGAATAGGAAAATTTAAAATTATGTTTTTTTTAGGTCAAAATTTTTTCTCCTCTTTTTACAGTTCTAAAATTGCATGAACTATAACAAGGAATTAAAAACTTACTACCATTTGGCTAATATTAAGACTGACTCTACTGTATAGCAAAAATACACATTATTTACACTATGATATTTTATAAAATATAACAATCAGAAGCTTTCTTCTTTGATAAAATTTAATTACAGCAGATTTTTAACATATTGCAAACAAAAGAAGAAAAAAAAAACTAAAATAGAAAAACAAAAACTTTATTAAATTACTTACATCTGAAATATTTAAATAAATCTTTAACCATTTGGGGAAGAGAATTATTAGAAACTTATAAAATATATAGAGAGAGACTTATTATAAACTATTGTTTATAGAATATACACAGTCCAGTCACATTAATGTGACCACCAACTACTTATGACGTCAACGTGAAATAACCAATCACAGAAGGCAGGACATTACAGTGGAGTGTACATAAAGGAAGTCCTAGGGCATCGGAAAGCTTTTCAATCGTTGGCGTAATGCAGAAACGTAGGTATTTATCCGATGTCCAAAAAGGCATGATTATTGGCATTTGGGCCAAGGGTGGAAGCACTTGGAAACTGCTCACGTGTCGCCGTAGTAAAAATATACCGTGCATGACATAATGGCACGATTAAAAATCAGCGGCGTGGCACATGTGGTGCACCACAGGCTATAAATGACAGAGGCAAAAGAAGGCTACGGAGATGTGTTCGGGGGAATAGACGCGCAACTGTTGAGCAACTGACTGCTTAGATGAACTAAGGGGCTACCAAGAGTAAACTTAATTGACTCTCTTCCTGCACGTCTCACAGCGGTTCGCTCTGCCAAAGGTGGTTATTCTGGATTTTGACAGGTGATCACATTAATGTGACTGGACAGTGTAATATATAGATTTATAAAATATAATTATAAATGCCTACACAAAATTTTTTAAATTGAGATCTCTAAAATCAAACATATTATAAAACCTCTGACAGACAGAGAGTACTTATGAAAAAATTAAGCATAGCAAAAGAACACAAAATTGAGATACCAAAGGCAGCTTCAAGATTAAACACCATTGTCAGGGATAGGGCAAGAATATTAAAAAGTTTAATTTTTTACCTGATTAAGAAATGTTTTGGAAAATATTTCAACAAAAAATACTTTTTTTTAAAAAAAAAATTAACTTTTGAAAATTTTATTATACAGTTAAAATAACAAGGTTAATATTTTGAGCCAAATTTAAACATATTAATGAAAAATGTATTTCACATAACACACACATCAACAAGAATTTTAAATTTGACTTAAAGATACTGACATATATTAAAAAAAGTAAGAGAAGTAAACATTTGTGTAATAAAAACATTCAGCTGTTTAGAATTAATAATCTAACTCAATAGTGTAGAATATAAGCAAATAGGAGCTTCAATTATCTGAATGACATGAAAAATAAATAAGGCAAATGACAAAAAAGAGGGGGAGGATAAAAACTACAGAAAACAGAGCATGTATTTAATAGCTATCATTAAATGAGTACAAATTTTTCTTTGTAAATGCAATTAATTATTTGAATGATTATTTTTAAGTTTTAATATATAACTTTCCTTTACTTCCGCAATGAACATAATTTTTCCGAATAAGTTATATTGCCAATGAAATATACAAGTAATCTCGATAAGTGAAATTTTTTTTTTATCAGTGATCCATTAAAAAGGGCGAATCTACGTTAGTAAACACAAAAAACAATACATATTTACGGGGCGGGGGTGATTATCATAACATTCTCGAATTGAATATTATTGGGAAGAAATATCCCTAATATCTGACTAAAATAAACAACTAGAATTTAAACAAACAATTCATGAGTTTATGAACTGCGATTCGAATTTATAGACTAAAAAAAAACGAACAGAAAAATTTACGATCTGTTTTCTATTTTAATTGCAACAAGTTATAAAACGCAACTGTGATTAGACATAAAGCAAACTGAAAATAAATTCTGAATTTAGAGTTCCACGCAACTATACTTTTCAATTACTGCATAAGTATCAAATTTTCTTTTAATTGTTAATTTCAATATATATAACGAAATATTTCAAATTTTAATAAATCGTAAACACAATACTTTAACGACAGAAATATTCTCTTAAAAACAATTATCAACATAGCGGCACGGGTAATTTTCTTTTAGTTAGTAAGCTTTTGACTGTTGCTTTCTGTCCCTATCAAAACACAGTGAACCACGAAACCCTGTTTGAAGTTTTTTTAAAGTGACCTAGTGAAGGAGAATAGTGCAAAAATAAGCGGCAGGAAACGATACTGCTACTGAATCCCACTGATCGATGCTAGTAAACAAGTAGTAGTTTCATTTATAAGTCAGTCGTTTTAATATTTTATAGGGAAATAAATCTATAATTTTAATAAAAACGTTTACTTAAAGCAATTAAAAATGGGTAGAAGGTCTATAAATACTACTAAGAGTGGGAAGTATATGAATCCTACTGATCAAGCTCGTAAGTATACTATGGCATTTGAATGCATTTTGTTTAGTTAGTTAATTCTGCTGTTTTTACTATGAGACTCTGAATACTATCCTTATACGTTACGCAAAATTAAAATATAATGCATCTTCTGGTGATTAGTTGTATTCTTACTAAAATGTAACAATAATTAGACCAACAATTTAAAGGAATGCAATTTTATTTATCCCTATATCTTTCCTGTTATATAATATTTTTTTGGGACTTTATCACGAACGAAAATTCGCAAAAAGGGACCAAATTATATTGTATAACTCATAGCTATCACCAGGTAAGCCACTAGTTATTTTTTTGAAGAAAGATGATTGTATCTTGATTTGCGGCACCATAATCACCAAGCCTTGGCAACTTATAGACAGCAGAGTTCGATAAACTTATAATAGAAAGCATCAATATACCACCTCGAAAGGGTATAATTAGTAGCCACCCCATGCAAACATCTGCATGCGTTTTTTAAAAAAATTGCAAGTTTGAAATCCATTTGGCAATTGTAGTTGACGCGACATATTATGTTTAGATATCCTCATTTTTGCTAGTAAATAAACCATTTGGTGACAGTTGTTGCTGTAAACGAGCTCTTATATTACTATTCTTCATAAAAAAATTGTATTCTACTATGAACGTTCAAAAATAAGAAACTTGAATTTTTTTTAAATATTATCTTAGTCTTATTAAGTGAAATTCAAGAGTGTTACTTGAAGGAGCAAGCATTTTTAAAGAGAATATTTGAACATTTTTTAAGTTTCATATTTTAAACTTTCTTTTTAGTTCTGAAAATGCTGATTTAATACTGTTGATTTTTTATTATGTTTATTTTCTTATGACTTGTTTGATTATAAGTTTTTCCGTTGGTCCTTTGAGGGGAGGAATTGTAAAATTTTTAGTTAATTCAACCACTATTACTTTTATAGTATCAACGCATACCATTAAACCCCCTAAATTTTTTAAATAAATTATTTAGGAATAAAATGTTGCTATCTCAGTAGATTGAAACTGGCCGAAAATTTCATCTAAATGACTCTGACATATTTATTAATTTTTTTTAAAGAAATTCTTTAGTTTTTTCTTTTACTAATGTGTATTTCTGTTTATTGTAGGAAAAGAAGCAAGAAAACGAGAGTTGAAAAAGGTAATTTCATGGATGCCACATTTCAATCTGTTGAACTTTTATAGGAAACTCACTAATATGTTAACAATATATTCAAAAAACTAAAATATTTATGAATCTTTTTTCCACTGTATACCATATCTTTTTTTAAAAAAAATTTGATTATAAGTTTAGAATAAAGTAAAGTAGAGAATTATTTTACAATATTTCCAGTAAAAAAAAATCAACAAACCAATAAATGATGTGAAAAAGAAGATAAAAAGGGTTTGGATTGGGATTAAGGGGGCTAAAATATTTTGATTTTTCCTGTTTTGTCATTTGTTTCATATAAATATATGTATATCTATTTTTTTCCATAACGCAACATAGCTTTTTTTTGTTGAAAATTTAGAGTAATATTTCTATAGTTAAAGAAATTTTTCAAAAGATTTTCTATTCTACCTTTAGTTACAGATTAATAGGTTTCTTAATCTTTTAACTAAATTGCTATAATTTAATATTTAAAATTTTTCTTATGATTTTCCATTTTACTAGAAATGTCTATTTTAAATTAATTTGTGTCGCAAAATTTGTCATGAATAAAAATCATTGCTGAATCAGTGATTAATTTGTAAAATTTTGTTCAATATATTCAAAAAACATTTTTTTTGGAAGCAATGCAAATAATATTAATTTATTATATGTTTTATTTAGTATTCTTATTGTTTCCATAGATGTATATATTCTTGTCATATATTTTGTCTGTAGACTGACTGTTTGAAAATTAAAATGAAATAATTAAAAATAATATTNGAGAAATATCACAATTTTAAATTAAAATTATGGTTTGCTAATTGAAATTTTAGTTTAATAGTTAAAGAGTCTGCCCAAGCCAAATTTGCTAGGGTACCTTCACAAATTCAACTTTAGGAAAAACAATAGTTTCAAAAAGTACTTTTTTTAAAAATTTATTTTTGTGTTTCGTACGAAACAAATAAATCTATATTTTTGTGTCGACCTTTTAATATTATTTTTAATTTTCACAAAATAAATACCTCTCAGAAAAACCTAGATAGACCCCTTTCATTAAATTCTCTATTTCATTTAGTGTCGACCTTTTAATATTATTTTTAATTTTCACAAATAATGTCTAAATTTTCACAAAATAAATACCTCTCAGAAAAACCTAGATAGACCCCTTTCATTAAATTCTCTATTTCATTTAGTCTTCAAATTTCAGTTATGCATTTGTTTCAAAATGGTTGCTATGCATTCAAAACTATATATTATAATGAAAAATTATATTAGTAAGTTAGAGCTTCTAAAATATTGTTATAATATTATTTTTATATTAATTTAATTTTGATTAAACATTTATAAAGGAGTTTTTAATCATAAGTGAAAGTTCTCACAATGTGTTTGAATAAAAAAAAACCTGATTTGAATCAAAAAAATCCGATTTAAATAAAAAAAATCCCGAACCCTGAGCAAAAGTAACCCATGTGGGAACTCTTTCTTATATTCCAGCAGAACATGAGAATAAGTTAGCTGCTTACCTAAAATGTATGGCAGGATACAAAGATTTTTGGAAAATTTAAAGTGCTAACCTTTATTTTTGCTTTTTAAATAAATCGTTTTATTAGCTGCTTAAACATATATTTTTGGTTTATTTGTTTGATCTTAATGTTTTATCTGTTAATTACCACTGCATAATTATTTTTAAACAGCCCCATTATGATTAAAACTGGTGATCAGGAATTACCCCAGAAAGGATCAAGAGAAGGGGTAATTCCTGATCACTAAAAATTTAAAATATTTTAAATTCTAATTAGATTTTCAAACAAAGCAAGGTAGCCTGGGACTCATCTCATATAGCCTCAAACTTCCAGTAAATATTATAATTCTATCTTGAATAGTTTTCTTACAAAATAGATGTTTGCATTTTTTGATCAGGAATTACCCCAGGTCACCCTATTTCTATAGTTAAAGAAATTTTTCAAAAGATTTTCCATTCTACCTTTAGTTACAGATTAATAGGTTTCTTAATCTTTTAATTAAATTGCTACTATAATTTAATATTTAAAATTTTTCATATGATTTTCCATTTTACAAGAAATGTCTATTTTAAATTAATTTGAGTCGTAAAATTTGTCACGAATAAAAATCATTGCTGAATCGTGATTAATTTGTAAAATTTTTGTTCAACATCTTCAAAAAACATTTTTTTTTGGAAGCAATGCAAATTATATTAATTTATTATATGTTTTATTTAGTATTCTTATTGTTTCCATAGATGTATATATTCTTGTCATATATTTTGTCTGTAGACAGACTATTTGAAAATTAAAAAGATATAAAAATAAAAGGAGAAAAATAATATTTTATCTTGGTTTGCATTCTTTTTGTTTAAAATCTATGTGTATCAAAATTGAGATTTTTATAAAGATAATAAAAAAGATTTTAATCAATGTTGATGAAACTTATTGTAGAAATATTAAATGATTTATGTAACCAGTTATAAAAAAGCTAAGAATTTTTTGCATTTGTTCTATAAAATTGGATTTAATTCCTTAAAATTTGAGTCAAATGTGCAATAAAAATTCATTGTAAAACAATTCTCTATTGAGTAACATAGAGGAAAAAAAAACGTGTTTTTTTATGTGTGAAAAGAATAAAATTTTACTTAGATTAAATTTGAAATTGAGAGTTTAAAAATTTAAACTGCACTTATCTTTCTTTACTTAATACAATATTTTTATGAATATGTTTGTTCTTCATTACTAAGTAAAAACAAATAACCAGTTCAATATTTAAATTTTTTCCTTTTGTTTCAGAACAAGAAGCAGAGACAAATGGTTAGAGCTGCAGTTTTAAAAGGAAAAGATCCCCTGCAATTAATTAATGATATGGAAAAAATTGATGAAATGGGTAAGTGGGAAAAAAAAAGTATTTATAAAGCAATCTGTTTTATTTTACCTCAGTATTTGAATGTTTAAGTTTTATTGAAATGTTATTTATTTTCATTTTTACTTAAAAAATACTTTACTTTCATTTTAGAGTTCAATGTTAATTCTCCTCCACTATTGAATGAAAAAGTTCTGAAAGATAAGAGAAAAAAACTAAAGGAAACTTGGGATAGAGTAATGAGACTTTATGTGAGTATTCATTTCATGCAATCAAAAATATTACATGCATTGTTCTGAAGCACAAATATTAAATCTTTACATTAAATTTTAAAAACAAATTATTTGACTGTTAGTTTTATAAATATTTTTTTATAATTTTAAGAAATATTTTATCAGTTAACTTCCTTATCTTTTTAGTATAAAGAAGACAGGGAAAGATACAATGAGCTGAAAAAATTGGAGTTAGAGTATGAAGCTAGAAGGAATATACTTATTAAATATTTTGGTAGGTGCAATAGATTTTTATTTTATGCAGATTTTAAATGGTTTAATTATATTTTTCATTATTTTGTTTGTTTATTGTTTTATAAATATGACCTGTAATACCCAGATATTATAAATTTGATTGGTTTTTAATTGTGCACATTAAAATATTTAAAGAATTTGAAAGTGTTCTGTAGAATAATACAAATTTCTTCTATTTACGTAATGTATTTTATGAGAAGTATCTTCTCTGTTTAAAAATTTCACTCTTTTTAGTTCCGAAGAAGAGTTAAATAAATAATTAATTTTCTTTGCTCCATATGTGTGTTTTGCATTTTAGAATTTCTCTTTTTTATGCATTATTCAATTACATCTCAAAATTTTAGTCAAATTCAACATTCATTAAACATTGTTCATTTATTTATTCAATGGCTTGACTTGGACCATGCAATATAGCTAAATTTGTACTCAGCTATTTTTTTTTTTATTAGTTTATAAGCCCTACTTTTTTTATACAGATATTTTTATACATAAAGATAAGCAATTCAAAAACCCACTTTTGAGTACCGATGATTATCAATCTCTACATCAATTTGAAAAAATTTCATTGTAATTACCTCTTATTTGTTTTTTTTTTCAGCAAAGCTTTTTTTTTCATTTTATATAACTTATAAATCTTGATTTAGAGTTGTAATGTTACATCCTTAGCAATTAATTTAATTGTTAATGTTATGAATCATTATGTAGTCAGACAAACCAATGCATGTACAACATTCGACACTACACACTCCACTTTTTTTTACAGCAGGCACTGTAGTACATCTGTATCAATGCTTTTTTTAATATGCATTGGCGCAAATACACTGCAGTGTTTTAATGTACAATAGAGCGTCGATTATCCGATCGTCCAATTATCCGAACTGTGTCTGAATTCTTTTTTTTTTTTTTTTTAAGTTTAGAATACTTTTCAACCTATCGACAATTTTTGTAAATTGAGAAGAATAAATAATACCCCCTACATCTGAAGACCATATTTAATTTACAACCTTTTTAGCAGTTTTCTTATAGTTGCCATACATACATGTATTGTGATACAGTTAAACCTACATACCCCTTTAGCCCTTTACAACAGAAAATTATGTTCCAAGTATGCGAGGTTCATTTTGATAGTCTAATGGAATGGTTGGAATGCAGAAGGAGTTTATGAATTGATAAGTTCTGAAGTTCTATAATTGGGGAATGGGTAGTTGTAACCTATGGTTAATAATTAGTGATTACAGTGCTTGGAATCTTAAATCTTGGAATAAAATGCTTAACAGAAAAACAAACAAAACTGAAGTTTCTGAACCAGTAGATCTTTCGGATGAAAATGATGAAATTGTTGCTGAAATTTTGAATGAAAATCGGAACTCCACAGACGAAGTGGAAAAAGTAGGTGATCAAGTTCAAGATAGTGGACCTTCTCATATAGAAGCATGCAATCCATTAGATTTCACAATGAATTGGCTAGAACGTCAAAATAATGTTGATCCAGTTAACTTGATTTATTTAAAAAGAATAAGGGATAAATGGCTGCTAAAAAAAACGTGTCTCCTTTGAAACGGGATCTTTGCTGGATTTCTTTTGCAATGAAAAATGTTTTAAAATCAGTAATTGATAAAAAAATTATAAAAAACTGAAATATGATAAAAATAATTCAAAATTAAAAAAATTTTTTTTTATTAAAAATATTTAAAAATTGAAAAAGGAAAAATTTTTTAAACACACCAGAGCTATTTTAGATAGTACTGCCAAGTCCTAAGCCTACAAAAGGTGCGAAGGGAAGTTAATGCATAAATAATAATCATTTACACTAGATTTTAAACAACTTTCCAATTATTCGAACTTTTCATTATCCAAACCATGTTCGGTCCCGAGCAGTTCGGATAATCGGCGAATTACTGTATTTCCTACTATGCATTTATTATCTAATTTACTGTAAAATCTATCTTACTATATACACTTTCCTCTACTACATAGAACATTTTGTTTTCAATATGTATAATAGTTTTCTAATATCATTCTTTTTTTATTGTAACAGAATGGAAGATAAATTGTTTTATTTGTTAGCTTGTTCTAAAATTTTTATTTTCATAAACACAGAGTCTGTCCGAATTGCTCAGCAAGTTCAAGTGGATGAAATTCCTTTGCCAGATGCACCAGCAGCAATGTTTTGTAAGTATATTTTTATAATGGAAATAGTTATACAAATTTTTGTTTTCATAACATGTAAATAAAAAATGTTGTGGAAGTTGTATTTTTTTTCTTCCTCCACATTTTGATGTTAGTGTTAGAGTTTGTATGTTTTATTTTTAAAATCTGTCTTTAATTTCAGTAACTTCACAAATACCTTTACCTAGTGAGATTGAAGGTATGCTGGATGTAGAAAATCTTGTTTTACCTCATTCAATTCTGAAAAAGGCTCCACTGCCAAGGTTTGTTCTTATCTCCTTGTTTAAATTTTATTATTTTTTTTTTAAAGAAAACTATTTACTTGAAATAATAAAATTAAGGTGCATTGTAACCTGCTCTTCTTTTTCAATACTGAAAAAGTCTGATTATTCAGAATTTACCTGATCTGGAAAATTCAAGTAAAAGAATTTTCAGATATTTAAATGGAAAGAATTCATTTTTTTTTTTAAATTTATGAAATGCATTTTTTAACTTTTGTATACTCTATGTCAGGGGTGGCGAACCTTCATACACCAACGTGCCATTTTTTCTAAAATATATTGCAATGAGGTCATAGACGTGCCGACAAATAGTTTTGACTTCGTGATTATTGGGTAAATAATAATACTAAATACTATCAACTCTAAACTCTTTAATTACTACGAAAAAATGCAATTCTCAACTTTTGCAATGTCTCAGTTATATGCGTAATTCAACTTAAAGTAACATCAGTGTGACTTCTGTTGTTGCAGATGGGATGACAAATAACTTATATTAAGGTTATAAGATGTTAGTTTAAGCAGAACTGTTAATTTTTTTTGCTAGTTATTTATTGTTCGCTTGCTTTTTTGTGGTTATTAATTGCTTTTTTGGCATTAATTGTTCTTTTTTTGTGAATTTTAATTGAATTGTTTAATATGCTTCATAGTAAACTTTGTGATCGGTGGCGTGCCCAAAATATTGTGTCGCGTGCCGTAAGTGGCACGCGTGCCACTGGTTCGCCATCCCTGCTCTATATATATACTTTACTCTGTCTATATACTTAGACTCTTTTACACTAAGAACTAGATCGTTAAAAATTTTGCTAACAGAATTTTTTTTATCACTTATAAATTATTATTGTTTTACATTTTTATTTTGTAAGAATAGGAATTTACTATAAAGTTAAACTATTAATAACATCAAACTGAGTTATTATAAATGGTACTATTTTGTATAGTATGATGTATTTAGAAGCATAACAACAGATAATCAGTCTCTTAATGTACTATCTTAGAGACAAGGTTCTTTTCCTGTTTTGAATTTTGGTGCATCTTTTAATATGATTGATAGCACAGTTTTATTTGATCATTCCTAACCCTCTTACATTAAGCTTTCGGCCCTGAAGTACATTTTCCTATTTACCTCATTTCACGAGAGGGATTTTAATAGCAAATGGGCTTATATAGAAACTAAAAAGGTTTACAACATAGGTTACAACAAAAGTTACATACATATTCCTTTTCACTCCTTATAGAGCTTCTATCAAAGCTCTCCATCGCACTCTATTTGTGGCCAGATATTTTACCTCTTCCCTTGTCTTTCCTATTGTTTTTAACTCACTAACTATCATCCACAGGGGTCTGTCTAGGTTTTTCTGAGAGGTACCTATTTTGTGAAAATTTAGCTATAATTTGAGAAAATGAAAAATTATATTAAAAAATCAACACAAAAATATGGTAAAAATATGGATTTATCTTTTCTTATGAGACACAAAAATAAAATTTTAAGAAAAAATATTTTGTGAAACTGCCGTTCTTCCTAAAGTTGAATTTGTGAAAGTACCGCTAAATGGTAGTAAATTTGACTTGGACAGACCCCTGTTCCGGCACCAAGTATTTTTTAGGTCTTCCTCTTTTTCTATTGCCTTGAGGGTTCCAATCAAATCAAAACTTGTTTTACTTTAAATTTTTCAAGTTTATGTAGAACATAACTAATTCATTTCCATTTATGTTTTTTAAATTTCAGCTCAATTGGTTTCTGTTTTGCTATTTAAAGGATTTCTGCATTACAAATTTTATTGAAGATTCTTCTTAAACTATTCTTAAAAAATGCTTGGAAGTTTTTTCATGTTATTTTTATTGTACTGAGTCTCAGATTCATACAGTAGGACATATTTAACTAAAATAAACTATAATAAATAAACTATAATAAATAACTATTCAGTAGGCATAACTATACAGTTATAATAACTATACATAAATATACAGTAGGACATATTTAACGATATATTCTCATTTTAAGGTTTACAAACAATGTATTTAAATAATTAATCAGACCCCAAGTATAAGGATGCTTATAAGAGATTTTTGCAACTTTATATTTTCAAAGATTAAAATTGATATAACGTTTAGTTGGCTTGTGAAGTGCAATTGTTTTTAGTCTGTTTATTTCTATAAATCCTGAAATTTTTAGTTTGAGAAACTTTTTTGAACAGCTTAAAAAATCTTCTCGCATGCAAAGAAAGTATCTTTACTTTGTTGTATTAAAAGCAAATTATTTCCCCCATTCCAAAGAAAAAAAATCATTGCTTGCTTTCATTTTTATTAAACAAGGAAACTTATATTCAGTTGCTAGAGAGGCAGAATTAACTTATATTTTTGTTTCATTTTAGTTCATTCCATTTTTTGTTGTTCTTATTTTATGAATAAACTGTTAGATTGTTGCAGGGAAAAGAGAAAAAATTATAAGATGTTGAATAGGTAAATTTTTTTCTTCAGTGAACCTGTTTTAGCTGCTATTAAACCTCCTGGTGTTCCTCCTGGTCCTATACCTGATCTTTCTAGTGATGATGAAGATTATGTTGAAGAGACAGCAGCAAGAAAAAAGATAAGTATGTAATAAGTATCAATTATGATTTTTCTGATTTGTTTTACCCTATAAAATAAGGATTATTTATGTTGATTATAATCTTAATTTTTAGCTCAGCTTTCTAATTTTGATATTTTTTTGTTTTTATTCCAATTTACTGCAGTTTTATATTAGTAGTGTGGTTATTTATCATGAAAAAATGACTTTAAAAACAATTAAATATAAGCTAATTATTTGATAAAAAAGTAATTTATATTATTATTAGTTTTCATAGATGCAGCATAATAAACGTGATAGAAATGGCATTGGCTGTTTTAGAAATAAAAGAGGATTATTGTTAAAAAAAACAAATTATTGTATAAATCGCTAGTAAAAGTTTACAGTCCCTCAGAAAGTAATAAAAAAAATAGTTTAACCTTTGTTATATATATTTTTTATTTTGGTTATGTATGGTAAAACTAACAAATTAGTTTTAGAGCCTGTTAAAAGTTTAATGTATTTTAAATTTTGTTTTATTCAATTTTATCTGTATGCTTTTATTATTTTTTGTGAATTATTGATTAATTTTAGACTAAATATAAAATTATTCTGTAATATTGGTAATTTCACTTGCATCAAATTTAAAGTTCAATATTGTGATTCGAAATTTAAAGCATCAAATTTAAAGTTTAATTGCTGAAATTAATAGTAATGAAATCACTTGTATGCTAAATAATTTATTTAATATTGCATTTCAGGGTATTTAACCAATATCAATTATTATATGTCTAATTTTGTTTATTTTTTATTCCTATAAACATGCAATAAATATATATTTGAAATAATCTTTTATTTGTTTTATTTTAGATGAAGCTTTAGAGAAGCTTTCTAAGAAGGATCCAAAAGCAGGTAAGTAATACAGAATTAATATTTTTAAAAAGTTATTTCTTTCTTCATGTCTTATTTTAAGTGTTTTATTTTTGAATTTAGCAAAAAGTAGAAAAATCAGATTTGCTGATGAAAATGATGAACAAGAGGAGGAAGAGGAAGAAGACAGTGAAGATGAATCAGAGAATAAATTAGATAAAAAGAAGGTAATTTTGCATTATAAGTATTTTTGTAATAACTCCATTATATAATGGCAGATAACATTATTTAATTCAGAGACGAAATTGCAGAAAATAATTACCAGATTTTTTTAGTAGTATTTTTTTTTTTTTTGCTTTCATTTAAATTTGTCAGATGTGTTGCATGCTTTATTCTAAACATATATTTTACTGTATTGTGCATTTTTATTAATGACTGGAATTAAAAATAATATAATACTTAATAAATTGCGTAATTTAAATCTTTTTATCATACTTTATTAAATTAAATTTATCTAAATGTGGGAAACAGTAGAATATAAAATTTCATTAAATATGAAATTTTACAATTTGTATCGATTGTAAAAACACCTTACTTGCTCTGTATTTAATTTAAAAAATTTTTTTCATTAGGAAAAAAGTGACACGATGGATACGTCTGAAACAGCAACTGAGACTGCTAATAAGCAAAAGCTTGAAGATATTCCAGTTCCACCCATGCCTCAATCTACATCTCTACCTCCTGGTCCACCTCCGCGCTTACCCCAAGGTAAATAATTCTACACTAATGTTTTATGTTACTCAATATATTGTATACTAATATTTTATGTTACTCAATATATTGTATACTAATGTTTTGTTTGATTTTTTTTATTTATTTAGATCTCAGAATATTGTTTAGAAATTTGTCAGAATACTTTCTAAAATTTTCCATTCAATTATGTTATTTTTATAAAAAAAAAACAATTTACTATGTCTTCGTTAGAAATTTTAATTTTGAAGAAAGTTTAAAATTTGTTGTTTTCTTTTATGAGATCTTAATTCTGTTTTTTTTTCTTATAATAGGCTAAAGAATTTAAATATCATAAAATCAGGGGAGATTATATTTTGTGTTTTTTCGTATCCTCTTATACCAGGTCTAAAAAGTAGGAGTAGAGCATGTCGTTTTTCTGTGAAATTTGCAGAGTTCATTGTATCTCAAGATCATTGGTTTGCATGCTTCCCTGTATCAAAAGACCATCGGTTCACTGACTTCGGTTAATCAAAATCTTATAATCTGTCAAAATTTTGACGCATTTCCTAGTTTACATTTTGTTGTTTAAACCCTTTAACAAAATAAATGTAAACATGCATGTGATTCTTCTGTCATTGTGAATATTTGGAACTGCGCAGGGATTCGCTAATATCACGATTCATAATCATGTGGTTTTAATATCAAACATTGATTTTCGTATTTACTTCTTTAAAAGTTTCACATAGCCATTTGTATTCACGTAAGCTCAAAGTCCAATATTGTGATTCACATTCACTCGTTTATGATATCAAACATCAATTTTCTTATTTATACGTCATTTAAAAACTACACAATGTAATTGGTATTCACGTGATATAAAAATCATGCATCATGATTAGTATTTCCAGAAATTAAAAATCATGATATGTATTCAATATTGTGTTTCTTTTCACACAATTTTAAAATTTCATTTCACGATTCATATTCAGGTGATTTTGACTGTTAATTCTCTGGCTTTATGTTCAATTAATTTTCATCAGGCATTTTATTTAAATATTTTTCAGAATGATAATTAGAAATAATAATTTCCTTGTTAAGTATCTTCTGTTTCATAAAAGAATATTTTTATTATTATACAAACCTTTTTTATGCGAATGTCATGTTTTCCTCTTAATTATATTTATTTCCGTATTGTAGTATTTTTGTATTGCCATTATCTTAACTTTTAAGATTTTTTAATAAAAATTTTTTTAAATTAAATTTTTTTAATCATTCTAATTTTTATTGAATTAAATCAATTGTTTAATTTTTATTACATTTTATAAAATGCAAATATAAATAATTAATTCTTTTCTTAGCAATAAATAAATAATTATTTTCTTAACAATTAATGTAATGGCTAACTTTTTAATTCAGTTCAAATGTTGATTTATTCACTGTCATCATTATAGCAAACATCAAAATCTATTTTTAACTCTTCATTCTTTATTTCTCTAACCACAGGAATGTTTCTGTTATAGGGTTATATTGATTCTTGTAGTTCTCGTAAAATCTTTTTGGTCATTAAGCTATAGCCAAATCATCTAAAATTTAAAAGCACTGGGTTGGTTTTGTTTTTGGTTATTTTATTTTTTGCCAAATCACAAACTATGGATCTCTTTCCTTTCTCCTGAGTGCCCATTGAGTCAGTCACTGCTTATTTAAAGTTTGTAAGCTTAAAACAGTGTGAAATATTCTGACTAGACGGTTAATCTAGGATTTTAATTTTATGAAAATACTTAGTATTTTACTTGAAACATTTAGTCTTAACTGTTATGTGTATTTTGGAGCATTTAAAAAAAGTTAACATCATTAAAACTAATGCTAATGTGTTTAATTTATTACAATTTACTAAAAGCTAAATTTTTCAACTCATGTTTTTTTTCTTTTCTTTTTAGGACCACCGCCTAATGTTCAAGTAATGTTCAGACCACCTCCAATACGTACTACTATACCACCCCCTCCTCGTATGCTTCCTCCTGGTGTTCCGCCACCACCTCCTGGTCGACCAACATTACCTCCTCCTGGATTACCAATAAGGCTTGGGACTCCCCCTATACGATTACCTCCTGGTCCACCACCAGGTAAAAAATATATATATTTTATTGTTTTAGTTACTCTTATGGCATTGATGTATATCTGCATCTGCTTCTAGAAACAGCTTTAAATTTTGTATAGCTATAAAAAATGTAAAAATTTCATTCCAAAGGCATATTATTGTTTTGAAATAAATTTAAAATACATTTGCATTTTTTTCAGAATTTATATTTAATTTTTTAATTCTAGTTTCTGTTTTAATTAGAATGATTGTATTTTATGCCTTTTTTTAAAGAAACAGTTTGCATAGCTGTTAAATGTATATTTGTGTTTTTAAAAATATTTTTAAGTATCTGAATTACTATTTAAACTAATAATCTAAATAATGAAAAAATATGTAGTCTTTTTTTTTTTTTTTTTTTTTTTTTTTNTTTTTTTTTTTTTTTTTTTTAATTTTAGCTAAATGTTTTTATTTCTTAAATCTTTTAAATGCATAGGTTCTGTGTTTTTAAAAAAATTTCTCACAGTTTAACAGTTCAAAGTTTATACAAGGCTTTAGTGACACAGTTGGTAAAGATGTTGCTCACACAGCTGGTTGAAAAGCTGGGGGGTAGTGAGTTTGATCCTGACAGTTAACAAAACAACTGGTGTATGCTCAGCTAAGTGCATGCAAAGTCTATTGTGGCTGAAAGTTCCCTCCCTGGATGTGATGTAGAAATTTATAAAAAGAAGTACCAACTTAGGCACTGTTGATGTCGTCTGATCAGAGTAAAAATTACCTTTCATGGCTGTTAAAAGATAGAGCTGTAAAAATAGGGCCAAGTGCTAGGCCATGATTGGGTGATGTGCGTGTACTAAGTTTATGGCTGTGTAATTTTATTATAATTAAAAAAAAAATCTAAAGTAATTTTTGTTTCTTCTCAATTTTTGTTAAATTGGGAGCAAGAAAATGATAATTCAAAGTGTAATATGTTTTAATGGGATTATTTCTTTTTTAATTTATAAGGTCTGCCTCCCCCAAGACTTCTTAGGCCTCCTACTGCCGCTCCTCCTAGGTTATCTGGGTTACCAAATGCATCTTCATCCACCCCGGGCATTTCTCTTGCTCCTACAGCTACAGCTGCTCCACCCATTACAGTTCTCAGCGCACCTCCAAGTCTTATGCAGAGACCTAAAGCTATTCTTGGAGTTGAAGATGCACAAAGATCAGCAACTATTGAGGCTAAACCTCAAATAAGAAATCTTAGTGCTGATGTAATGAGATTTATGCCAACAACATTAAGAGTTAAGCGTGAAGATCGCCATAAGAAGAGTGGTTCTAAGTCTGGATCAACATGTAAGTTTACATTTATTTATTAAATTACATATTAACATAACTTACATGTAATTCAACATGATTTTCTTGCTTTGTTTTAAAATTTCCCTGTGTTTTTGTAGAATTGAGTAGCAATTTAAAAATAGAAATTCCTATTCTGATAAAAATTGCTACTCCAAATAATTTAACAATGAATATTTAAATGCATAAAAAAACATACATATATAGTGAAAACTTGAAGCTCCTATTTTATCTGTGCTTTTCAAAACAATTTTATGAACTTTTTTATGTTTTCTGGAACAACTGTTGATTTTGAATGACCAGATTGTTCAGCATCAATGTTTTTGCACCCGCGTTTAAATTCGAGATAACAGTCTATAATAGTTGATTTCCCTGTTGCATAGTCTCAATGCTTATTAAGACACTGTTTCATTTCAACAGTATTTTTCTGCATCAAAAAACAATTCTTAATCAATATCCGAAATTCTTTTTTATCCATTGTCATTAAAATTACAAAATTAGTGTCACTTGGGTCAAAATCACTTGTAATTGTCAATTGTAGACAATTGTTGTTTGAAGAATGCTACTAACCAGCAATCATATAGTTTTGAATGGAATGGTGCCAGTATATGTCAGACAGTAGACTTATTGAGTGGTGTGTTACAAGTGCATACACAATCTTTTGTTCTGGTGCGGGTAATAAAAATAATGTAGTCAAACTTAAACATATGTACTTATTAACTTACAAATCTAAATATGTTGAATTTATAGGAATTCAAAAAATGATTACTTAAATTAATTTTTGTCCTAAAAGTTAACTATTATTTAGAAAATAAATTTTGTTAATACAGTAATAGATAAATGTGATTATTAATGATGACTTTTTGAGATCATAATTTTCATTATTTATATTATCCACTTTTGGAATTTTTTAGCTTCTTTGCACAAATTCTGTTGTAATTAAATTACATTTCATAGCATTGCATAAACCGAACTTTCATATTGAAAGAGTCACATTCTGACACTTTGAAAAAGACTGTAAACCAGAACATGAACTTAACTATTATAGAGCATGGCTAAAAAAGCAAGCAATTATATATTTTTTTCTCTTTTATATTTTTATTAATCTATTAGACCAGTGGTCTTCAATTTTTTTCAGAATGGAACCGTAAATTATGAACCTTCTTTTGGTAGAATCCCAACTTGAGAGATAAGTTAAATAAAGAAGATTGCAAAATTATTTACCTATAAAAGCTTTAATTTAAAAAAAAAAACACCTAATAAGGGAATGAGAAATTACCTTAGGTCACTTTTTATGTCCAACTATTAAATTCGAAGTCATGGAGCTGTATCTTGTCCCAGTTATAAATGTATGCTTGTAGCTGAAAATGAATAAAACAAGCAGAAACATAGTTTCCTTTGAAATAAAAACTAAAACGAACTGCTGTAGGCGTTGAAAAATGCTATTAGGGAAGCATATTTCTTTATTAACTAATTTGTTAATTTTGTTTTCATTTGAAAATAATTATGAAAGTTTTATACATGCATGATATTTTCCTAATTTTTGAAATATATTGTTATTACAAACATTATAGTTATTAAAAAAATATTCATTTCTTTTTCAATGTCATTTTACATTAAATAATTTCGTGAGGGCAACTGTAACATTAAATAAATAATGGATTATTGATTGGATCTAACAATTATTAAAGGTTTTAAATGTTACTGGTTAAAAGAAATGTCCTCGGAACCCATATGAATGGAACCATAGGGTTCCTTGGAACCTGCTGTATGACTGTTTTAGGGTCAATTTAGTCTTTGTGGGCCATAGGTTTTCCATGTTTACATTTAATTTAATTAGATTTTTAAATGTTTAATTCTGTCATTTTTTTAATATTTTGTTGATTATGATGGTATAATTTATGTGGTTTATTTAGAATTGGGTGCAAGTCATTAAAAGATTATTCTTTTTTAGTTGATCATGGTAAAGATAACTATCCTACTGCTGCTCCTATTGCCAACCCATCAGTCTCAGCTCCAACAAAAGATGATGCATACCAGCAGTTTTTAAGAGAAATGGAAGAGTTATTGTAATTTTTTTTTGTTTTGTAAATAAGTCAGTGTTTATGTGACTGTATAAAATAAATTTTTATTGTTACGTTTGTGTTTTTCAAACTAAAATGGCATTTGGTAAGCATAATTTTGCACAGTTGTAGGAAACTACAACAACAACAAAAAAATAGACTGTTTTTTAGTCTGAGTGAAATATGCAGAAGCAGTTTTAGATAAGCTTCATAACTATAAATAAATTTATTTTATGTCCGAGAGAAGTACAAGTTTCAGAATTGATCCCTTTGGACATGGGATCTGTTATACCAGACATCAATTTCATTCCATATTAGCTTAGTAATTATCAGAATCACGGGTCCTAGTTTTATTTGCTGATGAAGATGCTATTGCTTTTTGAAGCTATGAAAATATTACTACTGAAGGGGTAAATTTGTTTAGAAATAAAGGGCTTTTAAATTCGATATAAAAGATGTGTTTGAGAATGATCTTTTGAGAGTTTAAACCTAATTTTCTGTAGCAGTTAGAGTTCAAAACAGTTTAGCAGCATTTGTAAATAATTTATTACTGAATAAATTGAATGGTGATGATTTGAAAAGTTATGTGTTTGCTGATATTGACTTGAAAAAATATGAAATAAACCATGTGATTATGAGAAATTTTAGTTTTTGCAGGTGTTCTGCTAACTATTGTAAAAGCTGAATTTTAGAAAATGTATGATGAGGTAGATATCACAACTTGCATTGGAAGTCGTTGATCTAACAGTGTAGCCTCAAAGTGGGGAATTTTATCAAGCTAGAAAATAACGTAAATATTTCAATGTTAGGAAAAATGAATAAATTTTTGTTTGAGATACTTAAAATTCCAATATCTTTAAAAAAAGGTCTAGTAAAATTTTGTAAAAAAATTCATATCTAATAGTAAGTGTTTTGCAATATATTTTATGTATCACAGTGCGACATCACATAACAATTATAAAATTTATATTACTGAAAATTTATATTATAATAAAATTTATATTACTGACAAATGAAAATATAGTAAAAGAAAACAAAAAGTATTATTCTATTATTATTTAGTTTTAATTTTGATATAGCTATTAGCTTTTGCTTGATGTAATTCATAAAAGCAAAAAACAGTAAAAAAAAAACACAAATTCAATTCATAAAGGAATGGAATATTTTATTTTTCATAAATACATGAATTTTTATTATGACCTTAAATATTTATAATTGACAAAAAACTATAGTAAAATTGCACAGTCATAGTTTTAATATAAATAAAAAAAAAGAATCTCACACAAAACAGACTAGAATAATGTTAGATATATTAAAGCAAAAATGAAAGTAAAAGTAGTTCGTGCATCAAATAAATTTTGTTTTATAAAATAATCAACAAATATCAAAATAATGTGGTTTAAAAACATCAAACAAATAACAAGAAACTAGAATACACCCAAATATCTATTTATTATATAAAAACTTTAAATAAATGCATGCATCAGTAAAGTAATATATAATTAAAAATATAAAATGCACAGCAAATATTTTGGTTGTAAATTATTTTTACTCATCACAGTAAAAACAGAAATTTGAGGACGAAGTTTAGAAAGGTTTTGAAAGTAACATTAATGCATTTGTTGAAAAATTTGTGTCATACTAGAGAACTAGTCCATTATAAGAATATACTTATAATGGACTATTGGCAATGGTCTAGGAAATAAAATAAAAACATTATATAAATTCAAACTTAAATTTATTCAGTCTATTTTAAAATAATAAAATATTATTTTCATACTACTTACTGTAAAATAACCCTAGGAAAATTAAGATTACTTTAAGGTTTTCCTTACATTTTACTATCCAGATTTTTATTTTATTTATTTCCTAACAATTAAATGGATATACAAAACAAATTAATATATTAATGTTTAAAAAACAAATAAATAAAACTTTTTAGAGGCACTATTATAAATCAATGAGTAAATTTAATAATAGAAATTAAATATAATTATTTCATAATATGTCTATAAAAATAATGTTCTATTTAAAAATCAAATGTTTTATTTACATGTACATAAATATTATTTATACATAATACAAATTTTATGATTTATGTAATGAAATTAATTTTTAATTATCCTTTAAATATTCTTTTTTATAATAATTCCTCCAACTTTATTAGAAAATTATGTAGTATAATTAAAAATATGCTCAAATTTCATGGCTATGGCATGAAAATTTACAGTAGAATATTGAATACAGAAATAAGAAAAATACTTTATGAAATGTAAGGAATAAAATTATACTTCTATAATTGTTCATAATTAGAACAATCAAACAGAAAATAAATATTTAATAAAACAAATAATTAAATTTTAAAATGCATACATCTTTGGAATAAAAGTTTTGGTTTTATTTATCATTAAAACATCTTGGAATAGTGGTTTAGTCAATCACCAGGAAGGGAGAAAATTTATATTCTTTGAATTTCAAACAGTTTAACATCAGTATCGTACCATATTGGTGGGTCGACATTCCTGCAAAATAAATTTGTTTGTTTGATAACATGTTCTGTATAATTGTTATTGTAAAACTATAGCATTCAATAATCAAGATAAAATTTAACATAGATTTGCAGCAGGTATTAAAAACATGGGAATGAAATTGGATTCGAATGAAATTTAAATGAGTCAAATTATGTTTAAAATGGTTATTTCTTGATTTTCTGAAACAACTCAAATTATAATAGAGATGTGTATCAGTTCATAATTTGTACTTAACACTTCAATATAATTTAAAAATTAATTTAAAAAGGTTAGGGATAAAAACGTTATTATATGAAATGTCTCTACGAAGGCCATCATTAACAAAACTGTGTTGAAATAACAAATTAAAAGATAAAGTATAACTTGTATTATTACATCAAACTTAAGTTAAAATTTTCATATTGATATTAGTAGTTGTAATAAGATCACTTCAAACACTATTTGTATCCAAAATAGTGAGAAAAGAATTTTAAATTACAAAAATAATTAAATTTAGACAAAAATTAATTTGAAAAAAATTTTGCATTATTTCAGTGAGATATGTTAAAAAAAAAAGCGTATGTAATACTTTTAATGTTGCCTTCAACCAGAATTAAAAACATACTAAACTTGACATTAAGCTTATTATAATTCAATACATAATTAAATGATATCATGGTGATGTTTACACCTGGAAGTTTCAACCAATGAATGTATGTAAGTACCATTTTGATGACTTTTTTAAATAAATATGTTTTCACCTCCCCCCTAATATAGGAATAAGAAATAATTTATAAAATACTTTCAGGTGTACTGTAGCTATTTTTAGTACTAGGCAAATAAAATTTAAATGTGAAATTAGTATTAAACTAATAAAAAGCACTTAATCTAAACAGTTTTCTGAATCTATTTAGATATAATTCAGATAAAATCTATTTAGATAAATAAATATAATTTATTTTAGAAATAGAAGATATAATAACAAAAACGTTTTTAAATTATTTTTTATATTTGATTTTTTGATTTAGTTTTTTAGATTTAATGAATGTAAAAATGAATATGCATATTTATACTCATATATTTACTTAAAACTTTATTTTCATTAATATAAAAATTTCATTGTAAATAATTTCTGGTGTATTATGGCTATTTTTATAACTAGACAAAATAAATTCAAACGTAAATTTAGTACTAAGTAAATAAAAAGCACTAAATCTGGCCAGTTTTCTAAATATCTTAAGATATAGTTTAGATATAATAATAAAATAAACTTTTAGAGTTATAGTAGATACAGCTCTTTAGATTTAATAAATGTAGAAATAAATACAAATGTTAATATTCATATATTCGCTTGGAATTTTATTTTTAATAATATAGAAAGTTCATTAGAAATATTTTCTGGTGTAGAGTAGCTATTTTTAGAACTATGCAAATGAAATTCAAATGTAAAATTCGTACTAAACAAATAAAAGAGTACTAAATCTGACCAGTTTCCTGAATATTTTTTGCTATAGTTTAGATAAACAATTTTAGATATAGAAAAAGTAGTACAAGAAATTTTTTTATCTATAGCAGATATAATTTTTTAGATTTAATAAATGTAAAAATAAATATGCATGTTTATACTCATATATTCCCTTAAATACTCCTTATACTCATATGTTCCCTTTCATTAATACAGAAATTTCATTAGAAATATTTTCAGAACCAGGCAAACGAAATTCCCTTGTAAAATTAGTACTAAACAAGAATATGTTTAGATAAACATTTTTAGACATAGAAGATATAGTAATAAAATAAAATATTTTATGTATAGTAGATATGAGTATTTTGGATTCTATAAATGTAAAAATAATTACATGTTTATATTTATATATTTGCATCATAAAAATTACTTAAAGCTTTATTTTTGATAGAATATTATATGCTGTCTATCTCAATGTATAGGTCAACCCCCTGTTTTTTATTACGAGATAGATAATTTCTGGTGTCAAATGAATAAGTCAACCGTTGAAAAAACTAAGTATGAAAATTTCTAAAATTAAAAATCATTAAAAACTAAGTCCACAAAAATATTTCACATTGTTCTCTTCAGATTTGATACATTTAACTTCAAATAAAAATGCAATGAGGTGACATTTCAAATAAAGATAAATTTGCAAATGATGTAAGATTGTTAATCAAGTTTGCAAAGTGGGATTCGTATGATGACACTGCTAACATTACTGAATCCGATACACAGTTAAAAAACTTGTAGTTTTATGGTATGTTTTAAAAGTTTTCACTGTGTTATATTTTTTGAAATTGTACTACTGAATAATTTATCGTCACTTTTCTTATTCAAAGTTTTTTTTTCTGAATCCAATTTACAATATTATTTATAAAAAAAACCTTTATAAATAAAGATGTTATATTTTTGAAATACTCTTGAATATCTTAATTTTAGTTTTTTTCTGAAAGGAATGTAAAATATTGTTTTTTAAAAAAAACCTTTATGTGTAAAGATATGATGAAAGAAAATGAAAAATTAATTGTATGTAATACATTAAAAATAGTTTTTGAAAGAAAAGAGGTATATTGATATAGAGTTATTCATATCTATCTCATTGTTTAATAATAATGTTGGTGATATTTCACAATCAACGAATGTCCAACAATATTACCGGTGTATAAGTCTACCCCCTGATTTTCTTAAAATTTTCAGGGTTTGAAAAAAATCTACTTATATACTGGGATATATAGTAATTTTTACATTGTCTTGCATAAATTCTATAATATTATACAGGGTTATAAATCTAATTTTTACTTAACACCTAGATCTAGGTGGACGATAAATAGAATTTTTCAAAACACCCAGAACCATTTGGTAAAAAGATTCAGTTTATGCAGGGTACCTAGATCCAGACAAATTTTTGGACCCAGTAAATAGATATACATATCTTTACACATATCTTACAGTGTAGAAAAAAAAAGATAGTGTTTTAAATTTATGCTGGTATTGTTTACCATAGTTGCATTAAGAAATGGGGAGGCTTAAAAAAGGACAAAAAATAATGAAGTTTCAACAGACTTAAATTACTCAAACGTTGAATTACGGAGCATTTTATTTATATGCAGTATAGATGTAAAGACCTCATATAAATGAACTGCTCCCTCACCTTCAAGAATATGGGCTTACTTGAATAAATACAGGGTGGTACTAATTTGATAAAAAATGAATTACATTGAAGTCAGCACTGGAATAAATAAGTTTTGTAAGTGATAAGAAGCAAATTTTGAATGCATGAAGACATAATTATTTCTTTCCTAGTGAAGTTTTTTTCTTTTCATTTGAATATGTTATGTTCTATT